ATTAGCAGCTAACGACCCCGTCGCCCGACGACGAGATGTCATTAGCTCTTTTAAGGTAACCTTGTAAGAGCTTCACGACTACCGCCTACCCTTTCTATAATAATCCTCTTCTAGGCTATAAACCTCCTGCCCTCTCGAATTAAAATAGCTTATACGGCTTTAAATCAAAAATTAGAAAAGGAAGGTATTTCAGAGCTTTTATATTCTCTGATTCCGTCTGAAGGGATAAAGAAATGAGATTTTCTTAAGGACTACTAACGCCGTTAGAAATATTAACACTATTCCGTAGTTTGAATATATATTTCTATGACTCTATATATCCTATCTTTTTAACATCTTAAAACACCGCTATCATAACGTAATTCTATATTTTCAGGATAGAAAATCATATTACTAACTATTCTATTTTTAATTCTTAAGTCATTACATGAAGTTTATACTCAAAATGTGTAGAATTTCAAAAGGCTATAGGATAAGAACCAAAACATGTATATGAGACGGTATTCTATGTTGATTAGTTAGCAGCTTTATGAACGCCAAAACTGGAATTTTATGCAAATGAGGGCCGATGAGGGCCGCCCGCGAGCCGCCCTCTGAGGGCGGAGGGTCGGGCGAGGGCAGGCAAGGATCCGCCCTCCGCCCGCGAGGGCCGGGCGGAGGGCGGGATATGCCCGCCCTCTAAATGCTTTTGCCGAGGTCTAAAAGGGTCTTTAGTAGAAAATAGATAGAAAGGTCTAATATATATATATATATTAAAGAGGTATATAAAAGATAGGATTAAAGAGAGACGGTTTATAAGAAGGTACGTAGTTAGCTTAATTAATAAAGAAGAAGAGTTATATTAAGTATACTTAAGAGTGATTCTTATATTATAAAGAGATATTAAACTTAATTTAATTTAGTTAGAAAATATAGTGATACTTATATCGCGGGGTATACGGCAGAATAATAAATAAAATAGAAGGAATATCCTTAAAGTATTATATAGTCTCCTACCTAGGTAGGCGATTATATATAAGTATATATAAGATTATTAAGGATTAATCTAATAGATCTTATCGTTTAATAACGAGGTTAAGTAATCTAATAAGGGGTAAGGAAAGTAGGGCTTTAGTTATATCTTAACCGTATAAAGATATATACTAATAACTACTAACGCGCCCGGCTAGAGGCCTTCTAAAAGCTGTTAACTATTTAAAATAGCTTTATAGTTACTAGTCTAGTACTAATCGATATAGAAAGGGTTCTTTTAAAGCTAAATATCTCTCTACGAACGCTAATACTACTAAATAGCCGGCTAAGTAGTAGATCTAGCTAATTTATACCAAAAACGCCTAGGACTATTACCTAGCTATTTAAGTAAGCTTCTTTATTAAAAGATTTATTAGATTAGCGGTCGTAAAGCCCTCCCAGCCTAATTAAAACTATAGTAGATTATATAATTAAGGATAGCTATCTAGCTTTATATAGCGCTACTCTACTTAGCTAGGAGAACGCTAATCTATACGTAGCTAAAAAGAAGAAGAGCTAGAAACGCTAGCGGTTAACTAGGTAGATACCCTACGAAGAGGGCCTATCTATTAAAGAAGCTATATAGCTAGTAAAAGATAATAGGGTAGGATCGTATAAGTAAGGCGAATTACCTAATTAGGTAATTTAACTACGACCTAGGGCGCCGCCTAGGTATAGTAGATATAGATAGATTAGCTATAAAATCAATCGATATATAAATCTTTAGTATTAGGAATTTTAATATATTTTAGTAGAGATATTTAATTTTATTAGGTAGCCCGCTCGCTTATCTAATACGTTATATTATTCTTAGATAATAAATTAATAAATAAATTCTTTAAATTTATAGAAATAAATATCTTTTAAATCTTTATTATTTTATCTTAGAATTATAAGGGTAATAGATCTATAGAGTATTTAAATATTTTTTTTTTAATTATTTTTATTTTTTTAGAAATAACTCTATTTCCTTAAGCTTTTTAGTTTTTTTTTAATTAATTATATTTCACTTAACTCTTATAATAATTATAAAATAAGTAATTTATTATTAATTTAGAGATAAAAAAAATAGAAGAGATTTATCTTTTGGAGTTATCTTAGAGTATATTAAGATTCAAGCCTAATTACTTAATTAAGTAGTCTTTTATAATATTATTCTTTTAGTAGCTAAAAAGGAAGTTTTAGAATTATAAGAATCTTTTTAATAATATAAAGAACTATTAACTAAGAAGAAAATTAACAATAAAGACTAATTAATTTAGTAATATTTCAATCTAAATTATATATCTTTATAGCTAAGTAAAAAAATATAGTAAGACTAAATTATATCTTTCCACTTAATTTAGAATAAAGAGACACTTTATATTTTAATAATAGTTTAGTTAAGGACCTTTTATCTTTCCTTTTATATTATACTTAAATCTTTAAGTTATAATTATACTAATTATAGTATTTTAATATAATTCTTTATAACGTTTTAGAGGTAATTTATCATAGTATCTACCTATCTTCTAACTTATAGATATTTTCGCCTTATCCTCGTAGATTTCATAGAACCTTTATTCGGTATAAAGATTGAATTCCGGGCCGATTCTAATTTAAAAAGCTAATAGTTAATCCCCCTTTCGTATTATATTAAAGAGTAGTTCTTCCCGCTTAGTTATCCGAAATTCTTGAAATAACTTAATAAAGAATATTAAATAAAGATTCCTTTATACTAGCCTAGTCTAGCCTAACGGGCTAGCCTAACTAGGCGTATAATAAAGGGCTTCTAGCCTATCTAGAGTAGTATTATTTAATTGATCTCGCTTTTATTAAGTAGCTACGGTAAAAAAAGATTAATATATAGAGGAATAAGATAAATAATAGGCGCTAGAGCGATATTCGTGGCTATTTTAGGGGTAATTAGGGGGTTATTAGATATTACGAATTTCAGTATATAACGAATTAGGTAGCTATAGATAATAGTTTGTTATAGCGAGGATTTACTATAGATATAAGTGTTAAGTTTAGCTAGGCCAAGGTGAACCAATAACGCTACATCTAAGCCTAAGTGAGAGAGAGGTCAGTGCGGTGGTCGCGCGACGGAGGGTAAGAATCACCTACTCTTACCTAGCCTCTTACCCTATCTATTACGCACTCACCCACTTCTCACCCGGGCAGTAGCCACCCGACTATTGACCGCGGATAAGCCCCGCCCTATAGGTTAGTAGTTGGGTGAGTGGCTCGTTTTCTCGGCTCACGTTCTGACTCCCTACGAACATATTTAGGGCCCCCTCCTAATGCCAATACTCCAGGATTAGAAGGAAAAAAAGGACGGTCGCCCTTCTACCCATTCGCCCTTTTCCTCTTAGGCTATCCTATCACTGAATTTTGTACACCTTAACATTAGCAACGATACATCCTAAACTCGTGAGCTTACGCATGAAGACGGACCTACGGTGTTCATCTATCTAGGACCTTTCGCGAGAGCTTGACGACCATACCACGTAGATGATTCCACCTATGATTAGAAAGCGGGAAGGATATACGTCGGTCACGGAGAGTGTCGCCGGATAACTACTAGCTTAGTAGGAGCGGTATTGGATACAAAGACGAAGGATGCTTTCTAATTATGACGGCTTCTAGAGTAATATACAATTTCGTCATTTTTGTATGAAGGATCTTTTAACTATCCTAGGTGCATCACTTAGCCCGAAGCTCCATAATGACTGGAACCGGGGGGGCAGGGCGCTTTCTCCGCTTACGACACAGAAGCCACCCCCCACAAATGATGAGAGCCATAGAAATAAGAGGTACCCTAACGGCAGCAAAGTATATCAGAGAAGATCAGCCACCCACCCACTCCGCTATTATTGCCGTTATGGTGGTCATAAATCCCATCCGCGATGACTTGTCCCGGCTCCTAGGTAGCCAGGTATTTCCCCGAGGTCAGCGGTGGGAGCGATGGGGACATGCTCGCTGTGTCGGATGCGGCCAACGAGACGTGCCATCCGCGATGTACGATCATCCCCACGGTGAAGGTGCCTATTATATCTGTGTTAGACGCCAGCGGTGCGGTGATGGTGGTCTCACCGGATTTGAATATGCGCGAACATGCCGGGCTTAGTATAGGCGTACGCAGAGTATACCCCGGTGCTCGAAATACGAAACCACTGAGGCTTAATAGTTAGGGGAATGGAACAGACGAGGTGACTATTGAAACAGCATAAATTGAATGGGCTTATTAACATACCTAGTACAGCAGTGCGCAGCTGAGTAGTGCTTGGTCGATGACATTTCTTGATACGTCTAGTCCTGGGGGCCAGCCTGAAGGTAAAAAGATTCGTCGTACTCCCACCATCCTATCCTGACGGCTGACAGGCTGAGAAGCTTAGTTCAGCGGCATCATATGCGAGGACAGTGATTGTTGTGGACGTGTTGAGGAAGCTAGCCGTGATGGTAGTGAGCTGGAAGGCCGAAGTACACCCGCTGGGCTGTAAGTATGGACTCGTCAGTGCCGTGGCCATGACGCTTGTTGCGACGGTCATAATCACATAGAGCAGGGAGAGAAGCGCCATCTTCCCTGGGCTGCTTGACAGGGCACTTTCAATTCTTCGGCTCTTCTGCTCTTCGGCGCAGACTTGGTCTTCGTACAGCTGTCAATATTTCACTGGGTAAAATGAAAAAAAAAGAAAATATGCAGGGAAATCCGGGATAGGCATGATCCGTAATGTCGTGACTTTCACCTTATGACAGCTATCTACGGGGAGCTGTGTAACGTTCTTGGATGTTAAAACTCTGTGAAGCTTAAAGCTAATCCATGAACGATCCTACAGGTTATAACCCTGATTGTCTGTTATAGATTCTGAGTAACATAAAGAAAATTCATACTACGGCCTAGGGTGACCCCGACTAGTTAAGAGCCACAAGCCGTATGACGTATTCCGTATATGATATAACCATGACAGAGCCCATCGTCTGCCTGTTTTGCGCAGCTAGCCACGAGTCTACTTAGTAGAGGGATTTGGCATGCCGGATGTATGCGGCCACGACCGGAACAAATCCGCGAGATGATCGATAGGGGCCGTCATAAGCCCAACGGCCGTTTCGAAAGGAGGCTTATCAGGAGCGCTCGGGTGTGATCGCGAGGGAACAAAGATCTTAGTCCTACCAAAAGATCTAGACAGATCTTCGCTCTCCTCGGTCGATAAATTGTCTTCTAATTGAGGGAGGTCATTGCTTTCCTCCCCTTTGATGTGCTCAGAAAGATCTTTCATGAGAGCTTTAAGGGCAGGCTCAAACTTAGGATCGGAAGGTCGCATATTTTGGAAAGCCTTGAGTTGTTCTTTGACCTATAGAATAATGTTAGCCAAAGCTAGTAAATGGTTAAATGCGGCTAATTACGGGCTTACCAAGAGGTGCTCTTGGCGATCTTTGTCCGCCATATCTTGACCATGAGGTAGCTTCTTTTCGAATTGAGGGTAGACGACAAGCTCCTCGCCGATAGAGTGACGAGCCAGCTCCCATACAAATTGGTTCTGCCACTGAGTCTTCTCTTTGTCTGTGGAAGAGGCGAGGATTTTATTATAGTAATTCTCGATCTCACGGTGATCTTTCTTGATCGCTGCACTGATGCCGGCCATCTTTGCGGTTCGAGATATGTAGCACCGTTGGATTGGACATATGAATCTCTTTGAAAGACGAGTAGAGGAGCGTGTTAAGAGAAGTGGCATTGTTAATACAACACTAATACTTTTACATCAAACTCTGCTATTGGGGATTATTTTCGCCTTTTATTGTGCAGGGTGAATTCGGAGACGTCATTTGACGGAGATCGAAGTGTACAATAGTGACCGATCATTCGTGGGGCACCCTTGCCGAACTCTGGATCTACATGTCAGCCACGACACCACAAAACCAATCAACGTAAGATTTTACACGTCTTTCTCTGATAATTCTGCAAAGCAGGATTCGACGGGAATATTCAGGGATCTCCTAGAAATAATACTTGGCCTAGTCGAAGTTCCAGGCAATGCATACTATTCATCTGTGAACATCATCACAGCATCACTTGTGACTAGTGGATTAATCACCAGCCTTGCTTTTTAAAAACTTGCTTTCCATTCAAACAGACCAGATTGCTTTCCGAAATTGAGAAGGGGTATCTGGGAAACTCCCTCCGTTTCTCTCTCGGTGAACTAAATTGCCAAAGCCGCCTAAATGTGTCGTCGGCATCTTGAATCAAAATATGGCACCGCACATCTCGTAATGTTTCGAGGATCCTCCAGAATACGTCGCAGAAGGATATTGAATGATGTGCTATCTTGGAAGTTGCAAGCTATAACACTTACAAGGATGGAAATGAGATTTACGAGGCCATCACCGGTCCCGGTTCCTTCTACCTGGGGAGGAAATCAGTCTGTAGGTTCTTAATTAGCCGCAAGATCAGATATCCAGTTTGCTCCTGCTTCAACCTTCTCCGACGCCCCATCGGGTCCTTAGCCGTAGTTGATATCATACAACAGCCAGTGCAGTCCTGGGATTCGATGATCACAAAATCATCTACTCCAATGTCCGACATTTCTTGAGCTGCCCGAATGCCAGTCACACTTGCACCCCTAGCGAGAGTCAGGAATAAGACCCAAAACGTGACAGGCGATGCCTACAAGACAGTAATCTCTTGGTTGTGCTTATTCTGGTGCTGACCTTGCCTTCTCCTGGGTGTTGTTCAGGTAGTAGAAGATACAAGGTTCCCACTGGGGCTTGGAGTAATTGGTAGTCATAGCTTTATATTCACCCATTAATGCGCATGGGTCAGTTACCCTACAATTCAATCAGCTGGTGGCCCGGATTTCTCTTCCCTCACATTGGCGTCCTCCTCTAAACCCTCATCGGACGAGCTGCGCTCGTCGCTGCCTTCCTCGACGAAGGCCATACCCAACCAGGGCTAATTTGGCGCCAACGCATGTCAAGAACGAACGAAAACTATCAACCCGCATGGAACGACATTCAATCCATATCACATTATGGCGGCTCGTATATATCAATCGTAGTACGGCTAGGGTTTCAATGATTTCCAATAGTGCGGATCACCTTATGCAGTCATTATAGGTGTATCCGATAGATTGGCAGAGACCTTGAGTGATCAAAGATGCAGGGCCGAGAAAAGAGCAAGGTCAGTAGCTGTAATATATAACAGTAAAGGAAAGGGAGAAAAAAAGCCAATTGGGTGATGTTCACCGTGATTCCAGATTCACTCAACGTGCTGACTGCGCGAACCAGCGCGGACTGAAGAAATTGTTGGCGTAATGTTGAATATCTGTCAAATTTGATAGCTAGTACCCTAGTCAAAGGGCACCAGATCTTAGGAATAATGATTCTGACCCAACCAGAGGGGTGGGGAATCAATATTCACTTACCAAGCAATACCTGGGACCTCCTTCGAGATCGCAAGGACTGGAAGCAAGGAAAACAGCAGAGGTTCCTTGCGTCCGGTAATTATAAATCAGAACCTGCTCTAATCATCACTTACTTGATTCAGACTAGGGTAAACCTTGGTTATAAGGAAATGTTGTTTCCAGCTACCCAATTTGTTATTCCAGAAACCCTCTCATTGGCCCCAGAATAGCCACAAACATCACTCTGGCGCCTACTATTTGCCTCATTCTTCTCGATTTTGATCTCTCCCTGTCGCTGCCGCTTCATAGAAGAAAGGTTAGTCAATTCCTGTAGCACTAGATAGACAAGGTGCTCCTGGGTGTGGTGAATAGCCTTGGTCGTGTTAGTTAGCGGCTCTCCCTCCTCCCGCTGCACTGGATCGTCCTCGATCTCATCGATCTCATGGCAATCTGCTGTAGGGCTCGGGAAATGAGATAGCATGATGGAATTAAATGAATCAGTAACCTTTTCCATAGCGAGATTGGGGAATTGCCTTATATTAATTGCTGTCCGGATTGGTAGCCGCGTAATCTATAAAGACATATCTCTGCGTGGTGCTGCAGCAGAATCTTTGCCCTGGCCGATCGATCCAACGACTCATGATATAAAAAATTCCGGATGCAATTAATTATGACCGATGCAGACTGTTTATATTTCTACCCTTTTTAGCCGTATAGTATGACCGTCAAGATATTTACTGTTAGTGATGAGATTCCACCAGCATCAAATTCCTGTAGTACATAGCGAATTCACCGATGGCGCCGGTAAATAATCCCATGCTTTACCTATATCAGCAGGAGACTACGTTATACTCTAATAAGGGTAAGTAGGATAGGGAGAAGGGTAGAAGAGGTCAATAGGCTAAGTGAATAACCTCTAGTCACCTGAATTATGATGTAGCTCATGTAAAAGGGCCTTACTAGGATGAATCCAAAGAGTCTGTATTTAGGTTCAATTTATATACTCGGTTCTGATCAACAGTCCGTTACCGCGGCTAGCTAATAATAATGCATTAATACAATACACTGGTAAAGTGTGTTAAAAATGGATTTCCGTGACGGTCAAGGGAAGAGGGGCGGCCTTGGGTCGCCCGTGAGCGGTATAGAGATAGTTGATTGCCCATGGAACTCCCTTATATCAGACCTCTATATATGCGCGGAGGAAATCAGGCTATTATGAGCTCTATGCCATTTGACCAAAATAACTCATTATTGATTAGGAAGACCATTTATGATGAGTATAGACATTATAGTTGTAAGAAAAACGTGGCCTTTCCGACCTAATGAGGCTAGGCGGTTGGTGATAACGATAAGAGTTCCCCCATACATCATCATCACCATCGTTCTTCCTGTATTGTCAACCTCACCTCGGACCTACTCCTTCTCCTGGCTCAATTTCCCTCACAATGGTAGGTCTTGCTCTTTTCCTGGCTCCTCAAGTTACCCACTCTAATTTTCCTAGGCTCAAACCCCTCAACAACGCCGTGCAAACGAAAGGTTTGCGAAGAACGAGGCCGCCAAGCGCGGAAAAGGGCCATCTGTCTCTAAGCCTAAACAACAGAACAAGTCGCCCATCTCCATGAGCTGGGTTGGTATGTAGCGAGCTAGCTCATGATCCCAAGTTGAGCTATCCAGCTGACCCAAATCTCCAGTGATCCTGGCTTTTGTTGTGTGCGGTGGCCTCATCCTTGAGCTCTTCAGAATCGTCCCTGAGATCTGGAATACCGTGGCCTCGATGCTCTCCCGAATCACCGGCTAGAGGAAATTCATTACCTCCAACCCCTCCCACCCTCCCTTCTAAGATACCCTGGGAAACGATTCGGCCTCGACCTCGTGTCTCTACTCGACACCCAATACACTGCCATTGCGCCCGGGCGTGGCTGCGGCCCCGGTACTGCTTGGGAGAGTCCTTCCCCCCTTCCCTCGCCCTCCACTGTACTATACTCCTACCAACGATCAGACATCGCATTGGATAAACCGCAATGCCAGAGACAATACCTTGTTTGCTACCCTCAAGTATGCTACTCTATGGACGAAGCTGTAGATCGCTATGATCTGCCCAGTAAACAAGTTGTAAGTTGTAGATGATCTTCTAAATTCCGACCGCTACGTTCAAGAGAGATGGGAAGAGAGTGCTAGATGAGGTTCCCCGAGGGTTGACCAGCAAGCTCTCCTGTATCCGTTTGCAGCTCTTTCTGTGTTTTCCCATTCGTCTCCTTCCGCTTCTTCTTCTTCTTTTTCACCTGTGCTGGTTGGGAGGAATCATCACCAAGGGTAGCCTCTTGGGCTGACGAAGATACGAGCTTCTTCTTTCCTTTCTTCTTCTTGATCAACGTTCCCTCGGTGGGGATCCCATCCAATTCAATTCGCTCCGAGGCCCGTTGCATGCGTAAGCGCATCTGCTCTACATTTCGCATCGCCTTCTTCATCTCTTCGTCGCCCTCATCCTCCGCCAAGACGGCCCCTGACCCGTCGTTGCTTGCTAGTGACAGATGCCCGAGCCCACTGGAGTCCACCTGTAGTAGAGAACGCTTAGCGCCCACGGAACCACCGGCCGGTCCAACCAGGTAATCGCGGGATGGGATCTCCTCGCTTCCGAGTGTCTCATCAGCCGCAACTTCCAATTTTTTGTGTCGACCTTGGCGGAGGCTGGAGACATCCCGCTCTACACGATCGGGTTGTCCAGAGTCCAACTTCAAGTCAACTATGGGAATAGCATCAATGTCTAACCCGTCAGCGCTGGCATCGTTGCCGAACACGGGCGTTGATGTGCCCGAAGGGTTTTCCAGGGAGGCAATGTAAAATGGGTCGTCTTTGTAGCGTTCTTTGCGCTCGAGTTTCCGCCTTTCCGTTGCACCAGGAGACTCTGTTGGGCCTTGCAGAACATTCTGATATGAAGTATCCGGGTGCATCTCAATAGAGGCGATGCTAGAAAAAGACTTGGCAGGGTGGGAGATGAGGTCAGGGATGTAGTAGAAGTCCTGCAGAGAGCCACGCTGGTTTGATTCGCGTTGGGAGTTGTCCAAAGTATTGAACAGGGCCGGTAGATCATCATTGAAAGCTACATCCAGATGCAAAGTTGGAGGCAAGACCACCTTCTTTTGAGCACTGAATGCGACCGGATTGAGTTCCAGACCCATGAAGAAACTAGGAAGGACGGAGGCGAGAAGGGAAGGCATCTCCTGTACATTAGAATGCAGTGCTTCGGCACTCAAGCGAAGTACCTCCAAGAATTCGATAGCCCGTTCCTGCACGTCCAAGTCTGGATGAGCTGCCAGCGCTTCGAGGAACTCCACGACTCTCGCCAAGAGGAGAGATGTCTCAGTCTTCCACGTTACCCCCAACCCCGCATCTTGATTCACGCGTACAAAGACCTTCGGAATGGCCTGTAAAAATAGCTGAAGTGTCCTCGCAGGCAGGGTGACATTGGATAGGTCGATTAATGATTGAAGAGTCCGACTCGGCGATAAGAGATCATTTGCATATTCGCCCGCGACCCAGGATATGGGGCCTAGGACATCATTGCCAACACTTGACCCAGCTGGGAAGAAAGTTGACCGGTTATCGATCAGTAAAAGCGACTCCGCGGCTCTGGTCGCCTCTAAACGCACACCTCTTACACGCACGGCGACGTTGCGGATTTCGGATCCGATTCGGAAAGCAGTGCTCGATTTCGAGAGCGCTGCGGCGTCCTGGCTCGGAGAGCTTTGGTTCCAATACTCATCCCCCTCTGACAGGGGCAGGAGGCGGATGAGTTGGACTAAAATATTGACGTACCACTCAAAATCCACAACCTCCGAGTAGTTGTTCTGAGAGCAGATGTCTAGGATGCGATGAACGACCTCACTTCGGTAATCGTTTGGCAAGACGACCGCAGTGCTCCCACTAACTTCCGACGTCTTCGGCTCTTCCAGGTTCTCGGTCTCAGGGTGGACAGACGAGGCAATCTCGGGCTCGGGTGCATTTCCTGGGGAGGACAGTGTAGCCAATCGGAGCTGGTCAAGCAGACGGTCTACCACCACCTGCAGAGTCTCACTCGTTACCATCCCAGCAGCAAGCTCCAGTGCCTGCAGCCGAATAGAAATGTCCGGGTCATCCAAACAGTCCATAATCACATCCTGCTGCCTGGACACCAGCGTAGGGTGTGTGGTCACAATACGGTTCAATGCCAGAAGAGCGACATATTTCACTTTGGTTCGAATTATCAGCGAGAATACTCATGAATCATTCACCGGCCGAGAGGGGGGGGGGGAGTCTTCTTACGGTTAGGATCAGAGTCGATGACAATCATTCCTCTGAGTTTCCCGACACACAGAGTCGCAACGTCATCTCTCTCCTGAAGGTTGTCCTCTCCGTCCAGAATTCCTCCTTGAATTATCCCATTAATACACTCATAGAGCAGGGACATCGCTGACGTGGTCTGAATTATGTTGACCAACGGGCGAAGCAGTTTTCGGGTCAACCTTGGCTCCAGAGGTGTCAAGGTCGCAAACTGGACAAATTAGCAATTTCGTATCAAGGAGGAAAGCAATGAAGAGACTAACGAGCTTAATGATTTTAATAGCCATCCAATTGTTGCCGCTGTCAACGAGAAGCTCGAAGAACCTCGGTGCGAGTGGTAGGAAATCATGAGGTCGTCGCCATCCTAACTCGCAGACAACATTAATAGCAGCTGTCGTCACGCTGCTATCTTCTTGGTCATCCATCAACCGATCTTGGATTTTGGGCCATCCTAGCTTGAGCGCTTCTGGGTATACCAACGCAAGGCGGTAGAGGCACACGATTGATTTCTTCCGGACCACTGGGCTCGAATGTGAAAGCCGAGACAGAATATCAGGCAACAGTGACATGGCCAGTGATGGAGTGATAATGTGCGGTAGAGAAGCCAGCGGTAGTGATAGAGCGGGGATGTTGGGAGACACGATGTCCTGGTCATTGTGTTCAGTCCTTGCCCAGTGGAGAGAGTTGCGAGGAAGGATCCCGAGAAGATAACTCATCTGATAGATGGTCAGAACAGACCTTTTTTAACATGTTCGTTGCCAACATCAGCACTTCGGTGTCGGGGCGGAAGCTCTGTACCGCCCCTAAATATCCAACTCGTTTTTGAAGGTATTTCGACGAGGACATTACTTCCAGGACGTGGAAGGAGGCCCATGACATGTCGTAACCGAACATTTCCAAGTATATCAGCTTCAATAGTGCTGTTGCCTTTTTGTCTAATCGAGATTCAGCATGCGAAGCTGACCGGGGGAATTGAATATGGAGTGCCTACCCATGTCCTGGGATTTGATCTCCGCTTTACACTCGCGAAGGCAGCTTTGAACATATTCATCCTCTCCACCTTTGTGGGTTCGGAGACCCTTGATCAGGTCATAAAGGGATTTTTCGAACCTAGGCCATCGTGGTTGACTCGTCAGTCCGTGGCCACAGCTATCTTTGCGGGGGGGGGGGGGGGGGGGGGGGGAGAGGTTGTCGGTCTGAAGTACACTCACATTGTGTCTGCGTGTCACCGACTGACAATGCCGTCGAATTCCAAAATGTCAAGATCACCTTTCAAGCAGTTTATCAACCACGCAGCATAGTCTGTACAGTTTGCACGATGTACCGCGTGGTCCTGATCGTCCCGAAAGCTGAGCTCCCGCTGCAATGCCGAGTTTACGTGGGGAGCTGGGCGGGCGGACCGATAAGGATCACGGGACCTCGTATCTTAATCTCCGGGGCGGGTGAAGGTGAGGTCTCCACCATCTTGCCGTCTACAGGTCATCGTCGTCTCAAACACACCTGGGCTTTCGTGCGGCTAGTGCATTTCTTGAATTTACTTGAACTCGTTCAATTTGATTTTAAAAGGTAAACTACCTTCTCACTTTCTCCTCAAACTTGGCTCTCCTCGTTCTGGGCCTACCTGCCTGCACGACTCTCCCCTTTTGATGGACCCTAATTGATCTGATTCCTTCCAGCTTTGTCTCCCACCAATCTTCCCGCTGTTACCGGACGCGCCATGGGTGGTCTCACGGATATCGAAGTCAAAGGGTCCGATGTGCTCTCTGCTCTTCGGCTCTCTCAACAGGCCCCGGCAATTCTCGGACATGGCCCAGCACTAACCACGAACGCGGGTTCGTCCAAGGCCTCACGGGACACGGCGGAGGAATATGGCCGGATTGAACAGCTTTTCCTTGCCTGCCTGCAAACTGGAGACGATAAATCTGCACAGGTATGCCTTGATCGCTTGAGTCACCGCTTTGGTCCCTCGAACGAGAGAGTCATGGGGCTGCGTGGTTTGTATCAAGAGGCTACTGCGAAAGATCAGCCGGCTCTAGAGAAATGTCTGGCGGAATATGAGGCAATCCTTTTGGAGAGTCCCGTCAATGTGGTTGGTTACCCATATTTTTCTTCTTTTTCTTTTATTTTGGCTGCCCTCTTGGGGTAGACAGTCGTCGCATGACCTTGACTAACCCAACCCATCTTGGTCCATGTCCAGCCCATTATGAAACGCCGAGTCGCTCTGCTTCGTTCCCTTCAGCGGCCCTCCGATGCTATTACCGCTCTCATCCAGCTTCTCGATGCCATCCCCACGGATGCCGAGGCCTGGGGGGAGCTGGCCGATCTATATCAATCCCAAGGACTGGGTTCACAGGCGATCTTCAGCTTGGAGGAGGCACTGTTGATCGCCCCAAATTCCTGGAACGTATGGCTTGTTCCACTTGCAATCGACTAGATCCCCACTGGCTTATGTGACTGACCTCTTGCAGATTCATGCCCGGCTAGGCGAATTGCTCTACGTCTGCTCCTCCGCCTCTTCTGATGGGGACCCAGCCCGACTTGCTGGCAAGTCGGTCCAACATTTCTGCCGGAGTATTGAACTCTGCGATGATTATCTGCGGGGTTTCTATGGTTTGGTCTTGGTATGTTCATCCCTGTCAGAACTGACCTTTTGTTATTTTCCAATGGTACCATCCACTGACTAGATCATAGGCCACCTCCCGTATGCTCGATCAAAAGTACGCTCCCGAGAGTCCCTCCGACCTGGCCGTTCCATCTCGGAAAACGATCCAGCAACTCCAGGCATTTGCCCTTGGGCGACTTGAGCATATTGTTCAGTCCCGCTCGGTGGACGATCAACATTGGGCATCCAGTCGGAGTGAACTGATTGCGGCCAAAGAGCTACTGAATCGCTTTGCGTCGCCCAAATGATGATCGACCGTTTTACGATGCTTTTCTTCGGATACCCTAATCAAAATCTAATCAACACGTTTCTTATTATGAGGATGTCAAGAATGTCTCTCTGACTCTCTTGCTGTGCTTTTATAAAACATGCTTCATGCTTAGGATCTCCTTGATGGCAACACGGCCGATATGACCGGCGTGGTGGTGGTGGCTGTACTAGGAGGTGTTTGGGGGCGGGAACGCGCAGAGTTGCTGATGATGGGCTGCCCAATGCCGTGAACGTGGTCAGTTGCGTTCTAATTTCGGTGGTGGATGATGTGGGAATTCTATTGGATTGCCCTCGAGTAAATAGGCATGGCTGCATTTCTGAGCAGGGATTGCCCGACGAGTTTGCACCTCCAAAGTGGCATTAGGTGGTTATCTTGATGCCATCTACATGGCTCTTTGAGACTTTGAATGTTCGGGGATGGGTTTTATCCGCCCAAGGAAAATGACGCGGCAACTGATTCTGAATCGGTCCGTATGTAGGGAGGGTTCTGTAGTTACCTCTGTCAAAGACCTATAAGGCATTGACCCGGCGGGCCACATCGAAGGCTCAGCTTCTCTCTGTTTCTGTTGAAGCCAAGGTTTGATAGGCTGGTTTTCCTACCGTTTGATGTGTACCCAATCGAGCCTGGATGGACGGAGCTCGGGGCTCGTTGGTTGCAAAATGAATAGGATTGGTGGTTGCACGATCGAGATTCGTAAGCGTCGGACTCGGTGAGGTATGTAATAGCATATATCATCCATCTATCGTGTACTGGCTATGTATTCTAGGCTAGAAGGTCATGATGTATATATATATATATATATATCACCAACGGTAGTACGTGGTATCTACTTCAATTCGGGATCGCGTCGCTATCATCCATTCCCGTTTTCAAAGTGCGAAAGATCGGGGCGGGTGTGATTGGGCACAAGCATCGGGCAGCAGATCGACAAGGATCTAGCCGATCCACTCCTACTCAGGCGGCGGCTGAGGTGACCCAATCCCACTGGGCGAGGAGAACGGGCTTGCTCGTGAGTCAGAGAACTGACCGGACTATCTCCATGGTGAGCCTCTCTCGTGGGGCTGACTCGCGAGAGAAGGATATGTAGATTGATACCTAACGGAGCCCTGGTAGAGTCGCTCTTTAGGGCACCGGGCACAGGGGAATATCGGGTGGCGTCTCGATCGTAGAGCCTACGCTACACGCCTTTCAGACTGGTTCGGGTTCTAGACTGGTACTAGTTGCAGGGATCCAAAGTACAGGAAGTTGGGGAGAAGAACCTTTGACGTGTTGCGTCGGTAGATTCTTGTGTGACCCGGAGATATTCTATACATGGTACTTTGTATAGTCCATTTAGTCTATTGATACTCGGTTTACTATCACAGACTCATAGACCGCCGAGTTTGTTCGGTAGCGGGTACTTCGTCTACTACTGGTATATGTATATATAGTTAGTTATCAATGATTATGCTTTGACGAGGTGGTCAAATGACACTATCCCGGGTCACGGAACGTGCCCAATCTTAGGCCCCAATCTGGTAGAGTTACACGTTCGTCACATTCTTATACTATTTACTTTTCAGGCAGGTATTGTTATTGTTCAACCCAAACAAATGGACAAAAAGACACACAACACGTCCAACACAAAACCCTCCACCCACCTTTCCCTCCCCCTTTTGCTCTTCTCTTCTCCCCTTTTTTCTCTCGACTACTTCCCAACCTACCTCTAGGGACTGCTGCTACTAGCGGCAGTAACGTTATTATCATTCCTACCGTGATCCCGGCCTATCACGAACTACATAGCTTCCTTCTATACGTCTTCATCTTGTCTACTTGCCGATGCTTTACCCCCCCCCCCCCGGCTCTCCCTTGTCACCTTGTCATAACAAGGAATTCTCTCGATTAGTCGACTATTTGAAAATCGCATCCCTTGTGCGCACTCGGGACGTGACTATCACCGGCTTGATCGCCTTCTTCCAATTCGATCGGTGCAAGGGGATCCCTAAGGGGAACTAAAAACAAAGTCAAATCAAAACTCCTCCAGGCCTAAGCCTCGAGCCCCAATTCAAGCGGGGCCAGTCAAATGCGAGGTTCCTATTCCCCCGCGTCCGAACTACTTTTGATCCTTGCCAAAAAAAAAAAAATTCCCCAAAACACTGACGAAGAGAAAAAAAAAAAAAAAAAACCCAAAGAGACTTCCCCACCAACGAAGCAGCAGCCCGTCGCCGCCTGGAAAATCCTCCGCCCTCTCGTCCACCTCCTCCACTTTATCCTCCTCCCCTCTCTTCTCTCTTCTCTCTCCGCCACATTCCCACCCTAAACTCCCCCTCGCTGCGTGCGAGACTCCGAGAGAGAGAGGAAGAGGGTAAACCTTTATTCCTTTTCTTACCCCCCTCCCTCCCCCTCCCCTCTCTCAGTCGCTCTGCAATCTCTCTATGACGTATGTTTACACTTTCTTTAACCTTTCTGATCGTCCCCCCTCCTGCTCCCCTCCTCCCTTTCTTTCTCTCCCTCGTCTTTCCCTCCCCTTCACCTCCTCCCCCCTCCCCCCTGCTTCTTCTCCCCACCCGCCCGCTCATTTCGGCCTCTGCGCGCGGATTATTCGCTGACTCTTTTCTTTCTTCTCTTTCCCGTATCAACAGGCTCAGCATCTCGATTGATCCCCAAGATCCGCACGGCTCGGATTCTCTGTCAGACGAGGAGGACTCGTCCGGGGTGCATGTTAACAGCCATGACTTTGAGGACTATGATAATGAGTGGGCGCATCTGTCATATCCGGATGAATTGAAACCGTCTGATTCAGCCTCTCGACCAAGGACATCGCACCGTAGCCGCTCGCACCACGGTTCCCGCTCCGCTTCGGGCCGCCCAAACCTGCACCGGCGTATGGTTCCCGAACGCGATCCTCGCGAGTCCTATGGGACTCGCTCCCGCCGACAGCCTTCTCCTCCAGAATCCCCCGACAGCGGGGATTCCGAGGAGTATTCTTATCCCCGCGCCCCGGCAGAGCGCCGGTGGCCACAGGCGCCACCTGCACCACCGGGGTATGCTCCAAGCAACTCATCCGGCCCGACCTTTGGCGCATTCCCTCCCGGACATGCCCCTCCTTACCCGCATCAAAATGGCCAGATCCCATCAGAAGCACTAGTTTCCCTCCGCCATGCCAACCCCGGGGCTCAGCCGTACGGCGCGGGTCATTATCCATATGGCGCACAATTCCCAGCCTCGCACGGAGCTGCCATGCATCAGTACTATCCCCACGATGGAGTGCACCCCCGTCACCACTCCCGCCTACCGCAACAGTCACGAATTGACCCGCATCATCCCTCTCAACCGCCCGTGCCACCCCACCTGGCGGGGCACGTCTCGCCGCCATATCCGGGGTCGCCTTTCCACCAAGAATTGATGCATTATGCACCCCAATTCTACAACTACCGAGACCCATACTCGATGGTTCCCGGCATGGTACCACCCTATTTCCAATATCCTCAAGTGCCTCCCCAATCGCATCCCCCAGAAGCAGCCGCGTCGCCGGCACCAGCACCAGCACCAACTCCAGCACCAGCGCCAGCGCCAGCGCCCGAACCCGCACCAGCACCAGCACCCGCGGTAGATGCTGCAAAGGACGAAGCCATTGCGCGACTGGAGAAACTGATTATGGATGAACGCACGGAGCGCGAGGCCAAGGAAGCCGCGCGCCTCGCTGCGATCGAGCGCGAGGCCGCCGAGAAGGCGGCGCGAGAGCAGCAACTCGCCCACGACCGCAAGATTGCCGAGGAAGCGGCTTTCCTGGCGCGGGCCGACGCGGAGAAAAGGGCTGCCGAAGCAGCGGCAGCCGCGAAGGACGAGGCAGAGAAGGTCGCCGCGGCAGCAGCTTCAGAGGCAGCAGCGGCGGCCACTGCAGCGGCCAATGCAGCGGCCACTGCAGCTGCCGCGGAGGCAGCTAATGCCGTGGCTGAAGCAGCAAAGAAGCCTCCCCCGGAGAAAAAGAAGCCCATCAAATTCAAAGACGCCGTGGGAAGAAAGTTCAGTTTCCCCTTCGAGTTGTGTGCTACCTGGCAGGTAAGAGATATCCTCAGTTCACCTTGCTTTTCTTTGTAACGAGAATGTGATAACTAATCGCTGGGGTTTGCAGGGGATGGAAGATCTGATCAAGCAGGCATTTCTTCATATCGAAGTGATTGGACCGCATGTTGCAGAAGGGCACTATGATCTTGTAGGCCCCAATGGCGACATTATTCTTCCGCAGGTATGGGAGACCGTCGTCGAGCCGGATTGGACTATCACCATGCACATGTGGCCCATCCCTGAGAAGCCTAAAGATGCCGACCCTCCGCCAGCTAAGGAGGAGGCTCCGGCTGCTCCTGCAAAGGCCGATCCACCTGCGCCATCTGCAGAGCCTAAAAAGAAACCTGAAGGTACGTTCGGGGATTATCCACATATCACGGGTCGAAAGAGAGTCCTTGCCATCATCTGCTTGATATACTGACCATCTCTTTCATAGCTCCCAAGAAGCCTGTGCGCAAAGGTGACGCGGGTGGATTTGCGAAGTGGATGCTGGGTGGCCGGCCCCCTCCTAAGTCAGCCAAGGCCGTAAAGGCAGACAAGAAGCCCGATGCCGCCCCTCAGTGAGGTGTATATGTTGGATGACTGGGGTGTGGCCCACTACCCTGGGGCTTCTCCTCTTTCCATTCCCTTTTTGATACAAAATCATGCTCATCCCCCACCACCACTTTACGCTGGTTGGATTGTTGGACCTCTCATCATTGAGCCTGAAGTGGGCAAGAGAAAACAGGCATAAAGCTTTGAGAGAGAAACATCGGGAGAAAAAGCCTGACCCTCCCAGGACATGAGGCTGTGCTTGGCCAGCCTACGGCTTCGGCCATTTGCCTTTCGAGCTACTCGTCTTTATTTATTAAGACATTCATGAGAACTCGTTCTACGGGGCATCCTTGGGCCATGGCTATCGTTGTTGAAGCCTCTGTGGTCTTCACGAAAGCCTTACGGCTTAATCACTGCCCTCCAATGAACCCCATTACCATTTAGCTACATCTATAACCGATATTTGAATACAAATGAAAATTACTTGATGAACGAGATCTCGAACAGCGCCTATTGTTGTCTGTGTGGCTGGAGTAAGGGTAGGCGAAAGTACGGGTTTTCTTCATTGCTCCAGCTCGACGCTTTTTTTCGGTCGGTATTATAGGCTCACATATTGTTCAGCGTAGAGAAGATTGCTCACTCATCGTTGAGGAAGTAGAGGCTTCCACCCAATATTCTCTCCTGAAACGTCGTCAAGGAGATCGCCCGTTTCGGCGCTAGAAACTCCAGATACTCCACTTACCCCATCTAAGCTCTGACGGGAACTCGAAATATTTTGCCAAGTAGCGCTTCGAGCTGAGCCGGAAGTTGCAGAGGAAATCCGACCGCCTGTCGCCTGGGAGCTCAAGGAGATCGGTTTCCTGGGAACAGCAGGCGGCGACTTTTCAGCGGCAGATTTGTCTGCCACTGGAGATTGCATGTTGTTTTTAGTTCCACCTGCAGTTCCCCGCCGTGGAGGTGGTAACGGCTTTCTATCAACACGAGCCTCGAGACTCTTCTCCGTCAATATCGAGCTCGGTATCCAGTCAGGCTCATCGTCTCTGGAAAAGGGATTGGATTTGCGATGAGGGTTAGGGACATATCCCTCTTTGGGTGGTTGTAGCGCTGCTTTCGCAGGCACGCCTGTCATAATAGTGATCAGTAACGAAGCCTAGCGGTATATGCGAGAAACTAGCACTGTGTTGCCTACCGTTATCAAGCCACCATTTGCTTCGATCAGAGCTCGCAGATGGTAAACCAGGGGCAATGGGGCCCGGTGGCAAAATATCCTCGTCGTCCAAGTCCAATAAATTGATAGAGTCGGAAAGAGCATCACGCTGTTTCTCTTCATATAGCAAGCGCCTGAGATTGTCTTTAAGTCCAAGATCGACATTATCAATCATGCAATCGAACTTGGCATAAACTGGTCGATGATCTGAACATCTAAGATCGGCGGTATGGTACTGCGTCTGTCGCAAGTTGGCTCCTCTCCACAAGATGCGGTCACACCAGGCAGGAATCCGGGATTTATCACTGTAGAGAGATCGGTAAGAGTTTGTACCTCGCGAGGAAATGGGAAAGAGGGCTTCTTACGAAGTATCATAAATATCGGTTCCAACGTCATATTTATAAGTCGGAGGGAATGTGATGAGGCCTTCAGAGTAGAATTGGAAAACCCTTCCAGCCACCATGTGCAGATTCAACTACGTTCGTTAGTTGGAAGGCAAGCAAACCACAGACCAATTTGTTCACTTACCTGGTCATTGTCATATAGCTTCTGGAGATCGCCTTGCGAGATGAGATCGCGTACGATGTGGTTCCCTAGGCCAATGCGGTAATTGAAGTCACCAAGCCAGATCGTGGAGTCATGGTCGGCGATGGTCCGATTCTTTTGGAACCGTAGACCACTGTCAATGGTCTCATAGTCTCGATCTCGCTCATCATCATTCCCGAATCCAGCAGCCAAGTGGGCAGTGACGAAGCAGATACTCGTGTTCGAGAAGTCAAAACGGATCGCGCAGCCTCCTTTGTTGCCAGCGATTCCCGAAAGGCCAGTCTATCGATATATTAGCTCCAGAACATGCACATCCGGCAGATTTAGGCGATATAATGATGAATATGTACCTTTTTAACAGCTCCTTCAACATTCTTGATCTCCTTCAGCGCATCTGCTTTCACGTATATCATCAAGGCAGCGCCTACAAGCTGCCCGCTCCGCAGCAACACATACTTTCCAGTTCCTTTTGCGCTGGTGTGTTTATTCAAGCAGCTTTGGACGGCTCTTTCCCAGCCCTTGCGGTTGCTTGGATCAGTTGACATGATCTGCTGAGGACTTAGATCAACGATTTCCTGGAACCCAACCGCGAAGATTGTGGGATCTTCCTTGGATTGATCCTCGTCAGGGAAGAGCCACGAAGAAAGATCTGCGCCCGGGCCTTCATCACGGCCGTTCACGTTGAAAGTACCGACCCAAATCCGAATATTCTTGCTAGAGGAGTACTCGGCTGCGCGTCGACCAAGATCTTCGGACACCAAATCATTCATTGGGTCGTAGAGGTGAACCGGAATCTGATTTGCAAGTCGACCTAACAGAAGATCAATCGTCTTTTGTCGCGCTTTGTCCGTGAAGTTGTTGACATAGAGCCTCGTTGCGCTTTTCCGGGCATCCGCCAGCGCTCCTGCAAGAGACATTTTCCCGTGGCGGGTGAAGGACGACTTTAGAGCACCGGTTCCTGCATAGATCTTTGAGAGAGCATCTCCGTTATCGGCCCAGAGGGTGGAGTGCCGCATCTGTAGATCTGAGGTAAGTCTTGCACCTTGCTGAGACAAGAAGGTTCCCATAGCCATCGAGCTGATGATTGTCTGAACAAGGTTCGTCCGATCAAGACAATCAAGACAGTTGGTCCGAAAGACGCCTTCTTGCTGAAGAAGGATGGACGAAGTACTGACTGCGTCTTCTCTGTCCACGTTCGAAGAGGATAGGCGGCTGCTGTCCTCGGATAGGAAGTAGGCAAATCCGTCCAGAGAATCGGCCAATTCATACTTAATTTGATGACTTGCCTCATAACCAGCGGGTCCTCGAGTTTCAGCATGGAAGTCATAATCTGTCATTCGTAAAAGACTTTGGTGAGAAGATTTCGGATATCCCTCTTTTTGCCTAACAGAGCTTCGGGCAATGTGGTTTCGAAATTTGGCCGATAGCTCCGCCTCTCCAGATTTGAGTTCACTGAGTAGATTGACAACATGAACCGCCCCGTATTCCAATTCCAGGGTCTCAAAATGTTGGTCGAATGCATGCTGCGTTGCTTCGGGAGAGCGTGTGATCTCAATCTTCTGCTGACCGGGAATCAGGCCGGGTGTTTGTTCCCAGAAAATGGGTACCGAGCCACGTATTTGCACATATGAGAAACAGATCCCCGGAGACACCCATAGGACTATTTCCGTTTCTACAAAGTTGGCCACGTTGCCATCATCATCGATGCCTCGTGAGTTGAAACGAGTGCCGGCACGCCGAGAGGATTGCCGTGAGATGATGGTCAATAGAGCCGGCATATTTGTCCGTACTCGCGGCAAGATCGGAACGGTTGCAGGAATCTTCAGCGTACCAGCATACCCTCGAATAACGCATGTCAGAATTTGAGATGCATCGAGCTTTGCTTTATCGGAAGGCGGCAAGTGACTCCGGAACAGAAGAAGGGGGTGGATCATATACGAATTCCACAACATGTCCTCGTCTAATGAATCAATATCAAACGCGGCCGATTTCTCCGACCTAGGGTGAGACTTCAGCTAAAGGTGGATGACCGAGGGCATAGGTTAGGCTTACCGATCCTGCAAGCGATCCGTCAGATTAAAATCGAGACTGTAGTAGAAGCTCCCATCTCCCAAAAGCTTCTTCAGAGCCAGGAAAGGATGATCGGTGACCACCTCTTTGCCTTCTGCACCAGGCCGATCATCGGCGGCGAATTGGGAGCTACTTTCGTAGTCCAGGCCATATTCATATTCGGATCGGTTGAGACAATCTGAAGGTGCGTTAGAAGAGAAAGGGGAAAATAAATGAGAGTATAGATATTAATCAAAAGCATACAAAAATCTACATTGTCAATTCTGGCCACGGCTTCTGCCGGACGCACAGTAGCCGCTTGCGAGGAGCCTGTAACCACGCAAACGAAAACGTCTTCATTTAACGTCACGAGACCCAAGGTACCGTATCCGGCACCCAAAGATCTGTATCCCGCGAGGTCCACGGACGAAGCCTCTAAGAATTCGACCCGACAGCGGGGGGCGGCCTTAGGCCCACCCTCGACTTCACTGTAGTGGAAAATCAGGACATGGTCGGAAGCAAGCAATGCAATTGTCCGTCGTGGTTGATCTCGACAGAGAACTCGGAGATTAAACATGGCCCGTGGAGTGATTTGGATTCGTGCGTCACACAGTCTATCATGAGCACTCCGAGAGGCTAAGCCTCAATTGCCCAACGGAAACAGTCGGTCTTGCTGGTTTATGCGCAGTTAGAACACTTGACTGGGGGAAAAAAAAACGCGGAGGGCTAACCGTGTACCTAGATTAACGACAAATTTACCGCTTTTCCCAGGAAAATTATGCCGGTTTGAATCTTTGGATTTTGGGTGAGCGGTGGTGGTTGATGTGGTTGATGTGGCTGAGCTGGGAGTTGTATATGTGAGGCGGAGGATCAGGTTTATCGGGCTTATCGATACGCGGGGGATTGCGCCTTATCGCCCGCTGACTCAGCACCGCCAGTTTTCAATTTTCTCCAAAAACTTTCTTTTCTTCAGTTCCTGGAGCACCAGCAAAAAGTCCTTCTTTTCATACGCACTCTCTTTCTCCCAGCAGTCATGGGTTTGGCCGGGCCCAAGAAGTATGCGCATCTCCTATGACTCACATCGCACTCTCTCTGACATTTTACAGCAAAACTAAGATCTCCCATGATCCGAACAACACCAAATGGGCCCGCTCCACGTCCGGCTTCGGACACCGGATCATGAGCGCCCAGGGCTGGACCCCAGGTAATCGACTGGGAGCCAAAGATGCTGCGCATGCCGAACACTTGACCTCCGCGAGCGTCTCTCATATCAGGGTTACTATCAAGGACGACAATCTCGGATTGGGTGCACGTGTCGGACGAGAGGGCCAACCCACCGGTTTGGATGCTTTCAAAGGGTTGCTGGGCCGTTTGAACGGCAAGAGTGATGAGGAACTTTGTATTGAACAGCGCAAGAGAGACGATGTCCAGTTGGCGCGTTACGTTGCCCTCAAGTTCCAGGAGGTGCGCTTCGTTCGGGGTGGGCTTCTGACCCAGGAGAAAGTCCAGCGGTTGCCAAACCCAGCACCCAAGGAAGACCAGGCGAACAAGAAATCCGAATCCTCGACAGCCAGTGACAACGATTCCGCGGATAACAGCGAGTCTGCGACGGAGACGTCATCGAAATCCAAATCCAAGTCCAAGTCCAAGTCCTCGAAGAAGTCCAAGAAGTCTCGCTCCCAATCAGACGAGGCCGACAGCTCGTCATCGGTCTCTGATAAAAAGAAGAAGAAGAAGAAGTCCAAGAAGAGAAAGGCGGAAGAGGACGATGATGAGTCCGAGACTACGGTCAAACGTCGGGCTTCTACTCCTGACGAGAAGCCCTCGAGCAAATCTCAGCCTCAAATTGCCACGGTCCCAGCCCCAGTGATAGGAGAACGTCGGCCGATAGGCAGACAGGTCTTCCGTGGACGGCATATCGCACAAAAGAAGAGGGCTCTTATGGACGACAAGTCGCTCAATGAGGTGAGTCTAGGAAACCGGAGGATCAACCCCTCCATTAATTTTCACATTAATCACATTGCTAATTGTGGCCTCTGGGAACAGATCTTCATGGTCAAGGCATAGAAATCGGGACTGCGTTGCATAAACATACATTATCGGGATCCATGGGCAAGGTGTTTGGCGTAAATCGGTTGTTTGTTAGTCACAATTCAATATACATTTATTGTCGAGCGGGGCCAGGACAGTCTATTGACTGCTTTTGACCGCTTGATTCATTTCTCAGACACATTTCTCTGTGGCTGCTTGGCCACTGGATCTATCTAGATCAACGTAGCGTATGAGGATCGCTCGACATAATTCCTCCCACTTGATTGAATGGAGGCATCATTAAACCTACAGTCCTAGATGGTAAGGTACGTATTGGATGTTATTGCACACTACCCTGACTATTAGCAACGCATCTACCTTGGAACTATCTCGCTAGCTACTACCGCGGAACCTTGATCAAATGGCTGAAAAGGCCAAGTCGCATGACAATCAATTATTGTTTGCGACTGTACTCCAACCACAGTGACATTTAAATACCTTTCCGTCCTACTCACTTGTAGGACAAAGTGTAACTTCCAAAAATAACTCAAGAGAACGGCTCGGGGGCCTCGGTATTACCTAAGCCCGCGGCACCCGACGTCATCTGGTCTGGCAAGTGTTAAAGAACGCAAGGTTCCTTGCGACACTCGGGGAGGATTTTTTCAATTTCTCCCCCTCTCCTCTTCCCTCCGTGGTGCGAAAAGATGAATGGAGATACTACGCCGAGACGCGAGCCAAGTACCACGGCCACCACGGCTCGTACATCCTCGACTCGGCCCGAGAATGCTGGGAGAAAACGGTATGCACCTGCAGCCTATCCAGCCTCCCCCGGATTATTTCCAATGTTTGCTGACTGACGGCTCTTCAGCATCCACTGGGCACCCCTGAATGTTGGCATCGAGCGCCGCCTCCAGACGCTACTTGTGCTCTGCCATACGCTCACCATTGCAATCTTCTTGACCAGCTTCTTCTTCACATGTGCCATCCCCTTGTTCTGGCCGCTTCTACTGCCGTACCTGGTCTATATCTCACTGTTCTCCACGGCACCCACGTCGGGAGAACTCAAAGGCCGGAGTAACTTCTTGCGATCGCTTCCTATCTGGAAGATCTATGCATCCTATTTTCCTGCCCGTCTTCACCGCGAGGAGCCTTTACCTCCGACTAAGAAGTATATCTTTGGCTATCACCCGCATGGCATTATATCCCACGGTGCCTTCGCCGCCTTTGGCACAGAGGCCCTCGGCTTCTCCAAACTATTCCCAGGAATCACAAACACCCTCTTGACCCTAGACTCGAATTTCCGCATTCCATTCTACCGAGAGTATGCGCTTGCCATGGGACTGGCCAGCGTGTCGCGAGAGTCATGCGAGAATCTTCTGACTAAAGGAGGGGCTAATGGAGAAGGCATGGGCCGAGCAATCACCATCGTCGTTGGCGGAGCTCGCGAATCACTCAACTCCCAGCCCTATTCCCTGCGTCTGGTCCTGAAGCGACGCAAGGGGTTCGTCAAGCTGGCTATTCGCACGGGCGCTGATTTGGTGCCCGTCCTCGCCTTTGGGGAGAACGATCTGTACGAACAAGTGCGTTCCGACGAGCATCCGATCATTCACAAACTGCAAATGTTGATCAAGCGCACGATGGGATTTACGATTCCGCTATTCCATGCGCGTGGCGTATTCAATTATGATGTTGGGTTGATGCCGTATCGACGACCGCTGAACATTGTCATCGGCAAGCCGATTCCAGTGATGCAACAGTCAAATCGGGATAAGATCAATGACAGCTACATCGATGAGCTTCACGCTCGATACGTACAAGAGCTTCAGCGATTATGGGATCAGTGGAAGGATGTCTACGCCAAGGACAGGACGGGCGAACTGGAGATTATTTCCTGATTAAACCCGATGAAACTATACCGATTATGGAGGGAAACTTGATGGATTAGAGAATCTGTCCATGCCCGAATATCTATTTTCTATACAGATAACATGCATACCCGGCATCTGAATTAGGCATCGAAATGGACACACATCGCAAAAAAGATTGAGAGACGCTCAAGAAAAGCAAAGAATCAATAATACATCGTTCTCTCTGGGAAAATACCAAAGAAACGTAACCAAATTCTTTAACAAAATCGCATGGACATGAAAAATGTAACGTCAAATAGATAGACGGGGTATCAGATCAATCAGAAAAAGAAGCATCAAAAAAAACCGAAGGCGAAAAAAAAAGGAACATAACAGTGTGATACCACATTAGCCTGGTCAACTTGGCGGAGAGCCTGGAACGGCCTCCGCTGGAATGGTGGGAGTCAACTTCGGCACCTCAGCCGAGCTTGAACCTCGACGACTATCACTCGACATACGCTTGAAGTGCCCAAGGGAGTTTCTGTCTAGATGACCGCTCTCAACCCGACCTTGGATCATCTCATCAAGCATCCTGGACACTTCGTCCATGTTCTTTCTCCGGTCCTCTTCTCTCTCGCCAGCTTTCACCGGAACGGTGTGCCTTGAGGGGCTCGTGTTCTTGTCGCTTACTTCACCGCAAGCTTGGAGCTGGGGACTGCTGGGTCCAGAAGCGGCCGAGTCCACCTTGACTTTCTGCTCTGGAGATTGAGAGTCGCTGGTCACGGCGGCCAGGTCGCGATGGCGGGCAGCAGATCGAAGTGCCGCCAGCATTCGGTCTTTATCATCGAGCTGGATACGAAGCTCATTGATCTCCATGTCTTTCTCACGGAGTAAAGACATCATATCCGGGTGCTCGGAGATGGTGGTGGTGGAAGGGGCATTGGATTTGACCCCCACAGACATTCGGGAGTGACTCGAGCGACGAGCCTGAAGTAGTCGTCGCTCCAACGTGGAGATATATCGATTCTTGTCGCCTAGGTCAGCCTGCAGGGCGGTGATCTGTCGCTGCAGGCTTGCTTTGCCATCACCAAACTCGCCCATGTCCTCGTCGTCTTCATTGCCAAACGAGCCGTTGGCGAAGGGCATCGATATGGAAGGGTCATTGCTGTTGACCGACATGAACGACATGGGTCGAATAGACGAGTGAGCTGCACCCAATGTGGACTGACTAGCGGACGAGCGAAGGGATCGGGTCCCAGAGTCTGTGGCGGACATTCGGGAAAGTCGACCAAAAGCCGAAGAAAGACTACCATGGCTGTTCACACCGGTTGACTTGGAGCTCAGAATCAACCGATTCAAATGCTCGATTCTCTCCTTCAACGCGGTTCGGGCCAGCTGCATTTCCAGAACCTGCTCCTCGTGGCGAGCCTGAGCTTCCTTTTCAAATTGTTGCTCATCCCACTTGAGCTCCTTCTCTGCCTGCGCCTTGGCCTGGGTATCAAGCTGGCCACGAAGAGCCTGGATTTCCATACGGTAGCGTTCGAGAAGGACCCGACTACCGGCATCACCGCCGCCACTACCGTAGGCTTCCTCGGCCTTCTTTGCATGACTGACAATGCTATTTTTCGCGCGTGCAGCAAACTTCAGGGTGTTCAGGGTCTCCCCCGAGTGAGCGTTGATACCAGCAACGAGCTGAACCGTGCAGAGAATACTCACGAGGGAGTTTCCTGATAAAGCGGGCTGCAGCAATCTAGTCAATTTGGAGTCACGGTATGGCAGATGCCGACCGTCCCGATCAATCGGATTGCCTTGCTTGTCCTTGTTCTCCGAAAGTTTGGAGATAATGTTACCCAACGTAAGCAAGCTCTTGTTGATGTGAGCACCTTCGGTCCGGCGCTCTTTGTCATCGGCGGCACGCTCCGAGCCAGCGAGATCGATCAAACTCAGGGTCGATACTCGGACACCACCAGGAGCAATGCCGGACCGCTTATCGTGCGAATCACCGGCAGGCACTCGCTCTCGACTCTCGACGACAATCTGAACGACTGCGTGACTTCGAGAACTGCGTGCATTAAATTGGGTGCTGCTGGTACGCCGTGCATGGTCTCCTCGCGCGATTACTCGCAGAAGCTGTGTCGGGCTCTGCACAATCTCTTCCTTCAATGGCGTTGCATACACGCCACGTTTACTGTCTTCACGTAGCTTGATTTCTTCCTGTTGAGGTGCCGGGACACCGTTGGTGACCGAAGTCGACAGAAGATCGTGAATTCTCTCATTATAGATCTCCAGATAACTCACTCGGAGCAAAAACTCCCGGTGGGGCGTTTCCCGAATGAAAGAGAAGATATCGGTGATGGCGAGTGGGATCACACCGGGAGAGGTGGCCGTACCCTGCATCGAGAACGTCTTACCAGTACCTGTCATACCATAGGCAAAGACAGTACCGTGGTATCCCTCCATGACTCGTCGCACAAGCCGTTTCGCAGCTGCATCATAGACCTTGGCGTTGTTTTCTTGTGGGGTGAAGACATTGTCTGTTTGCGAGGATTAGCACCAATTCGGATTCCCTCCTTGTGGGTGCATCTGCAGCCGCACTTAAAAACCAGATCCGGACTACGTACCATAATAGTAATCGCCTCCATCTTTACCGCGATGGGATATCAAACTCCGACGCCCATCCAACCCCCATTCACCGTGGTTTCGCGGAGTCTCGCCTCCATTGCTAGTGTCTGGCCGAACACGGACACTGACAATCACATTGCCCTTGGACTCTTTGGACTTGCCACCCTTGATAGTCCCCGTCGCATCGTCCGTGTCCTCAAATGTAGTTGCACTGGTGGAACAGGACCCCTGGGCAGAAGAGCTCCTACTGTGAGACGGTGAGGCTTCCGGATCCCGTGCCTCTGCTAAGACCGACTTTCCATCTGCGCTGCCATTGAGCAAGGACGGGGTTTTCGAGCTGCGGTAGCTGCTGGTGGTGCCCGTACTGAGCCGCGAGCTTCGCTGCGGCTTCGTATTCCCGGAGGAAGTGGGGCCCTGGATGCCCGATATCGAGGATGCGGCGGTGGAGGGGCGGCTACCGGCTTTGGGAGGCTGTGGAAAGGAAGCGATGCTGATAGTTCGGCGTAAGGTCTTGTCGGGGCTGCCTGGCGTTCGGCCGCTGGAGACCGATCGGACCGCACTCAAATTCGAAGTCGAGTTGGAACTGGATAGCGGGGATCGGAGGGATGGGGGCCTAGGACTGGACGGTGTCCGTAGCTTGGACGGTTGGTATGGAGATGCCGATCGAGGCGCATCGGGAGCCGGGGTGCTTTTTCTGGCTCTGGGAGTTGGTAGCGGGGGTAAAGACCCGGTGGGAGGGTTTGTTGATGGCCGTGATGGAGTTGGAAGGGTGGACATGGAAGCCATGGTTCTGTCGTCTGGCGCCGGTCACCGGAGAAAGTAATAATATCCCAATTCCCTCCCCAGAGCGTCAATTCAGTGGATGAATTACGGACGAGAATGCAACATGCGGGCGAGTTGGTTTTGTCGGTAGCGCGACTTTGTTCAGAAATCTCGAATTGGGCGGCGGAGAGGGGGGCACTGTCAACGCGCTATGATCAGTCAACTGGTTTAGATGCACGACCCGATAAACACCAGCCTTTTTCCCTCCCCCAGCGTTCTCGGCGCCGGCTTGCGGGAGCAGCGATTTCTCCTTCAGGAAGACGATCTGGTCGGTGTTGAAGAAACGATCACGCAAAAAGGTGTCGCGCGACTCATTGCGAGATTCTTTCGGGAGATTTGTGGGGGGTTCGGATACTCACAGCTTTTTCAACAACCATGCGTTGCGATCGCGACGGGGGGGAGACGTGAAACTCGGATGTCCACGAAGCGCCACTGCCGCAGTGCTTAGGCCAAGTGACCGAAAGGGAGAATTGAGAAGTTGGGACTCGAACCGGTGCCGATCAGTGATTAGCAGGGAAGAGAGAGATCCGAACAGCGGCAGAGACGGAGGTAAAAAGAGAGAGAAAGAGTCGAATTGAAGGAAAGTTGAAAATCGGCGAGACTCAAAATGATGAGCGGGTTTGGATTTCCTCCCCCGCGCAACGCGGAAAGGGCCCCATTTTTTGAATTTAATCATTTTTCCTTCCTGAAGATTACGAAGACTACGAAGGACGGACTGGAGAGTCTGGACTGGCGGAAGGGGAGAATGGAGACTAGCTGGACTTTGCTTAGAACGAGTCCGTGACGGTGGACTCCTCGAGGGAGAGAGAGAGCCTATATCTCCTCCTTCTTGCTCTCCTCTTCTCCTGTATTGTGTACTTGCATGAGTCTCCCTCCCTCCTCCCTTGGATTGTCCATGTCCATGTCCGGAGTACTGGAGTATTGGAGTACTGTAAGTATACAAATCCCCGAGTCCCCTCATCCTTCGGCACTCGACCTTTTTGAGGTGCTTTTGTCCCATTTCCTTTCTCCGATCAAATTACCCAGTCACCATGCGCGCACCGGAGAAAAAGGGGTAGACATGGCGTGGTGCTAAAACGAGACAATCACAGTCTAATGCTCGAAGGAGTCAAGGCGCGAGTTCCAAAGGAGCTCGGTCGGGCCAATCATGGCAAATTGGGCCCGCGACGAGCTGTGGAGGAGCTCGTCCGGGACCCAAAGGAACTTTCAACCCAAAAAAGGGGGACGAATGAAGGTGTCCGATTGGGCCCCCGGTGGAGTGCGGGCTGAATAATGGTTGATGATTGTGATTGTGATTGATTGTACTGTAACCAGCAACTGGAGCCAGGCGAAACAAGCAGCTATCGAAGGCGCAGCACCCGGACGTCTAGGCTGATTTTTTGCCAAATTGCAAATTGCCGGCCCCAACTGAGGAACTGGACGACGAGTCACGACGCGGCAAAGCGAAACAGACTCGGACCCCATGTGCGAACCCAACGTTGATCCTCATTTGATCTTCGCTCGATCATTACCACCAGACCCACTCGCCCGTTCCCAAGGAGGAAGGGGGGGGGTCCCCGAGAGTCGCGGTTCCCCTTCTTGGATCCTCGAGCAGTCGCCCTCGGAGCTCATCAACGGTCCTTGGGGTGTCCTTCGGAAGGCGATTGAGGGTCAGATCTTTCCTACATTGTTCGCCGGTCCAGGTCGCGGCCGGGCGAGGGTCAACTATAGATCGACGAACAACGCAAGGGACACCACGAACGGCGGTCCCCTCCAACTAGGACGGTGGAGTACTTCGCACTCCATCCCGATTTGCTTGGATGGGGGAATTGGCGACATGACAGGTAGCGGATCGTGCGGCTGACAGATCGAGGGGATGTCACTGCCCATTGTAGATCAATGGCCATGGACTCCCTCCTGGATATACCCTAGAGGAGTCCCTAGTCTACTGCCAAAGGGCTATACTGCAATGGCTACATACCATCCCCTCCTCTTGTGCAAGGAACCTTTGACCCAATGCGTCGGGTTCGCGAGCTGACCACTTTGATCTCTTGGAAGTACATATTATTGCCGAAAGGTGGGCAGAGACGATAGTCACTCTTGACCTGCATGCATGATGCAAGTCAAGGTATGTATATGGGTTTATCCTGGCATCTGGGGGGGCAACTATCTTTATGAAATATCATAATCTCGATCGCGGGATGCATGAGATCGAAAGAAAGGGGGAAAAAAAACAAGATTTCTAATGGTGAATCAATGCTCATCATTGATTTTTTTGGCTTCGTCATTATCATCATCACAATTTGTCATTATTTCATGGCTCCAAAGTCCAACTGCCGGGCCGCGTTCTTAAAGGGACCGTCATCGATCTCGCCCCCGCGTCGGCCTAAATCTTCGCCCATTTTCTTCGTCCCTGACTTCCGCGGGAGATCTTCATTCTTGGTCGGACGCGGCTCGGTAGTCCACCACCTGTGCTGTAAGACCTGCAGCGCAGTAGCGCGTTTGCGAGGGTCCAACACACACATCGACATGAGCAGATCAGCTCCTACCGGGCCAGCCGTAGGGAATTGCCGAAGGAAGAACTCTCGTCCTTGCACCGGCACCGCCTTGTCCGCCACGTAATTGGCCAATTGCGTCACCCCAGGCCAGTTTTCTTCGGTGGGTGTGCCAAAGGCCTCGCAGATCTTGCTAATCTGGTCGAGATCTGACATCCCAGCCAACAGCGGAACACGCAAGAGTAACTCTGCAAACACCATACCCATGGACCAGACATCCACGGCGCCGGAATATTGCTTGGCACCGAAGAGCAGCTCGGGAGGTCGATACCAGCGCGTGATCACCTGGTGGGTCATGTTGAGGTAAGGGTCCGCAAATGATCGCGCCAGACCAAAATCTGCCAGTTTGACCTCGCCATCGGCCGCGATCAACAAGTTGTTGGGTTTGATATCTCGATGTAGCACAAAGTTCTCATGGCAGAACCATACTCCTCGGGCCAGCATGCCCATCCAGGCCTTGACATCACCCACACCGTAGTGAATATCACCATCTTTGATCAACATCTCAAGATCACCCCGCGGAAGGAATTCCAAGACCAGATTGAGGTTCTGATCCTTGGATGAAAACACGTCATGAAGGGCAATCACGTTCCGATGAGATAGCTCCTGGAGGTACTTGACTTCTCGAATAGCATCCATAGTGAGTCCATCTTTATATTCGGCATTGACTTTGATCTTTTTGATGGCGACGAGTGAGGAGGGGTCCTCGCGGAAGTGTCCTAAGTATACGATGGCGTACGTTCCTTCGCCTAGCTTCTTGCCTATTCTTTTCGTTAGTCTCGGTCAGAGTTTCACGATTTTCTTAAGGAGTCGTAATTCCCAACGTACCCTTGACGTATTTCCGTCGCACATCATCGTTTAGCTGTTCCGTGAGCTCACGTTCCGGGTTCGACTCGAGCTTGGCAGCGGCGGCTTGGCTAGGTACATGTTGAGCTGCAGCAGCTTTCAGATGTAGCGCAGAGTTGGGCGATGCGACTGTCATCGAAGGCGAGCGAGATGCAAATGGTGAGAGGGCCATCTCGTGAACTGGGCTCGGAGGCTCTGACGAGCTCCGAACGTGGTGGATAGGTGTTAATGGATACCTAGAGAAGACGTGAAATCAATGGGTAAATCAAAGACCACAGAAATCTTCTATTAAGAGATCATTTTCTTATAAATGAGAAAAAAATGGGTGTAGGGAAGTTGAAAGAAAGAGCTTCAGCACGTAAATCCCCCTCCCCCAAGCTGTACCATGAACGCGCCTCGGAGTATCGTTGATCCCGAAGGTGCTGGGTGGCTCCGAAATTTCTCAGCGCGGCCAAACAGCCACGGACAACTCGGTCAACTGACGATAACCTCCCCACGGGCCAATCCCTCCCTCACCTCTCCCCCCCCTCTTATTCCTACACTCAGGAGGGCCGCCAATTTTTGGGGAGCAATTTACCCGCGTCAGGCCAACCACAAACCCCAAAATTTCCAAGCAGTGCTTGCGGGAGTCAGTCCGCAAGTCACACCACGGACCCCCATCATGGCGATGCGCAACCCCCAACTCCGGAGTCTCCCATCACGGCTCTTCCAGACCATCACCATCTCCAGACAATGCATTCGACCATTGTCCCGCAAAGCAGCACCCTCAGTGCCGACCCCGACTCCCTTCGTCCCGGACGTCCAGACCTTCCTCACGCTGATCGGTCGTGAAATGTCCAAGCACGCGAGCAAGATCTCTTCATGGGAGCAACTGTTCTCCTCCAACTCCGACCAGCTCCGCCAACTGGGCATCGAAAACGCTCGGCAGCGCCGATATCTCATGCGGAAGCGAGAGAAGTTCCGCAACGGAGTCTACGGACCCGGAGGCGACCTCGAGCAGGTCGTGGACGGCGTGGCCCAATTGCGCGTGGTGGAGGTGCCCCATGAGTCTGGCGCTGCAGACAGCGCAGCAGCCGGCGCTAGCTCGGCGACATTGACGCCAGGCATGAAGAAGGCAATTGTGAATCTGGCACCGGATGCCACAGAATACAAGCACAGTGTGTCGGCGGTGCTGAAGAAGTTTGCGCACATGAAGATCCACCGAGGCTCGAAGATTATGGGTCCTTTCTTACAGCCGATCAAGGGCTCTCACGGGTCTGCGGCGACGATCTCGGTTCAGGAGGGTATGTGGGAGGATAGACGGGGGCAGAAGGTTGACGGTGGTGAGCGACGACGGGTTGAGGTGCGGGCCAAGAAGAGACTTGAGGAGAGGAGGAAAGCGTAGAGTTGACTCAATTGGATTGGCGTTTTCCTGCATATCTCTTGAGCCCTTCCCTGACGGACTTGTGTGTTCTATTTGCAATGTACTATACTGCTATACTATCAACTATCTCATATACAAGGGCTATATTTGCCCTTTTGCATTTGATTACACCTACCGAGTAGGCGGACCTTTGCCATTATATTCTTTAGTACAAACAATACCGAAGCACTACTTTCCCGTTTGGTATATAAATACACGGTCATTCAACGACTGCCCATAGTGCAATGCCACCAGCTACTTACTTTCCGAGTTGAGTCGTCTTGAATCGTCTTCAATTAGATAGATATAGTAATAGTCACGGTATCAACACAAATGATAACAGGTATGAAAATCGCGAACCGCGATGAAGAAAGAATAAAAAAAGCACAAAGGTTTAATGTACAATGAGTACGATCGTTCCAAGGACGTCGAGGGCGAGGGGACGAGAGAGAACGTACAGATGGAACAGCCAATCTGTGGGGCAGTCTCTTTTCTTCGGGTCCCCGCCAATCCGATGAAGGTCATTAAGTGTAATAACAGGTACCAAACGTCCAGCGACTTTCTTTTATGGGAGTTGCCGACTGGCGGGCTCCATCTATTCCTTGGTGCCACGCTTCTCATAGCGGACAAATGACTTGCCCAGAGGCTTGGAGAACAGGGACTTTTAGACAATGTTAGTTTTGTTAGACTTTTCCTGGATGTTTGCATAACCACTTACCGAGTAGTCTGTTTCCGGAATGCCGGTGGAATTGGGAGGGTTGGAGAACTTGAACTGCCTGACCAGTGCCGCCAGAATTGTGCCTAGTTGGACGTAGGCAAATTGCTCACCAATACAGCGATGACGACCGGCACCGAATGGCAGATAAGGGCTGTTGGTACCCTTGCTCACAAGACCGTAACCGTAGTCGATCTTCTCGTCGTCATCATCCTCCTCCTCCTTGGCCGCGTTGTCCTCGTCCCAACGGTGGGGGTTCCACTTCAGCGGCTCGGGGAAGTACTCCTCTGAACGAGCAGTGACACCGGGAGAAGAGAGAACGTTGTGGGTGGTGGGGATAACATAGGGAGTTCCCTCAACGGGCATGGGGTTCTTGACAGCGCGAATGATAGAGTGAATGGGAGCGTGAATGCGGAGGGTCTCCTTGATAACCTTGGAGTGCAGGTCCAGTTTCTGGAGGGTCTCGTAGGTCAGATCAGGCAGATCCTCGCCCAAAACACGGAGCTGCTCTTGGTAGAGTTCCTCGATGATCTCGGGGCAGGTGGCCAAACGCAGAACAATCCAAGCAGCTGTCGAAGAGGACGAGTGCTGACCGGCCATCAACAAGGCAATCATCATGTGAGCAACCTCCTCATCGGGAACCGGGGTACCGTTCTTGTAGGTGCACGACATCAGGTTCCAGACCATATCTTCGGAATCCTTTTTGCCACCGGCCTCACGACGCTGGCGAATGATATCCATGTAGGTCTCGGTCAACTTGCGCTGAGCAGCATCACGCTTGCGGTTGTGAGGGAGAGGGGCCCAGGGAAGCATGAAGTTGATGGGGGCGAATCCCATGTCGAGGTCGTGGTACATCTCAGCAAAGGTAGAGTTGAATCGATCACGAACCTCCTTGCCCTGTAGGGAGCGCGACGCAGTGTAGATGGTGATTTCCGCAATGATTTTGGTAACGTCGAAAGTACCCTTGGATTCCTGGAAGGCGGGGGAGTTCTTAACGAAGTCATTGACCTCGTCGGTAATCAGGCGCACATAGGAGCGGAGGGCGTCAGAGGTGAGGCCGAACTTGACAAACTAAAGCGAGCGAGTCAAGTTAGATTTCCGCGCATGGACAATACAGTTGTCGAGGATTTCCCCGTTCTCACCTTCTTCTGTTCCATCAACTTGGAGTTGGGGCAATCGTAGACGACATTGCTACCAAAGACGGGAGTAGTGAGGGGTGAGTAGACCTCCTCGGCGCACACATCACGCAGCTTGCCGTTCAGAATGAATTCGTTGCCCTTGGTACCGAGGTAGACGGTGGTCTTCTTGCCGAGGAGAATGAAGGTGAAAATGTCACCGTACTGGAGAAAAGTCGTATTAATGGGCGCACTGGATCAAAGAGCATTGTCATAAGGGGGAATGCGCACCTTTTCGCGGGCATTGAAGAAGAACTTGTACGGGTCAATACCATAACTGATGGTGCTGCCGACGAAGGGGAACCAGTGGAAGACGACTGGGGGCTCGTGGGGGTTCTTGAAGAGCAGCTGGCGGAGGACATTGATCACGACGGACAAGGCGATGAAGGACAATGCGCCAACCGATACGAGTGTGAAAATGGACTGGGACGAGCAGTGCTCGCAGAACTTGTCGAGGAAACTGTTGAGGAGACCCATGGCGAATGGATAAGGGGGAAGGAGGAGGGACCAAGGGGATAAGAAAAGAGAGGCAAATTCCCAAAGCCTTCAATTGAGGCGAATGCTGGGGGGAAGGGGACACCGAGGACAAGTTCGGTCCACGCGAAAGTTGGCAGTTGAATGGCCCGTCGTCCACTGGTTTCCAGAGAGAAATTGAAGGTTGGAAGTGGCAGTGTCTGCGGAGGCCGAAGGGGGGCGCAGAATAATAATCTCCGCGGTGATTCGGTGAGGACCCGCCATGAGTCGTCCGATTGCTGTGAGGATCACCCTACTATGTATTCTCGCAAGTATATTCTAGTACTACATTATATACGATACTCAGCATTCGGTCCCTAGAATTGACCTTTTCCTCGTTTTCAGATTTGCTGGAATATTCATTCAAGACTTGACAATGGCGTTCTTTCCACGAAGGCATGTGTCCATACCAGAAGCCGACTCCGGTGCTTCGGCCAATGAGGTTCGCGCAATTCCCCAATGGGCCGTTGATCAGGCCACTTTATTAGTGGAGGTCGTTGCTCGCTAAATCGATACCCCTGGATCGCTAGTCCCATATCTTACTACTGATCGGGCTAGATTCGTATATCCAATCCTCAGGATTCATTCATACTGCATTTTTGCCTAGGCGTGACGATCGCACGCAATAAGAGACATCAGGGAGCGTGACAAGAGCATCAGGACACCCAGAATGTCTGTCTATCTACACAGGATGCGCTCCCTGAGGTACCGGCACGTCAAGAACCAAGACGAGGGCAAAGGGTAGGCGGAAAAGCAAAAGCTCTACAAAGACATACAATCAATTCCGATAATGCAGATTAGATGTAGTGTAGCCTCATTGGTCAACATACGGAGGGGAACATAGAAAGCCCATTTTGGAGATCTGTTAGGTTGCGGCGATGGCCTGATGCGTGGCGCAAGCTGTGTGGAGGAGCAATAGCAGAGTTTTTAGATTAGTATCGAACTGGGACGCTTATGGCACCATGAGAATTGCATTTCAACGCCGGACTGACCATTGACTCTTAACCTATACACACTAAGAAACCCCCATTTGTGCCATCCCAGTCCCATTTCCCAAGTAGTTACCCCCTGAACCGCAAAGTAATAGATACACGCCCTCCTCGGAACCCCACCCCTTGGCCACAAGTCGAGCTGAACTAGCTCAAGCTAGACAAAGCAAGTCGGAAAAGACAGAGCCAAAAGTGACCGGATTTCATCGCCACCGACTAATCATAAAGGGCAGGATCTCCGGATTGGCCCAGGTTGACAAAGTTTTCGGGCTCGCGATCTCCCCGAGGAGAAGGCTCGCGGCGCGGTGCTCTGGATGGCCGATTGTGCACGCGCTTCCCAGCTTCGTTCTTGTGATAAACCTTGACCGGGGTACTACTGCCCTCGGCATGCTCGCTGAAGTGGACGTCGTTGACGCTGCTCAGCATCGTGCGTTCACGCTCCACCTTGCGCTTGGAAAAGTCTAGCTTGTCAAGAGCCCCAGTGAGGCCATCCGTGCTGTCATTGACGCTGGGGTACTTTTGAGTAAGCCACGGGTGCTCGAGACACTCATCCACCGTGAGGCGTTTCTCAACGTCCACGGTAAGCATTTTGTCAATCAGGTCCAGAGCCGGGTCGCCCACAGAGTCCCAGTAGGGAGAAGGGTAATCGAAACGCCCCATCTTGATCTGCTGCGCCAGGGTATATGGGTTCTCCCGCGTGTACAATTCATCCGAAAATGGAGGGAAGCCGCAAAGACAGATGTAAAGTACGACACCCAGCGACCAGACATCCACGGCCTTGGTATACCGTCGCCGACGGGTCTCCTGCAAGATCTCAGGCGCAACATCTGCATCAATTAGTCCCGAAATCAAAGTTATCTCTCCATGTATTCATGGTGCTGAACTTACAACTGGGTGTACCGCAGCTATAGATAGGGAGGGTTAGCGCATCTATATATTGCCACGAGGAAGCAAATCTTCTGGAGCCTTACAGGGTTGTGGTGAACGAATCCTCTCCAATAATCTTGGCAAGACCGAAATCACCCAGCTTGACGGTCAATTTCTTGTCTGACACCAGAATATTCTCTGGCTTGATATCCCGATGAACGATCCCTCGATCATGCTAGAGCTAGGGATTAGCGCGATCGAAATTGCGGGACAGTCCGGGAGGGATGGGAATATTTACCAGATACTTCAAGCCCTCAAAGAGCTGACGGAAAACATGGCGTGTCTCGGCCTCGCTCAGCTTTTGCTTGGTCACGATCAAGTTGAACAATTCACCCTCGGGGGCTAGCTCCAGAATAAGATAGGCACCATCGGTCTCATCAAAAGTATCCTTCAGGCAGAGGAGGTTTGGGTGATTCACACTCATTAGAAGAGCAATTTCTTGCTGCAATGTCTCGTTCTGAGACTGCGATTTTTGTGAATCCCCTGGACGCTTCTCAAAGACCTTTGCGGCATACTTCTCTCCCGTAGTTCGATCCGCACACAGGTAAACCGTAGCGAAATGGCCCTTGCCAAGCTGCTGGAGTCTCCGGTATTGGTGGCGGAAGCCACTGGCATCTCGCGTACGAGGGTAGCGGAAGACAAATCGAGCCTCGTTCAGAATAGACACCTCATCCCGATCTTCGAGCTCGCGATGCTTGTTGCGGCCTACCAAGGCGTCATTGACGAAGGTCCCGTTGCTGGAGAGATCCTCCAACATCGCAACCACATCGCCCTTTCGTTTTTCTGAGAAGAGAAGGAAATGCCGATTCGAAATTGTGGGACTATTGATGACCAGATCTATGCAGGGAAAATTGTCAGTTGGGTGTTAGACCCCGTGCAAACGAACAGATGTTTACGAACCACACTCGGGATGACGACCGAACAAGTAGCCGCCAGGGACACGTCCATTGCCTTGTTTGCGAGACTGGGGCTTCTTGCTGGATTTATCATCGGCGGGCTCATCACGCCCAGTACACCCATCGCGTTGCCTCAACACGACCGGACCGCTCACACTGTCATCGAGCGGAATGAGGTATCCCCAGACTCCCTCCGCACTCTCGTCGTCGACCTCGTCTGCATATGTCCTCGGTGGGTAAATGAATTGAGAAAGGGCTTGTGTGTCTCCGGGAGGCGAAGAATAGGCCTGAGAAAAGTCGTTCGCTGGAGTTTGCTGACTGACATGGTGGTTCGGGCTGTCCGGGGGAGTGGCCGTGTTTTCGTTGCGGATATCGGTGGCCGTCGAGTTGCCGTGGGTCAGCGGAGTCGGCAGATAGTCATGGATGACCGGTGTTTCTAGTGGTTGCTGTTGTTGCTGACTTGAAATTCTCTGCGAACGCCGGGGCTTTTTCAAGTCCTGCGAATCGGCATCCACGCTGTGCTGTCGGAGAGGGAACGGACGAGTCAGCGCCGGGAAGTCATGAACCGCGCCGATGGAGACTTACTCTGCCTCGTTTGAGCGAGCTTTTTTCACGAGGCGCCATTTTTCTCGCTCATAACACACAGACCCCGGCTTGGGAAGTCGTCCACAGGCCAATTAGCGGTGCTGTCTAGACGAGGCTTCCCGGGGCATTGACCGTCGGGGTAGCCGGCAAGAAGATGGAATCTCGGCAGTATCGAATACTTCAAAGTGAATATCGGACGAATCGCAGTAGAAAACGAGCGAAAAGGATGTTTCTGAGGGGAGAGCGATTTGGGGCGAGCGGGGGGAAAGAAGAAACGGGGGAAGCTTTGGAGGCTCAAGGAAGCTACTTTTTCGAGGGTGAGCCCTCAGCCGCCGCCCGCCCCAACTTGGAAAGTTGGACATGTCACTTCGGTTTGTTTGCTATGCATTCCCCAATGGAGAGAGATATATGACTTGGGAATAACGGATGACATATTGTAGATTAAGTATGATAGTAGAAAATATCACTCGCTACACCCGATCAGAGCATGTCGTTCTCGGAAACCGTTCTGATTATTATTGACTCCCCCCATAGTTACGCAGAAAGCGGGTCAAGTCTCCATTGGACCAGGGGGAAAGCAAGTCGGGCCTAGGTTCGCGCGTCAACACGTGCCCAGCTCCCATTCCCCAGGAATTCTAAAGAATCTAGAGTCCTCCGCAGCCCTCTTCTCTGTCAACACCCCTGGATTGAAGTGAAAATGGATGGGTAGGTGAAGCTGGCCAAGCCATTTCAGGAGAGAACTATCATGTGCTAATCAGAATTATGACGAGTAGTCTCTCGGTCGGGATTCGACGCTCTGCTTTCGAGAAGTTGGCGGCCTTGGCAGTCAAGTCTCCTGGCAATGACGATGGTTCGGACCTTGCGCGCCTCGCCAAACAGACCCGACTGGCTCGCCAGCCGGATGGAGCTTTGAATGGAGTATTGAAAGAGCAGGCTCCGACTTCCCGGATTCCAATGGTACACCTTTGCCTTTTAAGTGTCCGTCGTGGCGGGGTGATCATATACTAACGTCCAGATCTACAGGGAATACGCGAACTCGATGTCCTACTCGCCCTATGCAAGGCTGCCTCCTCCGTGAACGATCCTGAACATGCCAATCGTCTGGCCTCCCAATTGTCCCGATACCTGCCAGAGTCCCCTACTCAGCTGTTTCGCCCATCCCCGTTCCTCCACCAGGTCAAGCCCTCGCCGTGGGAGATTCTCTCTCATAGTCTGACCACGGCACTTTTGTCCTTGGCCACTCAGTTTCCATCATTGCGCAAAGTAGTCCTCAATGCAGTCAGCGGATACCTCAAGAACTGCTCCGATGCCGTCAATGCGGTCACCCCGTTTCAATACTCTTCATCCGAAGCGAGTGGCCGAGGTGTGGTTCACGAATCTATCGCAGTCTTGTCGATTGCGGTGTCGTTGGCTGGATTCCTAGAGGCATCCGCCAAGTACACTGTCATCTGGACTGCGGGAGAAAAGTTGCAAATCATCGATGGATTGCGATCAATGCTTTCCGAGTCGTTCATGATTGCCGTTGAAACTGCTTCGTCGACAGTTCGTAATGCCAGCCACTCTGAACACTCCATCAAGGATTGGAGAAAGTATACGAGACGATATGCAGCCCATGGGCGCCCGTTGGGGGCCATGCTAGTGCAAGAGGGCTTCATGCGCTTTGTCAAGTCATGCGCCGCTTCCTTGATCGGTTCGCAGAATCTGTCTGACGACCAGCTTTTGGATGAATACATGGCTGGTGTCGGGATCGCCAAGAGTTACGATGAAGCTGACATTGCTCTAATTGAGCGTGTTACAAATCTGATTAGTGAGGAGATCAACTTGCTGGAGGATGGATCGGACTATCTTCAAGTTGGGTCTCCCTCTCAGCAGCGGCTGGCCTTTTCTGTGAAGGGTCATGCCCTAGTTGGATTCTTGAATTGCGTTGTTCTCGGTGAAGATGCTGCCAACAATGACGTCCTCCTCTCCTGGCTTGAGACTACTGTCGGAGATCCTCAGCAGATGGCATGCGACGAACTTGCCATCACTGCGCTTAAGTGCACAGCGATTCTCGCCAGAATGTCTTCGAACGGGGCCACGCTTGGACGACGCTGCCTCTTGAAGTACTTAGTTCACGGTCGCGCATCAAAGGGCTCTGTTGTCGCTGTGGCATCTCGATGTCTCGCCCAAATCCTGAGCATTCTCTCTGAGGATTCGGTGATTGCAACTTTGTACTCTTTGGGCAACTCACTGAGCCCCGGCCCCATGGCCGACGGAACGTTTCAAGATCATCTTCTTGCCGATACTACCGGGATCACGGGAAATCTGGTAGCCTACGCACATGCCGGGAATGCAAGCCAAGCAACACTCTCAGCCCTCGGCGAGGAAGAAACTCTGACCAATCGTAATGTCGTCCATGCCATTGTCATTATTGCAACCAGTTGCAACGATGACAAGATCAGCGCTCTTGCACAGTCGATGCTTCTCCAAAAGGTCGGCAAGATCAATGTCTCCGTAGATGCTTTCATCATTCAGGAAGCCGCCGTGCTTGCTTTGAGCAGCGGGCAGGCTGAATTCCAGTTGCTGCTGAAATTCTACACCCGCATCTACCTTGACGGAGTCCACAAAGGTCTGGACATGATCACTGATGCTGTTCAGTGTGCCATGTCGTATCTCTCTTTGACACTGGACAGCAAATCTCCCTTGCACAAGCTTTATCTGACCCACCTACTGGAAAGTGTTGTCAACAAGGGAGATGTCCCCGATGCGGGCGAGTTCGAACGCCATAGGGAGGTTGTTTTTGCTCATGGTGACATTACGCCCCTCTTGAAACCATTGGCACTGCTTGTGTCCTCTAAGAAGGCCACCGCGGATACTTACAATTTGACTTTGGGTTATGACGAGACCGTCTGCTCTCTATTCCGTGATGCCTGGTTCAACATCGCTATTCACGGAATCTCGGTCAACTCGAGCGTTTACCAGAAGCATCTCAAGGAATTGAGCCTGCTCGCAAGCCACTCCCCGCCATTGGTTGCGGAAGAGCGCATGGAGTCTCTCGAGAGTGACGTGGAGCTCAACACGGTACTCAGGAGGGGCATGGGACCGCAGCGGGTTCTGGAGCAGAAACGCTCCCTGATCGCGGAGCTGCCAGGTCGTGAGTCTGATATCAAGCGTCTGGACTACCCCAGGTCGGTGTTCCTCAATGCTGTCTTGCTGGTCGAAACTCTCCGTTCGGCGTCTGGTGACTGCACCAAGGTTCTCAGCTACTTCCGGGATCCAGCCGTGGCTGCACCTGAGATGGTCATTTGCATGAATGCCGTTGCCGACAAGGTCGTGACCTGCTACCTTTCGCGCACACTTTCGGGCGATTATGACGAGTTCTCGGCGCCCTACCTAGCGATGCAGCTGGCCAATTTCCTAACTGCTTGCTGCCATCGCATTGAGAGGATTCAACACATAGCGACGCTGTGTACCGACAAGATCATCCGCGAGTGCCCTTCTGCCCTTTGCGAGAAGCACTCGCTCTTTGCGCTTCTCGAGATTCTGACCGTGATGTGGTTGTCCTGCCTCCAAGGAGAGCTTGACGAATTTGAATGGAAGCCAACATTAGTGTCCCCAATGGGCATCGTCAAAGTCGATCTGCCTGATAATTATGCCCTACGAAAGGCCACCCTGAATCGATTCTTGGAGCGAGCCAGAACATGGGTTACAACAGTCTTGAACATTGCCCCGCTGGATATCAAGGGACTGCTGCAGGTATGTAGAGTTCAGCGGTTCACCAGGCGAATATTCTCTAAAACCTATATTAGACATACCTCTCTGAATACGACGACGACGGCGGCTATGGCCATATTTCACTGGGCCGCTCATTCGCCCTTGAAATGGGTTCCCTCATTCCGCACAGTGATCCTCGTCTCGGTGAGTTCATCCTCTCACTCGAAAACACACTATATTTTCCTTATCTGACGCAAGGAGCAGGTTCTATTGATAGCCATGAGAGTGAAGTCAATGTTGCATCTGACTTTATGGCGCTCTACACTACACGCCAGAAGTACCGTCGTCCGGATATCTCGTTACTTGACAGTGCCGATGGCCTGGTCTTTGGTATTGACGGTTGGCCACCCCAAGCTCTTCGTCACGCATCTATTTGGATACTGACCCTCTACACTTACAGGCCGTAAGCCCGAAGTGGACTTCTCAACCGAATCTGGCAATGCTCTCGAATATTCTCTGGCTCGCCTTTATGGACGTAGCATGAAAGGAGAAGAAATTCCACTGGTCGAAGTGAGGGATGCTCTGCGCCAAGCTGCGCGTCTCATATGCAGCAGTAGCAGCCCTCGACTTTCCGTTGTTCACTACCTGGTGGCTTTACCGTTCCAGATCTTCACCAAGGATACGATCAAGCTGGGCGTCTCATTGTGGCTTGGTGTGATTCACGAGAACCCAAGTGTTGAGCCACGTATCTTAGCACATGTAGTCGAGGCTTGGGATAAAAGCATCCAGAGACGTCAAGGCTTGTTCGATCCGACTTTCGAGTATGGAACTGTGTTCCCCTTTTGCTACTGCCCAGAAGACTGACTTCTTGTATTAGTTACTTGGATCCGCTGCAGACCAAGATTGAATTACTTCCTACAGACAAAGCATCAATGCTTAAGAAGCAACAGGACGCGCAGAACACCCTTTCGCCACATTTGCGCGTGCTTCAATTCTTCGAGAGCCACTTTAGCGCTGTACGCTTAGGCAATCTCCAGGACCAGCAGTTGTTCTGTCGCCTGATCAGCAATACGCTCGTGGCACTTACGAAGACGAAGGGCCATCCTTTGGCCAGAGAGATCCACTTCCGCATTGTTCTCTTTGGTTTGCGCATTTTGCAACACCTAAACCCACGTAACAGTCCCGCCACCTGGAAGCTCAAGGATCAGATTTTATCTGCTGCATTGAGTTGGTTCCAGCACACACCACGGTATGTTCATAGTTGCTCTTTCTTGAAAGTCCTCCGCTAAGTTATTTAGATGGTCATTCGGCGGTAATCGCTTGCAGATAAAGGCGGAAGACAAGGTGCTCAATGATGTGCTTTTCGCTATGCGGAATGTCGCAGACATCGCTACCCAAGTCCAGGGATCGTACAAGTCGTTACAGGCAAAGCAGGAGCTTACCCAACTCCTCATCGAGAACGAGAGGTCCCGTCTTCGAGTTTGGCTGTTCCCCTTGGAGCCCGAGCGGAAGCACCACATACCCTCGATTGGTGGCGGCAAGAACTCTACCGATGTAGGCTTCCCGATTTTCTAATTTACTGAAACTTATAAAACTAGGGACGCTGACATGAATACCATAGGCCATTACGACCTATCTCCGACTTGCTTGGGCTGAGAGCCCGGGTCTAGCCATTCAGCTCGCTACGCGATTCCCATCAATTAAGATGCAAGCCGAGATTCGTTGGCTGATTCTCAATTTCCCCGAGAAGGCCACTCGTGAACCAAGCGCTTTGGAAATCATGTTCGACTCATCGCTGCCGGCTGATGTCAACTTCCAGCTAAAGGTGGATACTCGCCAAGACCTCTGTGAATGTTTATCTCCATTTACTGACCGTAATCTAGTATCTCTTGTTCTGGGCACCTGTGAACCCAACAGAGGCGCTCACTTACTTCCTTCCCGCATATGGAAACCATCCGTTCATTCTCCAGTACGCTATGCGCGCCCTAGAGAGCCATTCCATGGATATTCGTTTCTACATTGTACCCCAGCTAGTACAGGCTCTTCGATACGATGCTCTGGGTTATGTTGAACGATACACCCTCGAAACAGCGAAGCAATCTCAGCTATTTGCCCACCAAGTGATTTGGAACATGAAGGCCAATTCCTATAAGGACGAGGACTCGCAAGTGGTAAGTAACAACTGTGTCTCCTATAAGCCCTTCTTCGCAACCTAACTTTTTCATCTTACAGCCGGATCCAATCAAACCAACTCTGGATCGATTCCTGGAGGCCCTGATCTCGAGCTTCACAATCGAAGAACGCGACTTTTACGAGCGAGAGTTTTCATTCTTCAACGAGATCACCGGCATATCTGGTAAGCTCCGTCCGTATATCAAGCGAAGCAAGCCCGAGAAAAAGGAAAAGATCGAAGAGGAGCTGCGCAAGATCAAGGTTGAGGTCGGCGTGTATCTGCCCAGTAACCCCGACGGTGTTGTCGTCGGTATCGATCGCAAGTCCGGAAAGCCATTACAGAGTCACGCCAAGGCTCCATACATGGCGACCTTCCGGATCCAAAAGACCCGGGTCCGTCTCGAAGGCAAGCGTGATTCAGTCAAGGCTATTGTTAAAGGGTCCGACCAGCGCCAGTTGGCGAGTCATCCGGCTGAGCTGGAGCTGGAAACCTACGAAGTCTGGCAGTCAGCCATTTTCAAAGTCGGTGACGACTGTCGTCAAGATATGCTTGCTCTGCAGATGATCGCGGCCTTCCGAAGCATCTTCTCCAGCGTTGGCCTGGACGTCTGGGTATTCCCTTACCGTGTGACCTCCACTGCACCAGGCTGTGGTGTAATCGACGTTCTGCCAAACTCGATCTCCCGTGACATGCTTGGCCGCGAAGCCGTCAACGGATTGTACGATTACTTCGTCTCCAAATACGGCGGCGAAGACTCGATCCGCTTCCAAGAGGCTCGCACCAACTTTGTCAAGAGTATGGCCGCATACTCCGTGATCTCGTATCTACTTCAATTCAAGGACCGTCACAACGGTAACATCATGGTTGACGACGCAGGCCATATCATCCACATCGACTTCGGCTTCTGCTTCGACATCGCTCCTGGTGGTGTGCGCTTCGAGCGTGCGCCGTTCAAGTTGACCTCTGAGATGGTCGCAGTCATGAGCGGTACACATAACCCGGCGCATCATCCTAGCGGGACGTCAGGTATCAGCTTGCCGGGCAGCAACTCGCATAACCCGACAACCACACAACCGTACCGGTGGTTCGAGTCACTGGTGGTCAAGGCGTTCTTGGCATCGCGGCCATACTGCACCAAGCTGGCCCATATTGTGTCACTGATGCTGGACAGCGGACTTCCGTGCTTCAAGCCCGAGACACTGAAGAACTTCCGGGATCGATTCGTGTTGGAGAAGAGCGAGCGCGACGCTGCGGAATACATGCGCGAACTGGTGCGCAAGTCGTACATGAGCGTGTCGACTAAGGGATACGATCAATTCCAGCTGATGACAAACGGTATTCCATACTGATTGGGCTGGGATTGCCATGGTATTGTCGGCTTAGCCCCTGTTGTCCTCTTTGCCCTTCGCTATTTGTTATTTGTGACTTGTGTCTATGTGTGATTCAATTATCTTTCTTTCTTGCCACGTAATGGCCTAATTTTACCGAGTGACTTATTCTCTGCCTTTGCATAAATGTGTTAGGTTTAATGATCCAGTAAAGATAGACAAAGTGGCATAATCAAGTCCTAACTCTAAGTCCTCAATCGCTAAAAATAAAAGATCATAGCTGTGCGTGTCTCATTTTGAGGGAAAAGAAGCCGACCACCCGTAAGCCCCAAGTAGAATCCGAGGCCAAGAACGCCCTGTTTCAATGTTCCCATCCTTCAAGTCAAAATCACTCGGTCGATAGCGGCAAGTCACTCATCGGTAGACCTATCTAGACCAGCTCCTTCTGTGTGATTCCATCAATTGTGAGCTTGGCACCTACTGTACCAATCACCGCGAGACCCCGAGGAATCTTAATGTCACGAATCTTGAAACAACCAAAGACTACGAGTCTTGTCAAGGCTGGACAGCATCGAAAGATGCACTGTGCCAAGTAGTCATCCACAACGCCGTTAAAGGCAATATCCAGATACTTGAGCTCTGGGTATTGCTTGTGTTCGCCAAAGGCTTCTTCGTAGGCTGCATATGAAATGTGGCGACACGAGGCAATATTCAGACTTTGAAGTCTGGCACCCGAGTGTTCCATCAATGCAATGAAGCCGTCGGATGCGAGGCCGACGGGCTCGGGCGGGCCACCGGGGTTGGCCATGTCCACGTCACGTACGCGGTGGAAGTCTGCGAATGTCAAGGGCGGATTGGACCAGCCGCGGAAGAGGTTAGCGAAAGCCTTGTCGGTGAGCTCTGCGTTTATGGCGAGGCGAAGCTTGGTCAAATGTCGGCATTTCTCCCGTATAAGCTCAAGCAATCTGTCGTCTGCAAAATAGAATTCCTCCAGGGAAAGAGATCGTAGATTGGGACCAAGCTCGGTTAAAATCCGCAGAAGAGGCTCGGGAGTGGTCTCCTGGCTGAGCTGGAGTGACAAATGCTGTAGATTCTTCATCGTTGAGATTGCCTCGAGCGCTTTGTCACCAATCTTGTTGAGATGCTTCAATTTCAGACGCTGGAGTTGAGTGCAGTGTTGAGACATGACCTCGGCGGTCTCGTCGTCAAATGCGGAGTCGAGATTCCACAGTTTCAGACTCCGAAGGCGCGGACCCAGTCGAGTGAAAAGCTGGCGCCAAACTTCGTCGGTCACCAAGTTTGGTGAATCGAGGTGTAAGTCTTGAATGTTCATATCCCGATCCATCATGTATTGGAAAATGCGATCTTTCATCGGGGTCACGAATCGCAAGTTGAGCCGGGTTAGGTTTGGCATTGTGGCAAGAATCTTGTGGTAGTCGTCGGTACCGAGTTCTATATCCCGAGTCAGACTTGGACACCAAGGGGCATGAATAAGATAGCAAATGCTGGCCAAGGTTACATACTAGCGCAGTCATAGATGTTAATCTCTTTGTTCTGTGGGCGCAGGAAAAGATCCAAAGTCGTCGAAGTGATCGCTCGTCTTCGGGCTAGAATCTGGCTGAGGCGATGCATCACTGGTGGAGGTAGATCACCAAACTCTTCCACGTCGGAGATGTTTTCCGCGACTTTCTATGAGCATAGATTAGAAAAAAAATGTTTATCGATAGGGCAGCGTACTTCTCGAACGTACCTTGATGCAGGTTTCTAATAGACTCTGCGCACCCTGAGAAGCAAGCCCATCCAGCAGAGCGCTTTGATTCTGACGCCGCCCAATGCCAGAGCTACGCTTTTTAGGCGGAGCCTTCTTGTCCTTTCCGATGTGGTTCTTGGAACAGTCTGCGCACAGGAGGCCTCCACTAGGACCCGTCTTGCTGTAAGGCGTGACGGTGAAACGCTTGCCACAATCCTCGCAATTGTCCAGTTGTCCAGGAGTCGGTCGTTGTTTTTCGTGCATCATCTCATTGACCAGGGCATCGTCGTCATCGTCAGGTTCTCCGGTCCGTCGAGCCTTGCGGCGGGCGAATTCCTTGCTCTTCTTGATCTTCTCGATGGCTTGTTGCCGTTTGCGCTTCTTTGCCTTGTCCTCAGGAGAGTCCGGTTCTGGAGTTGGCTCGTATTCAGGCTCTTCCATGTCAAGGTCGGCATCTTGCTCTTCCTGTGCAGTCTGGCGTGCGCTATCTGCCACTCGTCGGTCGTAGTCATCGCGGATCTGGGCGGCGGAGATATTATTTGACTGTAGCGAGAAGTTATTAGCCAACGAAGAGATATGAGACGGTAGATAGGTGTGAGTCGTGGCACATACAGCAAGGAAATCAGTCAACGCAGAGCGTCTAAAGAAGCATCCGTTAGTTGTCAACACCGAGGATTGGACTCGAGGATATGAGGTCATACGGGCCGCGAATATTGCTTGCCTGCCTTCGGCTCGCCCTACAACGCAGCATTAGTAACCGAACATGCGACAAGCGAGTGGTTGAGCTATAGCATACATCTTGATCAGAATGATGAAAGAGAAGGTGGTAGTGAGCGTAGGAGAGTGTTATTGGTTTATTGGTTGATGGTAATGTCGGAGGAACGATGAGAGCGCAAGTCACGGGATCGCGACAGTTTCGCGTTGCACTTAACGCGAGAAGGAGGCTCTTATCGGGTAGGACGAGGGAACGATAAGTGGCGACTGCTGCGACCCTCGGAGTCTCACGATCCAGTAATCCGAGGAACTCCAGAGATCCGGAGGAGAAATCAAAAGGGTCATGGAATGAGGCAAATCCTTTTCCGATAGTAGATTGAGGAATGGCAAAGAAAATTTTGGCGTCGGACCGACCGAAGAGTTTTACTGGTTCCTGATTGAGCGGTTCCCTCCAGGCACCTTCTCGATCGATCACCGATCAACGAGACTTCTTCTCATCATTGCCCCCCCCTTTCCCTTCGCTTGATCATCTTTTCATTGATTCCTCGCGCTCGCTTGCAATTCTGGTGTCATTCAACTCGGTCTCTGACTCCTCACCTTCCTTCGACCCCCTTTTCCCGTGTTTACCTCACCCTTTGCGGGATCTCTCAGATTGGTGAGTGAAGCCTCCGAGTCAGCCGCGTTCCTCGACTGAGCCTCAAGTCTTTATCTCTATCATGGCAATACATTTTATTGTGAATCAAGGTACTAATTCAAAGAAGATTGCAATCTAGATCGTCTTTCCTCACCCTCGGCCATTCTCGGGCGATACCAGTACTCAGCGTACCGCATACTCCGTCTCTTCCACCAAAGCCTACATCTCATCTCCCTTCTCCCTACCCACCGCCACCACGATGAGAAGAAGATCTCAGGCAGTAATCCCCGACTCGGAGGATGACGCATTTCTCAGTGGCACGTCATTGAGAAATTCCTCTCCCCCTCGTCGACAAGATCCCCAGCGGAAGACTTCGCATTCCAGATCACGGACCTCTCGCGTCATCCAAGATTCCGAAGATGATGGTCTTGCCGGTCTAGATCTGGAACCCTCCAACTCGTCTGCTACCAAGCGTAACTCTACAATGGCCGTGAAAGTCGTCATCCCCTCCAATAAAGATGTATCGCCAAGTGACTCGTGCGGCTCGTCGGGCATGCGGTCTGCCGATGGCACCACAGGCTACAGTACCCCGGCGACCAGCGTCGGAACTCCTGTGGAGTCTAGCATTAAGCGGACTCGGGGCCGTGTGAGTGCATCGGACCGCGCCCAAAGCCTTCGCGCAAGTACCATGACTAGAAGAGCGTCTCTAAGAAGCCAACGTGGTACAAAGAGATCCGCCGATGCTGCTGCGCTTTCAGATGATGAGCTAAGTCTCGAAACCTCTGATGCTGCCATAGCTTATGCTCTTCAGATGGAGGAGTATGAGAAACCACTACCTAAGAAACAGAAAACTGCAGCCCCAAAGCGGTCCTTGCAAAAGGCTCAAACAGCACAGGAAATCCTGGATGCATCGAGTGACAGTGAATTGTCCGAATGGGATCTCATCGACAAGTCGCTAAATTCGGAGGATGATCTTGATGAACATTCGGATTCAGAATACGACGGTGAAGAGCGACAAAAGCGAGAAGAAGGGCAACAGGATGGCGAAGACGCAGAAGAAGCTGCCCAAGACATGGACGAAGGAAATGAGTCTGACTTGAATCTGAGTTGGGAAGAGCAGCGCAAAGCACGTCGGGTAAGTCTTCAAGTCGAGCTCAACCCCACTCCAGGCGAGATACATTGGCTAACTCCGAGGTAGATGCTTGCCGACCGGAAGAAGCTGGAGAAAAAGCATCCGGAAATCGTGACCATGTGGGATAAGCTGAAGGCAACACCTACCATCACACCCAAGGCTGCTCAGCAGCCGGAATCCATTACTCGCAAGCTCAAACCGTTCCAATTAGAAGGTTTGAATTGGATGATGGAACAGGAAAAGACCCAATACCGAGGTGGTCTTCTTGGTGACGAAATGGGCATGGGCAAGACAATTCAGGCCGTTTCGCTCATCATGTCCGATTTTCCTCAGCCCGAACCGACTCTCGTCATTGTGCCACCCGTCGCTCTGATGCAGTGGGTCTCTGAGATCAAGGTATGTTTCCGATGCCCTCTTAATATGTCATGTGTCTAGTAGGAAGCTCATGATGATTTCTACTAGGCATACACCAATGGCAAATTGAAGGTTTGCGTCTACCACAACTCAGATTCAAAGGTCAAGAAGCTTTCGCGGGCGGATCTCCGAAAGTACAATGTTATCATGATTTCTTGTGAGTTTTGGGCCCTCTGCACGGATAAAATTCGTGAGTAAATGCACTGACTTCATCTCAAGACTCGAGTCTTGAATCTATTCACAGAAAGCAGGAGAAGGGTTGGACTCGTGGAAATGGAACCGTGAAAGAAGACAGTGAGTTTTCTATTGGAATATCTTGGTGGTTTTCTTGTTTATACATGCTAACCTCGTTGCAGGTGTCATTCATTCTATCGACTACCACCGGCTTATTCTTGACGAAGCACACAGTATCAAGGTAAAACGAGCTTCTCTATCAAGTTTTTATTTCAAAAGAACGTGGCGCTGACTTGCACAGCAACGTACTACTGGTGTGGCCAGAGCCTGCTTTGCCCTGAATGCTTCATACAAATGGTGCTTGTCCGGAACTCCCGTACAAAACAGAATTGGAGAGTTTTTCTCTCTTCTACGCTTCCTACAAGTGAAGCCTTTTGCCTGTTACTTCTGCAAGCAATGCCCCTGTGAGGAGCTCCAGTGGTGTGCAAATAAGCAAGGTCGTTGCACAAAATGTGGACATACGTACGTTGACGTTTCTCTTCTCCCGAGACACTTGCTGACATGGTTTTAGTGGCTTCAACCATATCTCGCTCTTCAATAAAGAAATCCTGAATCCAAGTAAGTTCCAACTCATTCATGCCTTCTAGTTGCTCTGGAAGAATACTAATATCGTTGCAGTCACGGAGGGAAGATCCATTATTGAACGTAAGGAAGGATTGGCAAAGCTTCGCTTGATCACCGACCATATCATGCTCCGACGCATGAAGGAGGAACATACATCATCGATGGAACTTCCACCAAAACGGTAAGCTTTCAGCCCGCTGCAAGATTTACCTCGCTTGGTCATTCAAAGCTAACCGGCCATTGCACTCCATAGTATCACCATCCATAATGAGTTCTTTGGCGAGATCGAACATGATTTCTCTCGCAGTATCATGACCAACTCGTCACGCCAGTTCGACACCTACGTCAGCCGAGGTGTGATGCTCAACAACTACGCCAACATCTTCGGTCTGATCATGCAGATGCGGCAGGTAGCTAACCATCCCGATCTCATCTTGAAGAAACATGTGCAGCCTGGATTCAATGTTTTGGTCTGCCGCGTTTGCGATGAGCCTGCTGAGGATGCGATTCGGTCGCGCTGTCGCCATGAGTTTTGCCGCAAGTGTGCCAAGGACTACATTCAGTCTTTTGACGATGTCTCGATGGTAGACTGCCCCCAGTGCCACATTCCTCTCTCGATCGATTTGGAACAGCCAACTATCGAACAATCTGGGGAATCCGTCAAAAAGAATTCGATCATCAACCGCATCCTGATGGATGATTGGACGTCCTCCACCAAGATCGAAACGCTTTTGTATGAGCTCTATCTGCAGCGAACCAAGAGCCACACACCGAAGTCGATCATTTTCTCCCAATTTACGTCGATGCTCCAGCTTGTGGAGTGGCGCCTGCGCCATGCAGGATTCAATACGGTCATGCTCGATGGAACTATGACGCCAGCACAACGCCAAAAGTCCATCGAGCATTTCATGAAGAATGCCGATGTCGAGGTGTTCCTGGTCTCACTGAAAGCGGGAGGTGTGGCTCTCAACTTGACCGAGGCATCTCGAGTATTTATTGTGGATCCGTAAGTTTCCAGTTTCCCCCGCTTATCGATATTATCTTCATCGACGTGTGCGATTCCTTTTTGCTCACAAAGTTATATTGCAGATGGTGGAACCCCGCGGCCGAGTGGCAGAGTGCGGACCGCAGTCATCGTATTGGTCAACAGCGGCCATGCGTGATTACTCGGCTTACCATCGAAGATTCGGTCGAATCTCGAATTGTCCAGCTTCAGGAGAAGAAGGCGAATCTCATCCGGGGCACTATCAACAAAGACCAGGACAAGGCGCTGGAGAAATTGACCCCCGAAGATATGCAGTTCTTGTTCCGAGGTTCATAGGCAGCCCTGGCGGCCCCGCCACTGGTGCACGCCGCGCCAGTGATTGTTTTCACGGCTCACGATGTGTCCCTGATGTCACGCCGACTGCAGCATTGACCCCCGCGAAAAGCGATATGATCTCACGACCCTATTTGTTATTGGAAAGCCCCCACCTCACCCTCCTCCTCCTCATCGTTTTACCAGCGGCGGTGTCGTAGCGAGTGATTATTGTTTTACTTGACCCCCTTGTACTCCTTCTAAGCAATTACCCTTCAAGATGCCTTTGGCCTAGCTACAGTACTACTAAGATATGAAATACACCATTTTGCCTGTTCACCCCCCATACAAGTAGGTGCTTGGCATTAGTTCGGATCTCGGATCTCGACCAGGCACCGTATCCAAGGGGTGGTCTCCACCATGATACCATCGGACTTTCAAGAAGAAACCCTTTATGTGCCACGAGGATTGTACAGTCACCTGCAGGGCTGGTGACGGGCCCACAAGGCAATATGTCAATATCCACTTGTTCAAGGGGACTGTACTCGTGGTTGGTTCAAGACTAGGACTCGCTCCAATACGAAGTAGGGATCGGCGAAATGACCTCATCAGCCTTGAAATCTTGGCATACGCTTGGCGCAGCAACCCACTTCCGATGATCGCTGCAACGAGTATTGCGAACGTGTTCCTTTTATTTTTTAATGCTGTTGCCTGCCCAGCGTTCATGGTAAGGCTGAAAAGCTTGGCTCCCACTGGGCCATTCCCCACCTGTCCTGCCCTGAGTGAGCTGAGATTCTCGAGTACCAAAGAAGGATGGTGAATCTCTTGCCGACCCCAAATCTCGCCAAGCCGAGTCATCCTTCTCCTCCTCCTCCTCCCCCCGCTCTTATTTCGCACCACTTTTGTCGCTATTCTTACCCTCCCTATCACTATTATTACTCCTTACTCCAATAATCTCATAATGACCCTGCTTGACTCGTATCGCACCCCGACCCATACCGTCTAAACAGAGCAAAATACCCTCCCCCGCCATGGCTACCCACACCGTGGAACGTTATGGCCCCAAATTGGTCGAAAAGGCCGACAAACTCCAGCAACGAGTGAGCACCAATGATGCCTCAAAACCTGCCGGTGGCTTCGATGCGACACCTATTCCGCACGCTCCGCCTGGGTACACCATCAAGTTCACCTTCCATCGCGCCGTGGACCTCCCCTTCGCAGATATCGGTAGTTTCTCGTCAGATCCCTACGTCCTTGCGCGCCTCGAGGTCGATCTGCCCCGTCGGCATAAGCAGGATCCAGGCGTGGCATTCCGGACCCACACGATACACAAGGATAAGAACCCCGTCTGGAACACCGAATGGATTGTTGCCAACGTACCGGCCTCGGGGTTCAAGTTGAAGGCTCATGTGTACGACGAGGACCCTGCGGATCACGATGATAAGCTGGGCCTAGCGACCGTCGAGGTTTCCTCGCTCTCGGAAAATTGGTCGGGCATGAAAGAACATCCGTTCAAGGTCAAGCATCGCTTTGCTAGCAAGCGGGTCTATGTCTTGACCAATATATCCAAAGTCACCGGTCATCACAAAGAGTCGTTCATCTACCTGAGTATCGAATGCTTGGGGAAGACGCCGGGTACCGAAGGGGGTCAGATGTATACCGTCGGTCCGAATTCCTGGTTCAAGCACTTTTCTCCTCTCATCGGACGACTGGCGGGTGTAAAGGATTCGGTTCAGAGCGAGGATGGGAGTGGCAAGGAGATCAGTCGATACAAGTCAGTCGCGCAGCCTTTCTCAACCATGTCTTCATTGTGGTGTGTCTCGTTCATGCTGACCAAATGCCCCGACCAGTTTCCAAGCTATTCAGATGCAGCTAACCGGGCCAGTCCCATCCGAAATGTACCACCGCTACGTGGAGTTTAAGCCATTCGTGGCCGGCATGTTCCAGGCGCAAAGCTTGCGAGGTCGGATCCTATACAAAGCGCTCCATCACCAGCATCAGCGCATCTACAACTTTGACCGCTCGACGTTGCATGGTGCCTTTCAAGAGCCCTGCCGGGCAATGACTCAAAAGTTCCTGGAATTCGTGCAACATGGCCAGGGCGGACGTATTTTCACCTACGTGCTCATGCTGGATGGACAGTTCCGATTTACCGAGACTGGCAAGGAGTTTGGAATCGACTTGCTGAGCAAACACACCATGCACAGTGACGTGTCCAGCTATATCGCATTCTCGGGCGAGTTCTTTGTCCGCCTCCGCGGACATCGTCACCGCCATCGCTCTCGCTCGCAGTCTCCAGCATCGCGACCCTCCACATCGCATCCTCCCGCCGAATTTCCCGTAGACGAAGACAATAGCGCAGAACCGGCCAAAGAAGCCCCGCAGATGTCGACCGATCCCGCAGACTATGAGCTCTTCATCGACAACGACAGCGGTACATACCGTCCGAATGCCGAACTCCTGCCCTTGCTGAAGAAATTTTTCGCTTCAAACTTCCCCGGCCTGCATATCACGACCTTGGACTGCAACGGCGATGCGGAGCGTATGGGTCAGCTCAAGGAAGAACAGCGCGAGTCCAAGAGGAAGCAGGGCCAGATGTTCACGTATCTGCAGCAGCACAGTGCCTCGTCTCTGTCCATCTCCAGCTCGGAGGAAGATGAGCTGAACGAGCGCAGTGGGAGTGGCAAGCAACGCGGTGATCTATCCCGTCGAGTCCATGAGATGCGTGACGTCAAGGGCCAGATGATGCGGTGGGTGGAACATGATGGCCATGTCGATCGACCCAAGAATCACTATCATTCCGCACGCGATCGAGCTGCTTCGATGGGAGAGGTTAAGAATTCGCGCAAGCCATTGTCGACGGTCGACTCGGCAGTCTAGATGCTGCCGTCGCCCGTTGGGGTGCCATAGTTCTTTGATTCCTGGGGCCTTCTTTTTTTGTTATTTTCCCGTCGTTGTTTTGACTCTTGCAACTTTTTAATATGCCTTCTTCTCGGTCTGGAACCGAGTTTCATGACCTTCACGACTCGGTTGATGTTCACGCCCGCGATGTAGTTATCTGAGAAAGGACGAATAGAGATGGGAGCGGATGAGTGGGAGGAGTGGAGGCGTTGTATAGTGATTCCCGCGTGTGTTTCATAGGCCCTTTTTTGTGGATGATTCCTAGCTTTACTACTAATGCTATTTTATGATTTTCATACACTTTGATTGCCGTTCTTCCAGCGCACAATCTGATTTGGGATAGCTTACTTTTCTCATCTCCGTGCCTGGTGTTAAGTTTACCCAGCGCCTGGTGAGGGACTCGATGGTGGAGGCTGAAACAAAGCACCTCGCCTTTGTAATTTCGGACTTCTCCACCGAACAGAGTTGAGGGGCCGAGAATCATGTAGAGTGGAATAACCGACTGGAAAACGTGTGAATGGAAGATCAATATATAAGTTGAGAATCCAAACACTGTGAACTATCAGGCGATCCATGGGGCGACGCCCAAGATTTGAAGAAGAGGCGCTCCACCGATCCCCCCGAGGGCATCCACCCCCTCCTTCAAATCAACGCGATCAACCCGATCCCAAGCTTCGACTCCACCCTCCTCCGCCCCCCCTCCTCCTCCCTCTTTTCCTTTTCCTCTCTTCCCTCCCTCCCCAACCGCCCAGCCTCGCAGCTCTTCACGACTGAATGACGGATTCTTCTTGGTCGCCTACTTTCTCCTACGGGCCATCCGACTGCCGCGCACCCCGTGGATGGCCGATTGACTCGGTGCTTATTCCGACTCCTTCCCGCGCCGTGACCTGAATCCTCTGGTGCCTGCGCCGTCATCATGGGCAATGTCGCCAGTCGTCTCGATGATGCGGGGAATCTGTACTTCAAGGACCAGAATCGCCGTATGTGTGGCATTTTGTCTGCTCCTATCTCTCGAGACTTGCGCCGAAGCTGATGAAAATGCGTGCCTCCAAACAGTGTCCATCGCCGCCGTCACCATCAGCAACTCCCGCCGCCGCTTACTGACGCTTTCCCCGAACGCGTTCCCCGCCGCCAGGTTCATTGCAAAGAGGGAAGCCGGCGACGACACTCCGATCGAATATATTCAGGTATGGCCCTCGGAGAAGGAATGAGGATACTTCAGAGAGGCGGAGCAAAGCGGGCTGACCTTGGGGCCGTCAATAACAATCTTGTAGGATCCCGACGTTTCTCCCACGGCGCCAGTCCCCACGTTTTTGCTGCGTCTATCGAACGAGGACGAACTCATCTTCAACTTCACCTTCATTCTTCGCCAGACCCAAACCGGAAACGTTGCTGGTTCTACCGTGAATGGCGTCTCGACCTCGCTACCCGAGGTGGTGGACACCGTTCTCACGGGGCTCACCTTCGCCCACGCGTCCAACTCGAAAGAGCTAGATAATCTGATCACGAGAGAGTTCCATGCGAACCCCAACCTGCAAAATAATTCCAACGTTCAGCTGATCGGAAACTACTCCACCGAAGGCTCGCCCTCCGTCTCTTTCGATTGGTCCTGGAGATGGAAGCCCCCCAAGCCTACGGAGGATAAAGGTGGTGGCTGGCGGAACAGCTGCAGTTTCTTGGATTACGACCAGAAAACGAATCGCCTCAACACGCTTGCTCATTTCTCCTTCTGGGTACATAATTCCGTTCGCCCACTTCCTTCCCCACTTCTATCCTCGCCCAATCTAGAGTTGCCCGTGCTACCTTCGCGCAGCCGCGTCCCCTCTATGCAATCCACAATCTCGCATTTCAGCGACAGCGATGCTGTTTCAACCTCGAACGTTCCAGTCGCCAGTCCTCCCGAATCCGCAGACGGCCCTCCTGCACTACCACCACCACCCATTCCAACTATGCCCCCGCCCCCACCTCCCGTGAAAGTCGACCTTTTACATTCCCGCCCAGGAGATGATGTGAGTGTCGTCGAGGATGGTCCGCTCTTCCGTGCGACTATGAAGGCGTTGGAGCAGAAGACGGGGAGTATGCGCACAAAAATAAAGAAAGTCTTGAAGAAGGCCGAGGCTGCACAACAGGCGCAAGTGGCCTGTAACGAGTCTATGGAGGCGTTCTTGGGCTCTTTGAATGATGCATCAACGTCAAACGCCAATGCAATCCAGCCTGCGTTGGATCATTATTTTGAGAAAATTGCCCGGCAGATCCAAAATTACGAGCAGATCAATACGATCCAGTTGCAGAAGCTTGTCATTGACCCGCTCATCAAGCTCTACAACAACGACATCAAACAAGCCGAGTCGAAGAAGAAGGACTTTGACGAAGAGAGCCGCGATTACTATGCCTACGTCAGCCGATACCTCGGCCAACGGCAAGACTCCCTCAAGGAGAAGAAACGCGCCGATAGTGACACGAAGTATCAGGCTAAGCGTCGGAACTTCGAGTTGAAGCGCTTCGATTATTCTTCTTTCATGCAGGATCTGCACGGCGGCCGCAAGGAACAGGAGGTTCTGTCACACCTGACGAAGTATGCAGACTTCCAAGCACAAGCTTTCTTGGCAGCGGCCAAGAAAGTTGAAGAAATGGCGCCTCAATTAAACGCACTAGTGCATGAGGTCAACCAAGCGGACAAGGAGTTCCAGTTCCAGAGATCCGAGCGGGAGGAAAAGCGCAGGGCTTTGGAGAAGAATAGCAACCCGTATATGGAGCCCGATGTCGTTGCTGGCGCGCCATCAACTATCGCTTCAACATCCACTGCCGCTGTCACTGCTTCCGTCGCCGCCAACAATGGGGGTGGATCCGGTGAAGTGGAGCTGGGTCGAGCGGACAGTACGGGCTCGCAGCTCCGTGGGGTTATTAGCAACACTTCTTCCGTTTCGTCTCAGGCCAACGCCGGGTCGGTTGCATCTTCTGCTGGCACCTCGGCACCAACTGCGAATAACAATGCGGCGGGTGCGCAGAACCAAATTCGCTTCAAGGGCATCCGAGATCTTGAAGAGCGAGACAATGTTGGATCTGATCGCACTGCTGGTCAGCAACGGAAAGAAGGTCTGCTGTGGGCACTGTCCCGTCCTGGTTCGCATATGGACCCGAAGGGCATCAATAAGCAGGCATGGCACAAGTAAGTCACCTAGTATCCCGTCCTCTTAACACGCTCTACCGGATTTCCCCTGCTAAGACGAATTGCATTACAGGTTCTGGATCGTTTTAGACCAAGGAAAGCTTTCCGAGTACAGTAATTGGAAGCAAAAGTTAGACCTCCACATGGAGCCTATTGATTTACGGATGGCTTCTGTCCGCGAAGCTAGGAATGCGGAGCGGCGATTCTGCTTCGAAGTGATCACGCCCCAGTACAAACGCATATATCAAGCCACATCGGAGGAAGACATGGCGAATTGGATCCGGTCTATTAATAACGCACTTCAAAGTGCAGTGGAAGGCCGAGGAATGCCGCCACCCCCGCGTTCGTCCAAAAATGAGTCTTCCAGCGGCCGTGATATTGGCTCAGTGTTGACAGGCAAAAGCTCTTCCGTGTCTGGCCACCATTCTTATTCCAATAGCTCCAGTGCCAGCGCCAGCACCAGCGCCGTTGGTGTCAGTCGCCGCACTACGGTTGGAGCTCGACCCAGCTACGTGAGAAATGACAGCAACAATTACGAGGAGAACCCTTCCCGCTTGCTGCAGGTTGTTCGCGAGGCCGATGAAGGTAACAACTGGTGTGCCGACTGCGGCTCCTCGTCCAAGGTTGAATGGGTGTCCATCAACCTTGGTATTATATTATGCATCGAGTGTAGCGGCATCCACCGTTCTCTAGGAACTCATATCTCCAAGATTCGTTCGCTCACTCTCGATGTCCACTCGTTCTCAAATGATATTGTGGAAATTCTCCTGCAGATTGGCAACCGCGTCAGCAACATGATCTGGGAAGCCACACTGGACCAGTCGCAAAAGCCAATTGCTAGTTCCACCCGCGAGCAACGGCTCAAGTTCATCACCGCCAAATACGTGGATCGAGCACACGTTGAGGGTCTGCCGTCTCCACGGTCCCGCTTTGCAACCCCCGATGAGACACTGCTGGCATCCATCAAGAAGAACGATATACAAGGTGTCCTCTACGGCATCGCCTTGCACGCCAATGTGAACGTGGCAGACCGCTCCCGCAACACGCACGCCGTATTCCTGGCCCTTGCGGCTGCCGACCCAGCCTCCCCGGGCTCCACTCCGACTACTCTGTCTGCACGGTCCAGTGCCAAGGCCATTCCTTTCCCCATCGCCGAGCTGCTGGTCCAGAACGGTGCGGAGATTCCCCCAGCACCTCCTTCCATCCCGCTCTCCCCGGCCGCACAGCTGTATATCAGTCAGCGCACGGCCCGCACATCTGCCTTTAGTGCTCCCGGCTTGGGTAAGCCCGCCGTCAGTGACACTTTGGGCTCACTACCCACCATCCGTGCCTCAAGTAAGGATGGTGCTCTCTCGTCCGCATCACAGAGCTCCACTAGCTCCTTGGACACCAAGGAGAAAGAGAAGCTATCCAAGCGCGGGAGTGCTGGAGCACGGTTCGCAGGAAAGGTAGCGTCTCTTGGAATTGATCGATAACTCTATTGAACCCTCACATCAACCACCTTTCTGAATGCTCTCCCTCTTCTCCCTCCAATCACTCTCCCCCCTCCCATCCTCTCTACACCCTTCTATATGGTAATCCTCTTAACTACATCCTTCTAATGAGCTTTGCATGACCATTCCCCCTCCCCTTTCCCCATTCCCTTTGATGACTTCTTCTTCTTCTCACGTACGGACGGGGGTTATGTCTGAGATCATTGGTGGCTAGCCTTTTTCATTTTCCTTGTGTGTCTTTGGGACTACTTTTTGCTATTCTTCATCATCGCTTCCGGAATGGATGGGGCTTGAGACCTTTTACGAGGTCTCTCTATATTCATGACTGACTTGAATTGTGCGCCTGTTCCTGTTCCCATTTACTTCCTTCTTAAATAATTGACTTGAAATGGAGATCCGAGTATTTCCAGTGTCCGAATAATTTCCCTTGTGGGCTGTGTTTTCCGTTTTGATACTTCCTCCTTTGGGGGGTCTTGGTTTCACACTGTTACTTTGAGAAGGGTCGTTCAATGTCCCCCATATTTTCCTAATCATCGGCTTCTTTTCAAGGGGTTTATCAAGGGCGAGACTGCTGCCACCCCCTAGATTTTCCGGAGCACCCACTAGAGCCTTCGATCTCAGCCTGACGGACTAAATCTTGCTAAGCCTGTCATGTGTACAAGTATCGGTTCGGAAGGTCTTTTGAAATATCTTTCCGAATAGCCCATCTAATGCCTTTCGATCTAAGTAGGTTAAGACTTCTCTAATAATACGAGTCATAAGATGATCTTCAATTTTAGTCAAGATCTCAACTTCAAAGAGTTCCAATATATATACAGTGGTGTGCAAGTTATGTGGTGGTGGCTGCTAGATAGAAAACGATGTTGTATTATGCCAGGCAGGTTCTATTTCTTCCATCAACATTCGTTCCTGCCGAAGTTTTTCCAAGGCCACACTGAGGCATCCAGCTCTCAGGAATATTCCCTCCACGGCAGTTTTAACTAGAACATTACCATCCTTCCTATCCCAAACAGTCTCATTTATCCCTCACACTTCCTTCACACTCTCCCTCACCTTTACCATTTCTACAACTCATTCACTCGACTTTTCAACCGCCCACTCGTCAACCCAACTCCTACAACTCCCAAGTTCCAGCAAGCCAAGACTCCAACATGCCTAAGGCCAAGAACACCACCGGCGAGAAGCCTTTGCCTCGTCCTACCGACATGCTGCTGGCCACGAGCGAGACCTACGACGGAAAATGGCTCGCCCGATCCCTGAGGGATGCGCAAAGAGAGCTCAAGTGGAATCCAGGGGGTGGCAGCTGTCTTACCTATTTGATGAAGCAGAAGTGGACCATACTAAGTGTGTACATCGTTGTCTTGTACAGTGTAGTTTTGGGAATATCATAGTATCTCAGGTTTGCCCTGTTTCAGTGGGAAGGCTTGCTGAATGTCCCCGTCTCTTCGTAGTCCTCAAGTTCCTCCTGGAAAGGACTCGTATCGGACTTGATAGCAGATGAACGTGTTTGGCCAGAAGTAACTATTCAAACGCCAATATTGGGCGTATATATCGGCGTGTTGCTGTTAGGGTTGGCGATATCATTAGGCTCTATCATTTGCTATCTAATCAGCTCGGTAGTGTTCAGCTTGGTACTGAGTATAGCATCAACTCATGCATGTAATGAAACTACGCATGACTCTACAATGGACTGGGCAATCCCGATCTGAGCTAGCTTTCGAATCAATACCTTGGCGACTCAAATCAGCCCTGCCGATTCCCCAACGCATTATGATTTCTGCAAGTGAGTCAATTACCGGCGAGTCCACAGGTCATCCGGACACTACCGTGCCCAGCGGGGAGACCGGAGGGCTTGAGTCGCTCCGAATATCTCGTTGCCTGACAGTGGCAACATAACATTTCCATCCTTTTGATGAATCCCCACTGACTCCAGCAGCCGTAGATGTCCACTTCATGTAACCCCGGGCAGGCCGTGGGGCCGTGGCGTGGCATGCGGCATCGGCCGAGGCCTGCCCAGTTTCATTCTCGATCCTGCTTTGGGTTGAAGAATGAACCCCCTGTATAGAGCTAGTGGTGGTGGCTGTGGCATCGATTCAACCATAGCCAGCTCGATTCAGCCGAGTCCAGACCGTGGCTGATTGAGTACCCAAGGACAAGGTGAGATGCCAAATGAACCCGCAGTCTTTCTTTTTCGTGCCACCACGACGATCCTCAACGGCACCTGCCTCAAAGCAGCGCGGGTTCCACGTCCCATACACCAATCTTGCAGATCCTGCAGGAGCTGGTTCCTTCATTTGGCAATGGAGCAACATTAGGCTGGAGACCTAGTTCCATCAGTGTGACTCACTGCCAACTTTTCACCATATTTGAGGCGATAGATCGACCAGTGAACGGTCCGGGCCCCCAATTGATCTCCAGTCGATCAGCCACGATGGTCCATTGGTACTTCTCCTTCCCTAAACAGAACGGGGCTGTGCATGTCTTCCAAATCACAAGACGGTGGAAACACCAACGTACCACTACCTGACGGGCTTCTGCGGCAATGTAAGGCTGATCCCACCACGGGCCTTGACGGGCCTGACTGAACCTATGGACATGTGTCCCACCAAGACCATACAACGAAGTGGATCAATGCCCTCGCTTCTGCTGGAAATCTCCCTCGCGTGGCGCCTGCAAGTGTTTCCTGTTAGAGTACGTCGATCCTCAACAAAGGTACGCATACAGTTGGATACCCTGGTTGACGACTGGGAAATATATCGGTATGCGTAGGCCGTACACCGAACAAACAAGAATAACGGCCCTCCTATGATGATCACACAACGTAAACCGGACCACACATCAGAATATCATCAGCGGCGCTCAATGGCTCTGTTTGAAGTGGACACGGTTTCCTTTCCTCGAGCATCACATATGTTGGCAAAGTGATGCTCATGAACGTCGGTGGAGGTATGATGACGTTTTGTGATTGGGTGGCTTGTCAGGAACGCGGATATGACGTCATGGTACCATGTGGGCAAGACGCCTCTAGCGTAAGGCCGTAAGGCATTGTCAGGCTTCCGGGTGGCGCCGATCGTGGCCGTGCTGAATCGGGATGAATAAGAGCGAGCAAGGAGAGTTCCCAGAGATGACTGGCCATTATTCGTTCAAATCAAGCGGGTCTGCATTTGGTTTTGGGGGATGGTTGTCTTGAAGTTTGTAGTTAGTAGTGGTTTCTGAAGAGGAAGCTACGGTCGCTTCTCTGGACCCCACGGCATTCCATGTGCAGGTCGCTCGGCAGATAACGTACTCTATGGAGGTACATAGGTAGAAAGTACGTGCAATACATAAAAACCTGTGTATGGCAGGGTCTTCGTTCTATTGAGCTCATAGAGACGTCAATGGAATGTATGATCCTGCAATGAACGCAGTAACGAGAAGATCTGATATCCATCTGATATCATATCAAAAGCACTAGTCGCTGTATTTTGAGGAGCGCTAGACAGCGCGTAGGGGTCAAAGCCTTTTCGCATTTTGATAGCGAGTATTGTCGCGTGTCGCAGTGAGACGAGCTGATCACCTGATTTTCATGGAGAAAGATTCCTGGCCAGTCATTCACATGAGAACCAATGCCTGAACAAATGAGTACCGTATGGATGTAGCTGCAGTGACTGATACATGCGGGCAGAAGATTTATCCCGGTGCTCAATGATGGCCAAGAGTAATTCGAGTCGTAGCCTATAGGCCGTACGGTGTATGCGTCTGTGGGGGCTCAACGGTTGAAGAAATCCAACGTCCATAGAGATGGGAGAGACGGAGGGAGTGGGAGATGGGAACTCTATGAATTATTCGGGGAGGCCGTTTGATCGACAGGCTGGTTACTCTTCTATCCATGTGATTGCCACCACTAACCTCTACCGGCCTATGGGTCGTGTGGAGAAAAACTAGACAAATCGGATGATAGATTAGAGTCAATGGGGAAATTTAGAATGGAGGAGTGAAAGTCCTAGAGTGTTCCGAGGGGTTGCCTTTGGAATTGGGTTTCTGGTCACTCTGAACCTGATACGCGGTGTATACTATGCAAGTTGATACTTCGATCGAGATACCGTATATACTTCGGAGCTCACCGCCCTCAGTGATTGGCTGGGGCGCGGTGCCGAGAGGTGGAGACTCTCGACGTCAGTAGAGGAAACATTGTCCACTCTCCATCTCCCACCAGTCCACTTCGTTCAAGCCCTGGCAAGCACGTTATGACTAACGACGCCTTTGTCCCATCAGCCCTCGTTACCAAAACCAAGTCTTGATCGGTATCTTCCAATCAGAGGGAGACCTATGTTCCGCTCTCTTTTTCCGGTCGTCTCAGCCCAGTGGGTGATCGAGATCAGCTTGACTCGTCTTCTTGGCCCTATGAAACAAAAGAGAAGAGGTCAAAATACAGCTTCCTGCAGCGGGTTCCCGTCGTACCCGACAGTATGGTCTGATCGACCTTGTGCCTTGGGTCACCTCCGGGAAACCCAACTCGCTGGACAACAGCCCCCGGATGAAGCTTGCCCGGCCGCAGGGCCGCAGTGCATGAAATAATGGCCCCCCTGTGGAATGCCCACGAAAGCCACCTTTGCCTGTGGTGGCGCTTCTGGCTCAGGGCGGTACCTCGGGATTTTGAGCGGGACATGGATATCATCCACAACCACACACGTCGTCGACTACCGGAATGGGCAGCTGCCTGCAATGCGGTGGTTTTCCGGGCGCCACCAAACTTGTGAAGCCTACATCTGCCATTGGCGGGATCACGATCGAGTCTACGTACCGTACCTTTTTCCGCCCTTGGAAGGAAACAGAAGCCCGTGATCGTGGCCGCCACCACCCACGCACCTTTCACCGAGGTGTATCATTATAATCTTGTATATTATGAACTATGTATTTGTGATGATTTCTTTTTTCTTATTTGCCAATGGTACAAATTTCCCCATCGTCGATCCACTTATCGACGGTTCACCCACTTTTCATACATGCATAACCCACACCCCTGACAGTGGCAACCTGGCCTCGGAACCCTTGTCACTGCCACCATCATTGGTCACCCCCGATCTGTATTTTTGTTCGTCTCCAGTTTCCATACCTTTGGCACTGTGATGGACACGTCTCTTTTTTAAAATGTGTGTTTTTTTCTATTGGGTCCGTGGACCCGCTCGTTTCTATTCACCATCCCATTGTACATTGTGAGATTCATGATTCAAGACAGACCCAAGGCCCTTTCATACCGCTTTGCAAGTCGCCATAAGCCTTCGACAGCTCGCCAATCTCGTTGCCTGATCGTTTGATCTCCGATTCTGTCCTCCTCGAGGCCAGTCTGGTTGGCTGAGTACCACGCAATCTATGGCTTCATCGCCCCAAGTGATTCACAAGTTTCCAATTTAGTCTTCTCCAATCGCCAATCGCATTTCCATCCCCAGCCGATCCGTGGGCCGCTTAAGCCACAACCCACCTGTGGCACGGCCTCTCTGTTTAACGCCGAGCCGCTTATATTCGAGGAACAACCGACCCAACTTCTAACGATTTGAACAAATTTGATTTTGAAGCTCAAAGGGAAAGAGAAAAAAGAAAGAGAAACGGGGTCGACGAGATCCAAAGGCCCGCAGTTTCTCCACCGGCTGGATAAGAAGCATTCGTCAACACAAAATATTAATTATCCAGTCGTGACAGAGAAAGGCCCTTCAATTCTGAAGACTTGAAGAGATCGGCAGATTGAGTGGCGCATGGCTGGAAGCAAAACCCCGGCCGAATTGAAGATCTGATTCAAAACCATCTGGTGGACCCTGTACATACCCTGTTATGGTTATGGTACTTGGGAAACGGCAACTTTTGTCAAAGGAGGTTATTTAGTTTAGTGTGCAGCTCTGGCCTGGGCAGGGGATATCCACTTATCCTCCTCGCACACACAAACACAAGCCACCCACCGTCCATCCCACCTCCCAACAACTCTCGATCAACGGACTCGACCCACAATCTCCGACGGGGTACTTCCTCCTTTACACGCCTGTCCTCTCTGGCTGCCCTTTTTGGTACATCTTCTTTTCCCGTGACTCAGAAAACACATACTCTCCTCCTCGGCCTATCACCAGTCCTCAATCTTGCTGGGTCCGATCAAGCCCTTCAATCGGTTCACGTCGGTTTATGTCTCCTACCCGCCTTGTCCACTTCCTCCACCTCGTCTACTCCATTCTTCAGACCTCTGATGTTTCCTTGATGCCATAGGACATCCGTCCCGCTGTCAGCCACAGCTTAGACGTCTTTCCGACGACTCTGCTTCGTTATCCCTGCTCCCCTTTGGGTGCCCAAGCACCAGAGTCCGCCACAGGGCTCATCCACCATCGACCCAGTCCATTCGCCTGGCCCCCAGTGGCTAGTGTCAGCAGGGCTGTTCCGTAACTTGAATCCTCAGATTCTTTTTTCTTTTCTACTATATACCTTATCCTGGAGCCCCGTGGTCATTTTCTTGTTTTCTATTTTGGGTTCCTTTTCTTTCTTTTTTATTCCGTTGCCTTTTTCTTATCTCCATACAAGCTCTCCACATTCGCCGTCCGTGAGTAGGTATATCTGGAAAGTCCCAGGTCCGCCGGCGGCCGATTTCTCTCTTTCTGATTCTTCAGGCACTGCTCTGCTCATCTTTAAAGTGCAACGGGACGTTGCGTGCAGGGACGATCTCTCTTCCGTCTCGTGTTGGTCCTCGCCAGTTGAGCCACACCTCCTCGGTCCCGCGCCTCCTGTAGCGGCTTGACTCCTATCCACCGGGTTAGTTTTCTCGTTCCGCCTATCATTTGCTTGTTTTTTCTTTCCATCCGGTTACCCAATTCGTGCTTAGGGCACCCTCTTGCCCCGCGGTCTTTCTCACCGTGACACATTGTGGACTATATCTGTGTCTCAATTCGGGCCCTAACGATTCTGACACCTAGGTCACATACGCTCTGGCCTCTCGCCCGTTTTCTCTCGTGTTGTCTTGTATCAATCTGCTCGGTAAGCTACAATCTTTCCGTTGGTCTTTTGCTGCTTCTTTCACTGGCGTCTTTTTTGTCCCCCGGTCTATATCCATCCGATCTTGCCCGTCCGTTGTGCAAATGACCAGCCCTACAAGGGTTAGTCCCCCCGCCCAATCGGTTCTGGGCCCTGTTGGCGGACTTCATTTCCACACCTTTTGCCCACCGTGCCTTTCGTATCCTCACGAAGGCTTCACCTTTTCCCCTGCTTTTTCTCAGAGATGATCAGAGCTTTGGCCGAATTTTCCCTAGCGGGCAGACTATCCCCTGCTCTTTTCCCAAAAGAGCCCAATCTGTGGCCCTCTCCTGACCCATCCTCATACCTTCTCCCGGCATTTTTTATCTTCTTTGGCCCTTCTTCACTCCTGAACTCTACCGTCTCAATACGGCTGTTTTCCTACTGGAGTGAGCCTTTCTCTTCCATCTCAGCTTGATTCATCACTCCATTGTACTCTCCCCGATGCTACACGCGTCACCAAGGGCTGTGCGCTCACCTCCACCATGACACCTACACGGCTCGATGGCTTTCCACTGAAAGGCCTTTTTTTTTTCTCTTTGGCTTAGTCCTGCTTGACCGCGGGTCTACCCACTTGATATATCTCGGTGGTTCCGTCGACTCTCTTCCTAGTTCTGCCGCCCCATCTTTCCTACTTTTCATACAGGATTCTTCCTTTTTGAATGATTTGCTGTCACTCTTTGCGACTCTCTTTTCCTGATGCCAACTTCCTCAAAAGTCACATGGCGACTGGCAGCTTTGCCTTGGGGCCCCTAGCATCTCTGCCCTGCAATTTTTTCCGCTCTGTTGTTGACTGATCAAGTCGTTTGTCATTCAGTCTTTGAAACTAGGAATCTTTGCTGATCGTTGCATCTACCAGTAGTCCTTCCTTCCGGTCAGCCCTTGGCTTGATTTACTACAATAGACCCGCTCTCTTTTGGGTGTTCGTGGTCCATCCGCTTCGTGGCCGGTCCCCCAGAGCCCCGAAGTGGCCTTGCGCTCTGTTGGGTTTAATTCTACAAGTATGTCATACCATGTGCACTCCCTTTGAGTTAGTGTTTTATCCTCATTCTGGTATGCTTACACCGTCCCAGCGGAAGAAGATTTCACCAAACCCACCTCCTCCCCCCGTCCGCGCTAGTTGACGAAACCAGGCCCCATGGGCAATGTTTCTCCCGAAAAGATCATCACATCCCCAGGGACAGGAGATGGGAAACCCCCGGCATCCGAGCCGAACATGTCGCAGTCCGACTCGGCACCTGGTCAGTGTTTTCCCAGGCGATATAGAAAGCGCACCATAACGTGTAGCCTGGAGCCATTCCCGTGGGGGACATATCCGTTGATGAGATGGTTTGATGTTATAGATGTTACAAACAGCAAATACGCACAATCAGGATACTCAGGGCACCCGTCGACCTCGGCCTATCCAGCTCCCGGACGCTATGGACCGCCATCGCCTTTGAACATGAGCAACATGGTATACTCGCTCCCGAATCACCAATCCCCGTCATCCCCTTTTGAAGGCCAGCATCTCATCCACCAATATCCACCAACCCATCCCCAAGGCCTCGGTTATCCGATACAGTCCATGGGTCCTTATGCTGGCCCAAACCCTGTTGGAAGCGGACCATATGCAGTACCTTTCGCACCAGGGTACGCGCCTTACTCGATGCAGCACCCTGGAACGGTCCAGCACCTTCCCGGTCACTATCCACAGTATATGGCAAATCCCTCAATGCAGAATATGGGTCCGGGACAACCCCCCACGTATGGAGCAAGTTATTATCACCAGGGTTATATACCACCTTCTCGACATGGATCACAATCAGGGCCAGGGCAAATGCGGCACTCGGGCTCTCAATCCAGACAGAGCAGTCTGTCACAGGGACACTCGGTATCGAACCAGGGATCTACCAACAAGGCTACAGATAAGGAGGCTTCGAAGGAGGAATATGACGTATCGAAGACAATTGTGGATGGCTCGAACCCGATGAAATTGGCACAACTTTCATCCATCCCGCACGGTATGTGTGAATCTAGGTACTCAAGAATAGTTATTGACATGTCGCACTACGAGAGACCTTTTCTAGAAATCCTCTTGCTGACGTATCTTATTTTTGTCTTGACAGATTCGACCCTTCCCTCACAATCAGTGGCAACTGTGCCTAACACCCCCCGCGGACCACCTCGAAAGCCGAAGCAGTCTGGCCATGCCCTCTGGGTGGGCAACTTACCACCCGGGGCGAGCGTGGTGGATCTCAAAGACCATTTCTCGCAAGAAGCAACCAACGACATTGAAAGCGTGTTTCTTATATCCAAGAGTAATTGTGCGTTTGTGAACTACAAGTCGGCCGCCGTATGTGCAGTCGCTCTTGCCCGCTTCCACGACTCCCGCTTCCAGGGTGTCCGCCTCGTTTGCCGGCTCCGCAAGGGCTTTACAGCTCCGGGGTCAGGCCTGGCCGTGGGCGTGGCGGGTCCAGGCTCCAGGCCTCGTCCAGAAGAGAAGACAGATCCTCGTCCTACTACCGAAGCTGGATCGTTAGCGGAGACCACGATTCCCAGGCCACTGGTGGATGGGGCGGTTTCCCGCAGTCTGGATCGGTACTTTATCGTTAAGAGTTTGACGGTAGAGGATCTCGAGCTGAGCAAGCAAAGCGGAATCTGGGCGACGCAGACGCACAATGAAACCAACCTGAATCACGCATTTGAGGTAAGTGTGACATGAATTGAAAACCCGTCTCCCCCTCCTCGGCCCAGTCCTTCTTTCCAATATCGACTTCCACTCATCTACGTCGTCCCCTCCGCTAACTCGGATCTACTAATCAGAATACCGATCATGTCTACCTCATTTTCTCGGCGAACAAGTCGGGCGAGTACTTTGGCTACGCTCGCATGCTATCACCCATTAGTGACGACGAGGAGCTCGCCTTGGAGATGCCGCCTCGTCCGGAGCCCTTACCCGGCACGGCCGATGAACTCGAGGTGACCACGACTGCGGCGACCTCGACTGCGCCCAAGGGCAGAATCATCGATGACTCGGCCCGCGGCACGATTTTCTGGGAGGTTGATTCTTCCGAAGACGAGCACGACGATGGCAGTGGTGAGAAGAGCGGCGAGGCTTCGGGGTCGGTTGCCGGTCCCGGCCCTCCGCCTTCCGTCTCGGGGCCCATCATCACTGTCGACGACGAGGAGGCGCAGTCATTCGGCAAGCCCTTTCGCATTCAGTGGCTGTCAACGGAGCGCGTACCGTTCCATCGGACACGGGGTCTCCGTAACCCGTGGAATGCTAACCGCGAGGTGAAGATTGCACGCGACGGTACCGAAATCGAACCGAGTATCGGGCGGAAATTGATCGCCCTGTTCCACCTGCCTTGAGGGGTCCGTGGTGGTCCCCGGGTAGAGAGATGAGGCGACGAGAGGGTTGAAAGAGCCCTCTTTTTTGTTTCATTCTCTGCCTCTCTCGACCTGGTATGTTTGTGGTGAACCGCTGACCAGCTGGAAGGAATCGAGAAGATTTATAGGGTTAGCCGTGTACGCATAGGGACTCCATTGCCCACATCCATGGTCCGGGATACGGTGTACCCTCAAGGTATACTGCATCACGGCTCGTCATGCAGGGCACTGGATGCTTCAAGCACACACGGATGTCCTAGATCGTCGATTCTCGATCATCATTCTGTCTTGTATGATCGATCGATTCCCAACGAGGTATTTATTCACCAAACGGCCCGGAAGAAGAGAGCAACCGGGAAGCACAGAATTCCACACTCCCAAAACGAGCCTGGGAGGATGGAGTCTGTAAAAATTTTATGGGAAACGAGTAATACACGATGTACGTCTTTTTTTTTCTTCTAATTTTGATAATACTTTCCCATTTTCTACAATTTCTTTCTTCCATTTTCGTCCCTCTCTCTGCGGAACTTGGTGGCACCCCACATCCATTCTCGGTAGTGCCATATAATTTTTCCGCTCGTGGAATATTTAGCGGTTCTACGGGTCTTTAATACATTTTTTTTTTCTTCTTCTTTTATTCATAGCGATCCGTTCACTCTATCTTCCGTCTTTATTGCGGGCACGTGTATCACTATGACGAGTTCTGGAATGTGGCGTTGTGGGGAGACCAAAGGGAGTACCCGTGGGTCTTTTGAGTGCTGGAATCGTCTCTTCTTCCAGTGTCCGGGGTAAAGAGAGGAGACTACGACATGATGACCGTGTGCACATACGTTACGTTTAAATATATGGAATAAACATAATTGATCTTACAGTACTGTTCTACGGTCTCGTCGAGTGATGATGTATTGGGTTATCTAGATCCCGGGGTATCTGGGCGAGACCACCAATCAATTCCGTCTCCCGCACGATGCTGACCGAAGCCTGTCGGAGGAGAGTTCCAATGAAACGGTGGTCGTAAATTACACTTTCCTTAGTCATGGGCCTTACCCTCGATGATAACCATCTTCACCAGAGTAAGTAAATTGAACTCCCGTGATTCAAAAACATCGTTAGTCAGTTAGTCAGTTCACCGTCGTACTTATGTAACCTCCCTTCCTCCTTTCCTAATGCAGCCCACGGTCAACCCTTCTTTTTTCTTCTCTTCCTGGCCACTCACGGCCACTCACCGTCTTTCGTCCTTCCACTCGTCAGCATCCATTCCTCCTCTCTCTCTCTCCTCCAATCTGCTTCCCCGGTCCCATCTGATCTGCATCGCAACCCACTCGGTCTTTCTCCACTTTCCTCCCTCTCGATCCACTGGGCGCCCCCGATTGTGACTTTCGGATACGACAAGCTAATGAGCTAACGACGGTCGACTTGGCCGAGTTCGGCAATGAGTGGAGGCCCACGGTGGGCATTCTGACGAATGACTGGCCAACTGGAATTTGTGATGGCGCTACCCCAGATATTCTTCCTTGGACTTGGCCCGAGCTTAGCTTTGTGCAGCTGGCCTTTTGCCCCCCCTCCTAGCCTCCTCCACTCTGCTTTGCTCTCTGCTCTCTGCTCCCGTGTGGTCTCATCCCCGTGAATGCGTCCTGGTGGTACCATTCCGTCGTCTGCTTCCTTTCCCCATTTCGACTCTTTCCCCCCTCCCCTGGGTTTTCTCTCTCCTTTCCATCTCTTCTCTCCCTTTCATTCTACTCTTCCCACTCTGACTTGAATCACTTCCCACCATTCTTCCATCCTTTCCACTTCTGACTATCCCCTATCAACACTCCCTTCTCGTGCAATTCTGCCCATCCACGTCATCCACAATCACCTCCTCTACGCTACAACTGGGTCCCCCTCCTTCATCCTGGTTGTGCGTACCCCTCGGCTTCACCCCATTCGACTTCTATCTCATGAGAAGGGCGGCGAGTCCGTCCAAGACCCGTTTCCTCATCCTCAGCTCGGCTCCCTGAGTTATCTTCTTCGTGCTCTCTCTCGATCTCTCTCTTTTCCATCCTACTTTCCCCCATCCGTGGCTCACTTCCATCATCGCCCTTTATCCCAAATTCCACGAGTAGCACATCCATCCACCCACCAATCACCGTGACTACCATCATCATCATGTCCAACGATCGCTCGACCTCTCCCATCTCCGTTCCTTCCTCGGAGAATCGTCCCCGCCGTGGTTCCTTCGCCGGTCTCCCCTTCGACCTCTTCTCCAAGCAGAATAGCAATCCTTCCGTCCAGCCGACAGGCAACAATACCCAAGCCAACCAGCAGCGCCGGCTGTCCATTTCCACCCTGGGCCTCTCGGGCTCGCCCACCCAGGCCTCCAACTTTGGAAGCCGAGCCTTCCGTCGAGGCAGCCTGTCCAGCTCGTGGGGGTCGATTCCGAACAATGAAGATGCCGTGGCAGAGGATGGAGAGCCATCCTCTCCCGGCGTGACCCCCAGCTCGCCATTTGCCCGGCGAGTGTCCTTTGGAGCTCAGGCCCTGCGTGAGGCTCGGGCCGGAAGTATAGGCAATGGTAGATACCCACCCCCTAGTTCATCCCTGACAGGGGCACGGCGCACCGCGTCCACCGCGGCGGGCCATAGCCCTCCTTCCCGATCTCCTGCATCTGCAAGTTCTTCAGCTGCCCTTCTGGAAGAGAGATCTAACGCATCGCGCCGCCCAGGCGAAGGCTTCAATTGGACCGAGGCGCTCCGTCACCGCGCCGAGCGAGCCCCATCCATCGGGGGGCCCGTCTCCCCGCAGAATCCCAGTCGTCAGGCTGGTCACCAGCGCGCCGCCTCGATTGCCTCGATGGAGCAACCCATTCGAGAGATTCCTAAGCAGCCCAAGCAGAATAAACCCGATTTCTTCCAGGAGAAGATTCTTCGTGGTGACTTTATGGATTAGAAGGGGCTTTGTGCTTGTGGACGAAGAGGATATGGAACTCCGTCTGCAAATGGTATCTTTTTTGTTTCGTCTTCTGTGATCTTCTTCTTATCTGCATCCGTTTATGGGGGTCAAGGGTTACTCTGGTTACTCCATCCGGTTATCCTCTCGACGAGAGAGATGGACGAGGCCCTGGCAGGCGTCATGACTCGTGTATTTTCTGGATTTATTTTCTCTGTTCATTGTGGAGTTTTGGATTTGGTTCCAATTTGACTTACCTTTGAAGCAATTGTGATGATTATCAAGAGGAAGATTCAAATTGTGATTGGGATTGACGCATACTCGTTTACACCATCCCTCATCCCTGGTGTTTGAGGATGGAATGTTTAATGAAAACTAAATTGACGAGAATCCAACGAATATTGATAAATATAGCACATTTCCAGTCTTGTAAACCGTCAATTTGTTAATGTACCCCTCGTCCATCGTGTACCGGACTTGTGATATGTACACATAATCTGCCATGTATATATGCTCAATCTCTTCTAATATAAGACTTTATACTTTTGAGCTCTCTCGCACACTTTTCCTTCTCTCTACTTTTCAACATCCCTCTCTTCCCTCCTCCCGTACTACACCTTATGCCTGTGAAGGACCGGCCTCGGTGGTATCCTCGGCATGAATATGCCCCGGCGTCTCGGCAGCCTTCCTCCCAGCAGCAGCCTCTTCCTCACGATCATAACCCTCCGCAACCCTCCGATCCATCAACTGCGCCGTAGTCAACTGCTCCTCCGGCGCAGGAGTCTGCCACTTGGAACTCTCCCAAGGCTTCACCCTCATCACATACATCATATCCATCTCCTCCAGGGTCTTATCCTTGCCCTCGAGAACAAAGAAATAAACCACGAGCACCGCAAAAAACAAACACCCCGCAAACACGTACCCATACGCAAAATCAATATCCCCCGTAATGAACGGCGTAAAGAAGCCAATCAGGAAATTCCACAACCAATTGGACGCCGTCGCCAACGCCATCGCCCGCGCCCGGTATCGACTCGGATAGAGCTCTGCAACGATCGCCCATACCATGGGACCCCAAGTCATTGCGAAGCCCGTGATGAAGAGGCAGGCAAAGACGACCATGGCTTTGCCTGCGCCCGGTGTGGCGGGTGGGTTTTGGACGTCTAGAGAGAAGTGGCCGACAGAGGCAAAGACCATGAAACAGACGAACATCCAGATCCCGCCGGCAATGAGAGATTTGCGTCGGCCGAAGTGTTCGATGACATAGAGGCCGCCAAAGGTGGTGCCGAAGTTGACGCCGCCGAGGATCATTTGTGTGACGTAGGTATTGCTGATACCTGCGCCGTTGAAAATGACGGTTCCCTGAGGTAGCAGAATAGAGCGAGGATGTCAGTTTCTTGCGCTTAACTCCGAATAATTGATCTAGCAGTCGGAAATGGGTTGAAAGGGTCAAGGGTCAAGGGTCAAGAGTCAACTCACGTAGTAGAAGAAGTAGTTAGCACCAGTAAGCTGCTGCAACGCCTGCAAGGTCACGCCCAGTACGATTCGATAGGGCATTCTCGGAGCCTGGAACATCTCGATCCAACCATGCCACCCGCCCTTGGAACCTTTCTCCGCATCGAGTTGTTCCTGAATCTCAAGAATCTCATGGACAATGACCCGGTGGTTCTCCGGGACACCGTACAACTTGCTCATAGTCCTCTTGGCCGTCTCGATACGGCCCCTCCGATAATCAAAACGAGGAGATTCGGGGAAGAGCAGGATCCCGAATCCCAGAATCAATCCCCAGAGGAACGTAATACCGAGTGGGATCCGCCAGGATGCGGTATCGGTGATATGTTCCGTGCCGAAGTTGATGCAATACGCGACGAAGATACCCAGCGTGACGAAGAGTTGATAAGAACTAAAGAAAGAACGGCGCCAATAAGCAAAACAAGCCAACCTCTTCGGGATTCGTTAGGTGCTCGACTTACCAAACCATCGCACCACGAATATGCCTCGGCGCAATCTCACCCTGGTACATCGGGACCAGCAACGAACAAGCACCAACACCGAAACCCGTCACGAACCGGCCCATCATCATTTGATACCATTTCCCCGCTGGCGAAGAAATTTGGATAATCAGCCCGACATGTAGGATCACGCACCAAGCGAAGATGGACCATTTACGACCGATGCGATCTGCGAGCGGGCCGGCGAGAAGGGCACCGATCATGGTTCCGATTGATAACTGAAAAGAATGCGTTAACTAATCATCACGCTACCAGAAACACCCCTATCATCCTTCTCCTATTTCCAGATATCCAGTCCGTTGCTGATGGGTGTGGCCACTCACCATGGAAACGATCAATCCGGATCGAACGTTACTAAATGACCATGACCCGTTCCGAAACTGTCCATACCGCTGCTTGTAATTGTTCATTTCGAGAAAGCCCGAGATCTGTCCCGTGTCGTAGCCGAAGATGATACCGCCGATTGAGACGAAGGCACCGAGGGTTAAAGATCGCCATGTTACCCATGGCACGCGGCCTTCGTCGTAGGAGGAGCTGCGGCGTTTCTCATTCGAGTTGTCATTGGAATTGGAGTTGGAATTAGAGTCCGGTGGTGTGGGGGGTGAGGAAAGGGGGCCCGGATCAGACTTTTTGGAGAATTTCATGATTGGCGATTGTACAGTAGAGGGTAGAGTGTAGACGACAGCGAGGGAGTATCTGCGAAGAACAGGTTGGACTGTATATATAAAATTGACCACCTATAATTTGACGGACGGAGAGAAGTGGCAATGAATAATGAATACCAGGAAGAATGATCGATCGATCCAACTAGTGTGGATGGAAAATTCTCCGGGTTTAAAAAAGAAGCGATATAACTTTTACCCAAATCCGCCTCCCTCCGAGTCAAACGTGAAATCATACGCCACGATCCGCACTGCTCCCGTTGGAATGAGCCCGTCATGGATGTGCCCCGCCGCCACTAAGGTGGCATGAGTGACTTTATTCATTTGTTCTGAAGATTCAAAGTATTTTAGAAACACAGAACTCACTTAATTTCTTGCCCTGTTGCCCTGTGGTAGTTCGTTCGGTGGTGGCTCGAGATATGATTCATACAGATAAGATAGTTAGGGATCGCCCCGGGGCCTTGGGTCTCTCCCGCAGCCACCACCGCCCGGTCCCGTAGATGGACTGAAGCTATATAGGCTTGAAAGATGGTACCTAGTTCTCCAGATTTAAAAGCCTGCTTCTTACTACTCGAATTCATTCTTTGTACATGAGATTTTGTGGCCAATGTCGATAGTGTTGCTGGGTGCGGGATTGGGGGTCCATGGAGTCATGACGTCAAGTACCAATTGTTCAATAGAAGAATGTTTCCGCGGGTGCATTCCTCTTGGGATCCATGTTCTGATCTGAAGGGGTCGAGGATTCTATAGGGGGAAAAGGGCAGAGGGGGCGAGATATGTTCTGTTAGGGCGATACTGTGCGGTTGGGATGATGGAGGCAAAATATTATTACGATTGATTGGGGCTAACGCCATCTTAGGGTTAGGAACTTGGTACTGGAATTGCATTCAATGCAGTAAATTCGTGAATCATTCAAAATAAAGGTATCCCTAACTATACGCCAAATCTAGCTGCGTTGTACAATCGCAAAAAAAAAAAATACAATCAAATCTTTCCAATCTCATCCAATCCCTTCTTATCTCATCTTAATTGGCCATCCGCTTGCCAATCTCGCTCTGCCAGTTGCGCGACTTCTCAAAGCCATTGGACGCAGTCTGGTAGTCGAGCATGGCCTGGTAAACCTCCTCCTGGCTGTTCAGCACGAATGGACCATACTGCACAACCTTCTGATCCAGCGGTAGGCCGGCCACAATGATAAAGCGAGACTCCGAGTCCGCATTATCAGGAACGGAAGCCTCCACAAGGTCACCAGTCTGCTCAAAGACGACATTGTGGAATTCCTTGACCGCCTGCGTCGAATCATTCGATCCAAAGATCGTCTTGCCAGATAGCGTGTACGCAAAAGCATTCCACCCCTGAGGCAGCGTCTGCGACAACCGACCACCGGGACGAATAGTCACGTCCAAAATCCAAACGGGCGTGTACGCCAGATCGCGGACCGAATCAACACCGTGCGATTGACCAGAGATAACCTTGATCTCCACACGGCCCTCGTCCGCCTTGGCGAGCGGGATTTCGCTCGCGCGCAGATCACGGTACCGCGGCTCACACATCTTCAGTTTCTGGGGAAGATCGACCCAGAGCTGCATGCCGACGTTGGGGGAGCCATCCGGGTTTTCGTGGGGCATTTCGGCGTGCATAATGCCACGGCCAGCCGTCATGAATTGCAGATCACCGGGTCCGATGGTACCCTTGTTCCCCGCGAAATCTTCATGGTCGACACCACCGGACAGCAGGTAGGTGATCGTCTCTTGGCCGCGGTGAGGGTGATCCGGGAAACCGGCACCCTTGCCAATGGTGAAGTGGTCGAGCATGAGGAACGGGCTGAAGTTGCGGAGCTTGGCGGTACCGATGGAGCGGCGCACGCGGGCGCCTGCACCTTCGGCTTGTTCGATGGCCAGGAAGACCTGACGGATTGCGCGGGCGGTGCTCATTTCGGTGATGGGGAGGACGATAGGAGCGGGGTATTCCAATGGGAGGTTGGGATTGGTGGGTGTAGTGTTGGAGTTGGTAAGGTTGTAGCCTTTGGGCAGGTACTGCGACAAAGTAGCCGGGAGCTTCTGGTGCAGAAAAGTAGTAAGAGTGTCCTGGATTGAAGGACTATAAGCGAGGAAGATTGCTGTGATGCAAATTAAAAAAGGCAGAAGCAGTCTCATGGGCGCGATGGCGTCCTTTTATGCTTGGAGCGAGTCAATGCCTCGAATGTTCGAGTAGAGAGTAGTGATGGAAATTGTAAAGATACGCTAAAAGTCAGCGTTAGTCAAAGGCATCTAATAAGTTAAGTATGTTGGCCGGGCGCCAGCATGGGGCTGCGATTCCAGTGCTTTGCAAGACATCAGTCAGCGGGGTTCTGCAGTTCGAATTGGGTCAGCGAATCGTTGGCGTCGGATTTACGGAGTTGGCCTGAGCCCAGCGGATTCGGCGATGACCAAGACGCCCGTCAGCAGCCGCTAAGCGGATCCACTTTTGACACCTGCGAGCCTTGTGGCCTTGGTGCCTGTTTTGTAAAGTGTGTATAATCATCACATCAGCAAGTGAACTTGACGATGAGAAAACGTATTTGACTTTGAGCTGATCTTGATCATAATAACCAAAGATGGCTTGGAGACAGATGGTAGAAGATTCTATGTGCCGTCTCAGATGTTAGTTCGACAGCGTTAGAGGATACACCATTCTGTACGTATATCTGCTGTTTGAACTCCGCAGATATAGAGGTGAGAGAGATGGCGAATCTCCAACTGAGTAGGTGATTATAGCGATGAAAAGCATATAACTTCTCATCCGACACTGGCAATAGAAGCGGGTATCTAGTTAAACCATAGTTGTATACTTTGTTCATCAAATTGAACCCAAGTTGACAGCAGAGCCTTGGTGTAAATGACCAGCCCGTACTTGCCTCGTTAAGCCTGACTATCGCTATCTGATAAGGCCACGGAGCAGCTCCCGCTCTCCGCTCTCCGCTCCACCTCCAGCTCCAGCTCTCTTCACGCGATCGCATATCGCCTTGGCTTACTGTGCTCTTCTTGTTTGATTTTGAGATATCCACTTGGAATATATGGTATCTCACCTCCTCCACTGACATAACCAGTGAACAGCCCAACGAGAAAGTGCGAGCGCAGCGAACTCCGCATCCACTATACCCTCACCAAGGTTGCGTGCCTTTCAACCTACGTTGCTGCCGAACTTGTCCTTCCAGTCCAGACTGCCCGCAGGATGGGCCGATCGCGGTGGAGTCTCGCGCCTTGGCTCGTGCTGGGTTGCGCTGCATCGAGCGCCTGGGCAGCCAAGAGGCCTTTTAACATTCATGATGATCTGTTGGCCTATCCACAGGTACGTCGAGGATAAGCAGCGCTCCATTGCCCTTATTTGTTGCATGATCTAACGACCCACCGCATGCAGTACCAAGTGCTCTTTCCGGAAGAATATATCTTAGAATCCCAAGCCGAAGAGCTTCTCCAAACACATGCCTCGCCCGAGACCCGCGACTCCCACGTCGAGCGGAACGATCCCCAAGTCTACACGGGAAAGGATCATACCGAACACACCGCGCAAACCCACGAAGACGCGATTCACCCGACATACACATATGAAGAAATGATACTGGATGACCGGCGGCTTCTGTGCCAGATTCCCCGCGTGGCCGAAGACGAGACCAATAGCACGGCTGGCCGCACGACTCAAGAAGCCGATGAACAGAATGAACTAGCGCGGGCTACCGATCGCGGTCTCGAGCTTCTACGCGAGATGGAGGGTAAATGCATGTACTATTTCTCCGGCTGGTGGTCATACTCTTTCTGCTACAGGAACCAGATCAAGCAGTTCCATGCGCGTCCAGCTGGTGGTGGGGTCCCAAGCTACCCACCCGTGGAGGACCCGAATACCCATTCATTCGTTCTGGGCCGATTCCAAGAGGAGACGAATCAGGAGGGGAAGGGGGACGAGAAGCAGAAGCAGAAGCAGAAGCAAACGCAGACCGATGTCGCGGAGCTACGCACCAAAGGTGGTTCGCGCTACCTGGTCCAGCATCTACGCGGCGGCACCAAGTGTGATTTGACGGGGCGTGAGCGCAAGGTCGAAGTCCAATTCCACTGTCACCCGCAGTCAACGGACCAAATTGGTTGGATCAAAGAGCTGACGACCTGTTCCTACTTGATGGTTATCTACACTCCTCGTCTTTGCGACGACGTTGCCTTCCTGCCTCCACAGCAAGACGAGGTTCACAATATCGAATGTCGCGAGATTCTCCGGCCCGAGGACGTTCCCGACTGGGAGTCTGTGAAGGAATGGTATCAGGCCCATCAACTCGCCGATGCCGCCGCTGCTCACTCGGAGGTGCAAATCGTCGGGGGCATTGTGGTTGGAGGCCAGAAGCTAGTGGGCATGGAAGGCAAGAAAATTGAAAAAGGTCGAGTCGCATCCGCCGGCGAAAAGAAAGTGGAGGTAGTCGTCAAGCGTGAAAATGGCGAGATTCAGCGCCCGTCCAAGCAGGTGATGAAGAAATATAACCTCGATCCCGAGGGAGTCGAGGACATGAAGAAGCGACTCGATCAACTTGCCGAGGGTAAAGATTGGACCTTGGAAGTGGTGGAGAGCGACGGAATGATCGAATTCCAGGGTGCCATTGAGAAGGATGACGACGAACTTGACGAGAAAGAAACCAGCGATTCGTTTTCGCAAAAGGTCGCAGACCATCATCAGGACGGCGATGAACCTGCGCCCGTCGCCGAAGTCGATGATGCAGCGGGCGCCGACTCTACATCTGAGACTACGCAAAAATCAAAACCGCGTCGACAGGGATCCGAGGACGAGGACGAGGACTCTGTTGGTAGTGAAGAAACCTTCAAAGACGAGCTATAAGGTGAGGAGGGGAAATATGTGATTGGGTCCTGTACAGTAGAAGATCAATCGATATACATTTTTGGCGCTCATAGTCGCGTTCTGCGACACATTTCAATCATTTGTACAAAGCAGCATCCCGTCAGTAGATTCATCGATCTAAATATATCTGTCCAGATTGGATTGACCGTGAAGAAAGTCCGGGTCTGGGCACCACTCGGTTGGTCGTAGGCAGCGCCAGGAACAGCCGGTTAGCTTCATGCCCAAAGACGTCAGTTGCCCCAGTTGCCGGGAACCGAGTGGGGGCATCAGGACAGGCAGTTGAAGAAGGCGCAGTTTGGTAGAGGAGGATTTATTGTGAAGAAAAATAGGGAATTGACCAGATTGTGATTTGAGAGAGTGAAAAGAATAGATCAAGAGGGCCAGAAGGTTAGATGGTAGAGTCAGGAGCATCTATGAAGTACCTGAAATCTACTGAGGGCCGGGCCTACGTAAGGAACGTGACCGCGAAACCCAAACCTCCTAGCGATCGCCCCCGGCCCACCTTCCCACTCCCTGGTCTCAATTCGAACCCTCTGTTCTCCCCCCCCCTCTTCCCTTGGGGTCTCTTCCTTTGACCGGCGGCTCTGTGTTCCTCCCGCTCTCTTCGGCCTCTCCATCCTCCTCCTACCTCAGCCCTTCCCCTTGCCCGCACCGTCCTAGACACTCGAGCTACCAAGGCTGACTGACCCCCGGCAAACGGCCAGCGTCAATCCCCCAAGCCAAGCCGACCTCGTTCTCCGGATAAACAACTACAACCCCCAACCGACCAATTCCGAGCTGGCCGTTTGATTTCTGCTGCTGTCGCTAGCAGCGCTCGGACTCTGTCACCCCTACGAGACGAAGGACCTGCCCATCCCGCGGCTTCGCATTAATCATGGGGTTCCTCGGGGTGTATACGGCCGTGTATGATTACCAGCCTCAGGGAGAGGGCGAACTGGAAATCCGAGAGGGTGATCTGCTCTACGTCTTGGATAAGAATGGTGATGATGATTGGTGGAAAGCCAAGAAGAAGGCTGAGCGAGACGACGAGGATGAACCGGAAGGTTTAGTCCCGAACAACTATGTCGAAGAGGTGAGCCTGCCAAATGTGGGGAGATGAATAGGCCGTGTAGTTCGCTCCGCGCATTGACGGCGACGAGGAATGCCTAGGATATGGAATTGGATTGATGCTTACCTCTGGATCCCGCACTCAAATAGGCGCAACCAGCACACCAGGCCAAGGCTTTGTTCGACTACACGCGACAGACCGACGAGGAGGTTTCATTCTCCGAAGATACCGAGATCTTAGTCTACGACACGTCAGATCCGGATTGGACCTTGGTTGGAGTCGGCTCGGATTATGGATTTGCGCCGGCAAACTACATTGAGATCGTGGCAGACGCTGCTCCACCCGCTGATACAACTGCCGTGTCTCCATCTCCACCAGCTGCCGCCGAGCCCGCACCGCCGTCTCTCCCTACACGACCGATGCAGCCGGCTGCAGAAGAATATGAAGAAGCCTCTTCTCCATCTCCCATAGACACCGTGCAGAATCCTGCGGCGGCCGCGATTGCCAATATCATCCATCAGCAGCATGCGCCTCTCAGCGCTCAACCCGAGCCTACGCGAGAGGAGCCGCCACCACCCCGACTGCCTACTCGACCTTCGCATGAGCAGGAAGATGAGCGTGAAGAAGCCCCTTCTCCTGCGCTCCCGCGCCGGCCCCCTTCAGAGCAATTTACCCCGCCAATGCCCCAATATGATCCCGATCCGTCTCCGCCGCCGCCTCGTCCCCAGCAGCCCGCCCCGGCCATGGGTGGCCACAGCCGGCCCTACGTTAAGGAATCTCCTCCATACAATCGAGCTGGCGAGCCGTCGCCTCGCTCGCCGTCCGGATACCATATCTACAACATCAATGAGATGGTCGAAGTAATGGGCAAGCGGAAGAAGATGCCGACTACTTTGGGTATTAATATGGTCACGGGAATTATCTTCCTCTCTCCCGAGGGTGACGATCGCCAACAGGAATGGTCTGCAGAGAAACTCACTCATTACTCGATTGAAGGCAAGCACGTCTTTGTCGACCTGGTCCGGCCCAGCAAGAGCATCGACTTCCATGCTGGCGCCAAAGACACCGCTCAAGAGATTGTTGCTGCTCTGGGTGAAATTGCTGGAGCCTACCGTGCCGAAGGCCTGCGTGAGGTTATTGCGGCTGGTGAAGGTGGCGGCGCCCAGAAGAAGGGCCAGATTTTGTATGATTTCATGGCACAGGGTGATGACGAAGTTACGGTGGCCGTGGGCGACGAAGTTGCTATCATTGACGACACCAAGGCCGAAGAATGGTGGATGGTCCGACGTCTGAAGAATGGCAAGGAGGGTGTCGTTCCTAGCAGCTACGTGGAGATCACCGGATTTATGCCTATCATACCCACCCCCGGAGTGGAATCTGGCATTTCGACCGTGGAACGAAACCGTTTAGAGGAAGCTCGACTCGCCAAGGCTGCCATGGGAAAGACCAGGACCGATTCGATGGATTCTAGCGAGGTAAGAATTCGACCCCTACGACGCTATCCTAGACGTATCACCCCATTGGTTACTAACACGCGATTCCCTATCCAGCGCAGCAAACGTGATAGCAAACGTGACAGCAAGCGCGACAGTAAATCAGCCAAGTCAAGTAAGTCATATGGTTTTCAGAACTCAGTGACCAGATTATTAACGCAAAACCACAGAGCCGGATCCCACGAAGGTGAGGAAGTGGACAGATCGGACCAAAGCTTTTACTGTGGAGGCACAGTATATCGGTCTTTTGGACGGCAAGATTCAACTTCACAAGGTCAACGGTATCAAGATTGCAGTTCCCGTCGCGAAAATGTCCGTCGAAGATCTTGAGTACGTGGAGAAGGTTGCCGGTGTTTCACTCGACGAAGATAAGCCTCTATCAAGTATTCGAGCCCGTGGAGGCTCCGACGCCAAACGAGGCTCTGCAGGTGCTTCTGTACAGCGTCCCGAGTACGATTGGTTCGATTTTTTCCTCAAGTCTGGTGTTGGCCCACATCAATGCGAGCGCTACGCGCAGAATTTTATCAAAGATTCAATGGACGAGTCCGTCTTGCCTGATATCACCCCCGAGACACTGCGTACCCTTGGCTTGAAGGAGGGCGATATTCTGCGAGTCATGCGCCACCTGGATACCACACTTGGCCGAAGCGGTGCGAAGTCCAAGCTTCGTAACGTGAGCTTTGGGGGCGAGGAAGTCATTGGCAATGGCGAAGAAGGCGGGTTGTTTGCTGGACCTGGTGGCATGCTGCGCAACAACACTCGCAAGGGGAGACCTGCGCCGGCTGTGCAGACCGGTGACGTTGTTGATCCCAAGGCGTTTGAGCAAGCAGATGAGTCCAAGCCCAAGGCTGAAGAGAGAGCCGAAACTCCTCCGGCTGCTGCAGCTCCTGAGAAGCCCGTTGCTCGTGGATTCGAGGACGATGCCTGGGAAGTGAAGAAGCCTAAGGAGTCTGCAGCTGCACCTCCCCCACCGGCTGCAGCCTCGCCACCAGCTGCTCAACCCCCGATCCAAAAGCAGGTCACTGGTGCAATGGCGGAATTGTCCCTTCTTCAGGCTCCCCTACAGCCCAATGTTGCGCAACCTGCCCCCATCCCATCCGTTTCAACCATTCCTGCACTCCAACCGCAGCAGACTGCCGTGCAGAGTCCACCCGTACAACAGCCCCAGCAGACGGGTGCCACCCCCAACTTCTTCACCCAAATCGCACAAATTGGCCAGCACCAGCAGCAGCAGCAGGCTCAGGCATTCAGTCCCCAACAGACTGGATTCCAGGCACAAGCCCGACAGCGTCCACAGGCTCCGCAGACCATTGCCCAGAACTCGCTTCTCCCACCACCTCCGCAGCGTCCGCTGTCAGCACCACAGAACTTCACGCAGCAACAGAGCTCCTTTGGTCCTCCTCCATTGCAGCCTCAGCTGACCGGCCTTCCCCAGCCTGGTCCCGCTCTTCCTGGTCAGAGTTTGACCGAGCTGAACCAGCAGCGCTTACAGCCTCAGATCCAGATGCAGCCGCAAGCCACTGGCTTCATGGGCCAGAATCAGTACCAGAATGGAATGATGATTCCTCAGCCCACGGGATTCACTCCCCAGTCACAATTCGGCATCCAGCAGCAACAACAGCTGCCCTATGCCAATGGCCAGCCAGGCTTACAGGGTATGGCTCCACAGGCTACAGGCTTTGGTGGATTTGCACCGCCTCAGCAGCCAATGCAGACTGGCATCAACTCCATGCTACCTCCCGCACTTCAGCCCCAGCCAACTGGTGCTAATGGCTTCGGTACGAACACATACTCGATCAATAATCCACCCCCAGTACCACCAATCCCTCAGCAGCCAACGGTCACCCCTCTGTCGCCGCAGAAGACGGGACCTCCACCATCAATCAGATTCGGCGTCAAGCCAGATGCGCCCAAGAAGCTTGCCCCTCAGCCGACAGGAATGCGGGCAAACCTTTCTCAAGCTAGTACGTCCTCGATCTTTAACATGTATGCAATTGAATATGAAGACTCAACTAACAACTCGTTTAGCGCCCAACAACCCCTTCGGCTTTTAGAGGGACCTTATGTGCATTCGAATATCCGCTCCGTCTTGATTGGCATATATAATTTTGTCGTTCTACCTTTTTGAAACTGGCGATTGGCAAACCCTTCCCCATTTGTATTGTGCTGCAGATTCTGTAACCACTGGGACCGGAATTTTACATATCTCAGCTTGTCCTTTTCATGCTCCTTCTTGCGCTCGTGGAATTGACATTCGTACATAGCATATACCTTATCACATCATCCCGCTCTCTCCGAGGTCTCTACCCATCTCAGTCAATGTTCTCGTCTCCCGTCCTTCTAACGCAGCTTACGTTGCGATGAGCGTGGTTTCTTTGTGATATTCCCTGACTTAGCGAGCCATCATCCGATTTTCCTTTCTTCTCCCGCTTTTGAATTCCATCGCCACCTATCTGAGTCTTCCCCATCCCCTTTGGCCCAGTTCACATGTTCTTTACGTTAGCCTTTTAAGAAATTTGCAATGCCGCGCTCATCCCGTTTTCCCCGCCATACATCTCGTTAATGTCTATATGGTCATAGTCATGGTCATGTTCTAGTGCCGTTGAATGTCCCATGTGTCTCTCACTTTCGTTCTCCTTTGTTGCTCGAACTACCACCCCCGGTTCTCCCTCCCAAGTCCATCTCTTGTTACATATCTCACAAGCTTCCATAGCTGGTAATAAACTGCTGGCATCTTCCATAGCTTCCCATTTGGCCCTTTGTTTCCCTACCGAGTTTAACTTTGCTTTTGTTTGATGTACACTATATAGGAGAATGATCAACGTGTAGTTTCGAAGAATAGACAATTCACTTAATTAATTGAGTAGATGCTGCCCGAGGTCTTCCGAGAGGCTACTTTCGAAGAATAATCACTGCATTTGCACATCTAAACATTTATGAGATTTGAGTGCTGCTTCAGGGTATAAGACAACAGCCGGAGACACATCAATTTGATCTGCCCAATCGAAAGAGCAACGAGGGTAATTGTATATCCATAAAGACACCTACAAAAAATTCATCACATCATAGACCGCCCATTTTTAGGAAACCGAAACGCCAAGCTCCAAAGAAGCCCGCTATCAACGAGAGATGTGTATAAGAAATCAAAGAGACCACCGATTGGGCAGGAAAGTGCACTCCTAGGGTATTTGATTGTCTTCCCATAAGCCAAAGACCGGAAGATCCTCAGCCATATATAACAGACCGTTCTCCGGGAACATCACATCGGAAAGAGGGGAGGGCCCACCGGACATTGGCGGCTGTCCTGAGGGAATAGTTCCTCCGGGGGAACAGCCGACTGGAATGCCGGATGTAGTCAGCGCCGAGATAGCAGCGTCATACGACAAAGGTGCGCCGTCAGGTCCGTACGAGAGGGCGTCCCAGATATCATTTGCGGATGGTTGTGGGCCAGTTGTAGCCCCGGGTTGCGTAGTGAACATGGAGGATGGAGTATTTCCGGCCAATTTAGCAGATGGACTTGGTGATGGCACGATGGGAGATTGTTGGGATTCGCGGCGGTTGCCCGTTTGACTGGGCGGAGGAGGATCACGGACAGCGAGGGGTGATGTAGAGTCCGCACTGCCGCCAACTTGGCCAAAGAGCTGGTCAACCTGTCTGCTTCGGCGCTCCATCCATTGTCGGTTACGACGCTGGACGTACTCTGCTACGGCGCCGCGGAGGTACTTGACGATTTGGAGAAAACGACATGCGTGAGGATCGTGTGGGACGAATAGACCCAGGAAACGCTCTGCTTTGTTTAGACCTTCTTCTAGGGGGAGGAGATTATCGTAGTCGGCGAAGAAGGCTGCGCCAAGAACAACTGCCGAGTTGAAGACGGAGTTTATGAGGAACGGGAGACGGCGGGGGAGAGATCCGAATCTGGCGAGGTCGTCTACCACGTCCAGGCCACGGATGGCAGAGTAAACGCAAGCGTCTGCAAAGAGGGAGATGCGAGAGCTGGTGTTGCGCGATTCGGATGAGGAAGGGTCTGCCTTGCTCTTGACGTATTGAGCCACGCGGTAGACGAGGAAAGGCCTCGTTAGTAGAATAATCGACCAGTAGTAGGATCCAAAGACGTGGGCGGCAGCAAGGCTGTCCTCCATGGACTTGTTGTCTAGTCGTTCGGTTTGCATCCTGAGAACCGCGGGGAGAGTGCGAACCCACGCACGGTGTTGGTTCGAAATCGCTTCAGCCACGTTGATTGAGATGACTTGTTTCATATAAACATCTGTCAAGATCCTTTCAAAGATGCGGCATAGTGATGTAACAGCAACCGAGAGCTGCTGATCGGGTGTTAAATTCCGCTGTTGGTCCGCAGAAACGAGAGTGTCGTCTCGAATGTCATAATCATAGTCAGATGTTGCTGGGGGCCGGCCCAAGGACGCACTGAGGAATAGATCCATCATTCGCAGACTCTTCCAAACACGTTCTCTGGCCCTCCTTTCGCGGCCGCAGAAAAGTGCATTTGCATCTTTCCGGTGTATTCCGACCGCATACGCAGCTCGCAAAGCAATACCGAGGTTCATAAATGCGCCATTACGCCTGCACGCGCCAAGCATGTACATCGAGATCAAGATGTATGATTGGATAGTGTGGATGCTGGGCGTTTCTTGAAAAGCCGAAAAGGCCAATTGGCGACCACTGCTGAAATACTGTTCGGCCAGGGTCTGGTTGATCTCGGAGACTTGGGCACCAATCGCGAGGACGAGATAAAAGATCGAGCTGACGGTATCTTCATCGCCAGATGGGTTTCCAACCCAATTAGCCAGGCGCGGGTGGAATTCTTCCAGATCGAAGAGATCTAGCAATGGACTTGTGGCAAGCACAAATTGTCGCGCAAGCCGTTGGGCCTCTTCATTACTGGGCGGTGGGATGAGGGGTCCAGCTTGGGTACTTGGATTGCTCTGGAAGGCTTCCAGCATAGAATGGCGCGAGTTGTCCTCCGTGAACTCGCATCGACCAATAGATGAGGACACCACCCGACGCACGCTCTGTAGAAATGACAAGCTCGCCGAATCTCCGATATACATGAACTTCCCTTGCCCGTCACGAAGAAGACGGGCTACCTTGGGAACGGGCGCCATTCCCTCCTTCTCATCCCTGACCTGTTGTTCCAGATTCATGCCGCGGTCCTCCAACGAGTTCAACAAGCGGTCCATTGCCGTCTCGCGCTGCGGCGAAGGCACTATCCGTTCGCTGAGTAGCATAGTGGAATCCTTGGACTCGGGTTTGAGCAGGCGCGCGGGGCGGTCGGAGAAATGGCATTCGGGCTCTTTGTTTCTCTGAATACATATCGTACATGGTTGTTCACCGTTGCATTTCTGCTTGCGACGCTTGCAGCTGTCACAGGCTCGGCGACATCGCAGCCGCGCCCCTGGAGCTGTACTGGTACGAGGCATCCCGGTGGGCAGATTGCGCGGCTCGTGCCGAGTTTAGTGGGTCGGATCGCAGTATCGAGGGGTGAGTGTCATTGAAACGGGGGAGCGCTTTCGAATGTCTCTTCATGAGACCGGAGAGAAGCTATAGGGTGCTCGACAGTGGTTAGTTGGATTGCGCGTGGCGCATGAGTCCGCGGCGGACCGGAGGAAGTGCGGGCTGCTGTTGCTTTCCCCGGACTCGGCGGACTGACTAAGCGTGTCCCGCCAATGCCAAGACGAAGTATAGATAAACTCTGACCGGAGCTGACAAGTCATAAGGCTATCTTTGTCTAAATATCACAACGTATAAGGTAAATGATTTTACATTCAATCTGGTTTTACTTAGTCTGGTTTGGTCTGAAAGTCACAATCTTGCCCCAAGTGTCCGCAGTGCCCCAAATACCCGATCGCAGGCACGTCAACTGCACGATCTGGCTATGATCCACAAATAAATTAACATCGATACCAAACTCCCGGATATACCAGTTGAACACCTTGGGATCTGCCGCTTCAAACATCACACGCTCTACGAGAAGTTCTTTCATGATTGTTGAGACTACATCTGTTCGCCAAGAATTGACATTCTCGGTGATGCCCTCAGACTCTATCATGAGACGCTTGACCCCTGCATCGAGGAACTTGTGACCCAAGTTGACCAACTTTCCTGGATCAGAACTTCCAATCGATTCGAGCCCAGCTGCAGGGGTGTCGCCACCAGCGCCGAACTGAATACCCAACTCGGGCTTGGGCTCGAGTTTATATGATTGGACTTTGTCCACTAGACGAAGCCAGTCGTCTTCGGGGAAGGAGAGGAACCCTGAGGATAACTCAATGACATCGAAGCTGTGGATGCAATAAGTCATAGCACGAGGATATGATGGAAGAAAGCGTACCCCAGGTCTTTGCATTTACTCAGATACCGGTCGAAGACGGCATTCGGATCAAGGTGGGTGAGAAGGTGCTCAGCCCATCCGCCCTTTAAGAAGGCAATTTTGTTAGACTCAAATGCGCAAATGACTTACTTGGACATACAGTTGAGACATAAACTCCATGGTCATGGGCCAGGTCAATTAGTTCGCGTAGTTGTTTCTCCTGAAACAATGAAAACGAACCTAGATAGGTCATCAGCATGTGCTTGAATAGAGGATCTGTCCGGCTTGCCTCCGGCAAATTTCAATCCATCGACATGCTCGCCCATTCTGTAGATGGCTTTTCAGATACTAAGAATAGCTTCCTCTTACAAGGATGTATCTTACGTGTCCAGGACGTCCGCAAGATATCGCTTCCCCATAATCTAGGGAAGTGTGAGTGACCGATTCAGAATACAGGGTGGCGAGGCATACAGAGTAGTATGGACCACGTATCTCGGTGACCCCGCTGCTTCTGGGCTTTTCCTGGCGAGGGTTCGACTTCGCAAATCCAAAGCCATGCTGGTCTTGTAACAGGGTTGGGCTTTGGTGTAGAGAGCTTCCTGATAAAGCTCTGGTGGGCGTGAACAACGCGACTCTGTGCATCGAGCGCTTAATGCGACATGTGATCTGCTTCGATACAAATGTGATGGAAGGAGTGATAACGGGCATCGTCGTTGTATTCAGGCTTTGAACCAAGAGATCAATATAAGGTCTAAGGCACGAAACTGAGCAAAGATGCTCAAATTCTCAACGAAGGGCACAATCAGCGCATTTCGAGTGTAAAAGTTTAAGAGATTGAAGTAGTGTTACTTCTATGTCCTTCCTACATATATGACTTTCTCCTACAAGGTTGGACGAAGATTGACGTCAATTATACTTCACGCCGCGGACTCAAGGACTGCTAGCTGGGGATGACATCAGAAACGGTCAACCACCAGCTCGGGAATCATCTCGGATTTCTTTATATCATGAATCAAAGGAATCAATATATTCATGCAATATCAATAAGAACATGCTATGTCTGGAAGTTTCAGGGTCTATACAATCAATGAAGCTTTCGGCGGTGATTCCGAGCCCCACTCGTGAAGTTTACGAAGCATGATCCCCCTCGGACAAAGACCCACTAGACAAGATGACTCTCGTGCTTCTGTAAGCTCCCAATCTGTTCGTTATACAAGTTAGCGTGATCGCCGGATTACCAAGGCCCAGCCACCGTCCCGGATCCGTCCGGATTGAAAAAGGGCCAGAGATCAGGGCTGCCAAGAAAATACGGCTACGGCGCTTTTCAACCCCCGTTTCCGATTTCTCGGACTCTGGCAGTTCCGCTGAATAAGAATGCATCGTATGGTTATGTTTCATTCGGTTAGTTAGCTGTGTATACTAGTCTTTCCAAAGACATAAAAGTACTTTGAACTTATCCGCCATGTTCCGGTGAAGAGTTCTGGGCGCTACTATAGCACGCATATGAGAAAGCCTGCTTGCCCACGTACCAAGCGCCTAAGCAAGGAATAATGGACAATCTCATGCAGCATGAAAGAATCATCTTCGGAAGCCACCCGACTCGGATCAAGCCTTGGTCAAATACCCTGCTAGCCCAGGGCTGATTCAAAGTATTTTACGTAGCACAATCAAAATGATGTGTGTTCCCAGTTTTATGCACATAGAACCGGCGCATAAAAAAGAGCTAATCGCATTTGCCCTATCAGATTTCGTGAGACAGGAATCTGGTGGGCCCATCCGCCGTATACGAAGTATGAGTTATACATATGTTACAAGGTACAATGTATGGCACTTGTACCTGGAGCCCATGGTCGTATGTATCGAGGCTGCCGTACGAGAACGATTACGCAAAGAAGCACGCGACACTTGATTTCCTTTCATGCACATTCACCTCCGCCAATCCACTGCAGCTCCACCAGTCTTGGCACATTGCCCTACGGCCTGCCATGTATTTCATTCGATACAGATTCCAATTCGGACTCTTTAAATGCCGCTCAGCTGCTTCATTCGGCATCCGATCTCTCCGAACGTCCGCTTGCATATGATTACCAAGTTTCTTCGCTCGCTCGGTTGTGTTGAGTTGGCCGTGCTTTGCTCTTTCCCTAACAGAACACAAGCACCGAGGCCAATTACAGGAGCCAACCACGAGGACAAATGGGAAATAATGAGCGGAGACCAGCCCAGGGCAATTGCTCTCATGCCTGGTTCCCTTGTAGGGCCCGGTCCCCAGACTCTCGCGGCGTTGGGCTTTTCATCTGGCCCAGCGCAATTCCTGGCCTTTTGTATCCCCCACCAGCGCTATTCTTACCATGACGCACGACCCATTCGTATCTTATCTCGGTTAATTCCTGTCTTTTCCTCTGTTCTATTCTTCGTTGCATTCTTCTCTCGACATTACGTGACCTGAGTTTGGCTATCTGGAACTCATCATGGGTGTTGGGGCTATTCTCGAGCCCTTAACAGTCATTGTTCTCCTCTTCGGAGGCACCTGGATTAACCGAGTCACCAATACTTCGTTTTCTCCCACCTATGATCGTCGACAGTCATTTGGATACTCGCGCTCTGACTCGCCAGACTCACTGGAGTCGGGATATTCAAGTCCAAAATCCAGGGATGGCCTTTTTAGTGCCCGCTCATGCTCCCCGCTACCGCAGATATCCGACGATCGATGGCATAAACGGCAGCTCAAAATACTGGGCTCATCATGGACGGTGTCTTCTCCAAACACGGAGGTGTTCAAAGACCGAGTACTGAGTCGTCTGCTTCGAAAACTGCCTTTCCTCGTGGAATGCTGGTACTGGGCTCTGGTATATTGGGTAAGTTGATATCGACTGCGAGAAGAGCATATTACCGTTATCTTTCATGTCTGACAGTCACCTCATACATGCAGACATACCAACTCGGTCGTGCATTTACCGCCGTCACCCTTCAGGAGGACACCGTCGACGTTGCCAGGAGTCATGCCCTCAGGTTGATCGAAGTAGAGGAACGCCTTGGATTATTCTGGGAGTTGCGCATTCAGCACTTTTTCCTTAATCATCCTCTGGTTATGAAATGGATCAATTGGATCTACTCCTTCATCCACATCCCGGGTACAATTGCGTTTCTTGTCTGGCTATATTACTATACCATCACTCGCAATCGGATCAACGAGCCCCAACGGGGGAAGCCTCGAGGAGCTATGAGTGGATCCCCAGCGGGCCCATTGCTGTACCAGGCACGACGACGCACGCTGGCTGTATGCAATTTGCTCGCATTCGTGGTGTTCACTCTCTGGCCTTGCATGCCACCACGATTGCTGAGCGATCCAGATGTTGAGGGTCCAGAGGGAGAGCTTAGTCGCAGTTATGGCTTCATCGACACAGTCCATGGGGCGAATGGAGCTGGAAGTGTATGGACAGAAAACAGATTCTGCAATCAATACGGTAAGTCTGATTTGTATCCTCGCTTAAGGTCGAGTGCCCTGGCTGATTGTCTTGTTTTTTCAGCGGCGATGCCATCCTTGCATTTCGGTTACTCCCTCATGATTGGACTTACCATAATGACGATTCCCCTTCCATCAAAACATCGACGAGCTCTCCGTCTTCGCCTCGGCTGGAGCATCGGGCTACGCCTCCCGTCATGGCGAAGAATGGTCTGTCTGGCTCTCGGCTTTCTATATCCGTTCATAATCTTGGTGGCTATTGTGGCCACAGCCAACCACTTTATTCTGGATGCAATTGCCGGAGCTCTGGTATGTGCCTTGGGTTGGTGGTCTAATGGAGTACTGCTGAATCTGTTGCCGGTGGAGGATTACTTCCTCTGGCTGGTTCGGATTCATAAGCCAGAGCCATCATCCATCAGCATCATTGACCGGCTGTCCGAAGATTGGGACTCGGAAGATCCAGAGATACGACAGGCTGTAATTCCACCATGAAGCACATGCACATACTTGATAGTCGCTGAGTCTCAGTTTAATTGCGTGATTCACTTTGGCCTTGTTTATACCCCCTAAAGACCCGCCGTGCCAGAGCTTATTATTATCTCGTGAATATGGCAGAGAATCATCATTATTGGACGCAGAGTATATGTCGCATTAAGCCTGACGCTGTACGGACTCTGATATTTCAATCTCGCCATTTCGGATCGGGTGATGGCTGTAAATAGCACGCGCTTGTTGTGGCTCTTTGTCATTTTATAAGTATATTATCAGTCTTTCGAATAGACCACATGGCTAAAACCTTATTTTGAACATGCTCATGATCTGGAGCACAAATAGAGAAAAGGAGGTGTATAATGTAGAAGAATTCACCGGTGCAGGTGAAGTTGTGGGGTTCTAGATGCTTACAGAAGCAAAGAGCTGCCTCAAAGAGACCACAACCCATCCATCAACTTGCATCTACTTCAGCGCCCAGTGACGACAATGAGATCTTTCTCTTTACTTGGCTGTTGAATGTCCCTGATACACACTATATTTGAAGAACATTTCCTACATCTTGACCGCCTTTATTGTCGACTTGGTAGTTTGTAATATCTCACAGTATGGCCCGGTAAGCCTCTATTCCTTGGACGGAGCCTAAATCTAACCCAGCATTAACAGACTGATACTCCGGTCACTTTATCTGGATTCAAAATATAAACTATGCCAGCAGACTGTTATTGCTCCTAGATGAGTCATGGGCTTTCATCCTCCCCGTGGTTACCGGTGTGACTGGATCTAGGCATTGATTGCATCTGCCATTCAGTCTCGGACCACGGCTACCACCAGCCTCAAATAATCGCCACAAAAAAAGCAGTGGCAATCAATCATCAACCTTCTTCAGGTGTCTCCGCAGGCTGCGATCCAGGCAACGAGCTCTTCACCCTCGGTCGGATACATCGGGGGAGAGCCTTGCCCTCTCCATTCAGACTGCCCTACAGTCAAACCTGCCAGCTATCCAAGAGAGTTTGTGACTTGAGATACAAACATCGGGCGGGGAAGATCCATCCGAGCCCTCATTGCGGCTGTGGTGAAGCTACCAGGAGTTGCGGCGTCATTGGTGGCCGCCCTCCCGCTCTCAGACCCAACGCGTCCTTCCCGCGATCCGACCTGCGCGACTCCAACCTTCTCCACATCTTTCTCACCCACCTTCCCCTACCACCCATTCGCACCCCCCAACATCCCTCTCTCAACCAATTCCTGAACCTTTCACCGCGACATCCTGGGCACTGCAATCATGGCCGACGATACCCCTGTCGCTGCCCCCGCTGAGGCTGTCGAACAGCCCGAGCGCGCCGCGGCCGCGGCCGGCGACAAGCCTGCCGACCAGGAGTCCGAGAACGTGACCACCAACGACGACAAGAAGACCGGTGAGCTCTACATCCCATCTGCGCATTGCTTCCGACCGGAAGGCAAGCTTCTCCATTGGAGCTGGGCCGTAGACCGGGAGGATCATGCCCTCTTGTGTGACCACAGCCCGCTAACCTCACTTGCCTTGGCCCGATCAGACCCCACAAGCGCAAATGACGAGAAGAAGGAAGCCGAAGCTGGCGCCGACAAGGCTGCCGATTCTGAAAATGCGACGGAGACCAAGGACGAGCCCGCTGCTGCCGACGGAGATGCTGAGACAGCTGCCCCAGAGGCGAATGGAACCCCAGCCTCTTCCAAGCAGTCCTCCAAGGACCGCCGCCGGTCCACTGGTGCCGCCGAGAAATCCAAGCTTAACAAGCGCAAGTCGATGACCAAGATCACTAATCTGAAGGTGCAGCCCGGCGAGTACTACCTTGCGCGTCTGCGCAGCTATGCGCCATGGCCATCCATCATCTGCGATGAGGAGATGCTGCCGCAGTCTCTGCTTGATACCCGCCCCGTCACAGCGGCGCAACCTGATGGAACTTACCGTGCCGATTACGCAGATGATGGAAAGCGGGCCCATGAGCGCACCTTCCCCGTCATGTTCCTCCAGAGCAACGAGTTGTAAGTCACTTCCCGCCCTCGGAAGGCTCAAAAGAGCCCGTTCACATTGTTTCATTGGAAAGCTAATTGTTGACCTACGCAGCGCCTGGATCCCCAATACTCAACTCACCCCGATCACCCCTGCCGAGTGCAAGGACGTCTCCCCGAAGAACAAGGCCAAGGGCCTGATCGAGGCCTACAAGGTTGCCGCGGAGGGTCACGACCTTGCATATTTCAAGCAGATGCTGTCCGATCACGAGGCTGCGATCCAGCAGGAGATTGAAGAGGAGGAGGCTGCCGAGGCTGCAAAGGCTGCTGCCAAGGCCGAGAAGGAAGCCGCAAAGGAGGCTGCCAAGGAGGCTAAGAAGGCCGCCGGCAAGAGCAAGCGCAAAAGCAAGGGCCCCGATACCGATGTCGAGATGGAGGATGCAGATGACTCCAAGAAGGCCAAGACCTCCAAGAAGCGCAAGAATGAGACCGATGGTGACGCAGAGAAGGTGAGCAGCTTCTGAGGGGGAGAGAGTCGTTTGACATTGCCGATGAACTATGAAACTGACGTCTTGTACAGCCCGCCAAGACTCCCAAAACTAGCACTAAGCTGAAGTTGACTACCCCCAAGGCGCCTGCGGAGGAGAAGAAGACACCCGCTAGCAAGGCAAAGAAGCCTACATCCAAGAAGGCCAAGGCGGCCGAGGAAGACAGCACCCCCGAGGTCAAGGAGCCGGAGAAGCACGTTGACCCCGAGGAGTTGAAGAAAAAGAAGGAGAAGGAGGGTACGTAGCATCATGAGAATACCGAGCGAAGAAATAGGAAATGATAAGAAGACTGGCTAATAATGAATTGCAGTTCTTTTCCTGCGTCACAAGCTGCAGAAGGGGTTCATTTCTCGCGAAATGCCGCCTAAGGAGGATGAGATGGCCGCCATGGCCGGCTATTTCGACAAGCTGGAGAAGCACTCTGACCTCGAAGTTTCCATCATCCGCTCGACCAAGATCAACAAGGTTTTGAAGATGATCGTCAAGCTGGACACTATTCCCCGTGATGAGGAATTCCACTTCCGCCACCGCGCAATGGGAATCCTGACCAGCTGGAAGAGCGTGCTGGAGACCGACGCCCCGGCTCCCTCCGACAAGGAGGCCAAACCCACCGCCAACGGCGCCCACAAGGACGACGATGCCGCCGATACCCCCAAGGTGGAGACTGAGGAGGAGAAGGAGACGGAGAGCAAGGCCGCCAACGATGATACCCCGATGCCCGATGCCGAGAAGGCCGATGAGAGCGAACGCAAGGAATCCGCCGAGGATGAGAAAGCCAAGGAGAAGACCGTTGAGGCTGCCGCTTAAGCGCACAATGGTAGGAACTGGGCTTACAAGTACATGCTCTGGAGTTTCGACGTGTTTTCCTTTTTCCAATCTTGTGTCCTTGTTTTCCTTGTTATCCTCCTCATGATGGGACCGGTCTGGGCGCTCTGCCCTTCTCTGCTGTGATACTGAAATTTCTGATGTCTTTCCTCTACTTTACTCCGTCTTGTCCGAATTGGGACTTAGACTTTGTTCTTGTTATGCTATTTCTCTTCCCTCTCTCCCTGATAATCCACCCCTTGCGTTGCCAATGCCATGTAATATCGAATCTTGTATCTGGGGTTAGCACTGGGCTGGGCTGGGCTCTCTATGGTTCTGGCCCGGTAATTTGTTTGTGTATTTCAAAGGCAATGAAAAATGATGTCTTTTCTTTCAATTCATTCTTTCTTGAGTGACTCGTCTGTAGGAGATGCGTGGCTGTGGTTTATTCTAGTAAGGTTGAGGTCTTAGTACAACAGGACTGATTATGGGTGGAGGTTTCGTGATTTACATTCTGGCTCGTGGTTGACACTACTGGACTGCCCGTAGCGTAGGCAGCGGGGAAGGGGAGAAATAAAAAATCGAAGATTGTCCTGTCTATGAATTGACCTCTTTAAGTATAACGTTCCCTGTGTAGCTCCATATAATGCCCCATCACCACCCCGCAATGCCGAAGTATATACTTGGGAGGCTGTCTCAGGACAGCTTACAGTTCTCTCTCTCCAGCCCTTCAAGTCTCAAGTTCTTAAAACATTATAGAATCTTAGTTTAAGTACAAGAAAGACCGGAAGACCTGGAGGTCCGTGATAAACCCTTCGGTAATGCAAAAGATTTGAGGAGGGAGGCCTCTGTTGGATATAGAGATAAGGTCATTAATGAAATTGATATTGGAGACTTTACTCTCGCTTTACCACAGAGCAGGCAGTCTCTTTGCTATAGACCGTGTCCCCGAAACACAAAAGTAAATATAATGATGTATATAAGCCGTCAAGACCGACAACCTCCTGCCCAAATCACAAAATCCCTGCGCCCCCAAGATGCACTATGAGACAAAATAAATGCAAAGGACACTCCTGACAAGACCAAAATCGTGGAGATTATATAAGAACACCTGTCTGTTTACTTGTTACTCGCACCACTGGCGAGACTCTCGTCTACGGCCACAATGACCAGCGCGCAGATATCGTCCACCTTGCCGCCGCGATAGTAGTCTCCCGGATAATAACGTTGTGCCTCCTTGGCGAAAGGACCATCGCGACGGAAGTCGACACTGGCGACCTTGGCCTCGCCAGCGATGGAGGCGGCGAGGAGGGACTGGAGGGTAAGGGTGGACTGGAGAGTTGCGTTCTCCTTTTCGTTGGGCTGGGATACGGTGGGGCTTTTGGGTGGTGGGAATGCAGTGGCCAGTCCACCAGGAACGGTCAATTCCGCAAGAGTATCCGAGATGCCTACGCCATAGTCTTCGGTGGCTGTCCAAGCACCAGTCAAGACCATACGACTTGTGACGACCTTCAGTATATCCTGATTGTTTAGGTTGTCAAAGACACCGTCCGTGGCGAGCAAGAGCACGTCACCGTGCTGCATCTGGACATTTGTGACGGCGGCGTCTTTGGGGAAGTCTTCCAAATAGGCTCCTCCAAAGACGGAAGCTTGGGCGCGCATGCGCGGGGGAATCACGCTCAGCTGGTAGGGTGTATTGAACCCGTGGGTTTGCGGGACAGAGTAGTGGTGCACGGCAGCAAGACGGAGGAGCACTGAGCCCGAGTCACCCAGGTTCGCCAGCTCAACGCGGCCATCTGGAAGCGCAATGCCGACAGATGCAGTGCTGCCACCCGCCTTGATACCCGGGTCATCCACAACCTGGTCATATCCTGCCTGCAACAGCTGCTTTGGCCGCAGTTTATCTGCGGGCGAGTCCCAGGCCAAAGCCGACTGAGCCATATAGCCGCAGAGACCATGCGAAAAGTCCGCCGGGTCGACGCGGGACTCTGTCCAGCCACCGACACCATCAGCCACTGCAAAGGCGACTGCATCACCGGCATCTGGGTGTCCTGAAACGCGGGAGCCGATCCGGCTTACGAAGAAGGCATCCTCACCACTGTCAGGGCGATTGCGCCGGCGGACAGCAGGGTTCTTGTCTCTAGAGACACCGATCACATCCGAGATTGCAGGGTCAAAGTTGTATGCATTTTTGAGGGGGTGGAAGCGGCGGCCTTTCCCCGACGAGGAGACGGCAACCCGATACGAGATCCGAGAGGTGGAGGGCGAGGGATCGGATAGCCGGCCGGGAGTGGAATGGAAGGACCGGCGATGGGTGTTATTCAAGGCATATTTGCGAGAGAGCGGTGCGAAGGACGGCCGAGTCCGCGCAAACGAGAAGGAAAAGGCGCTAGCGGTGGGTTGAGAAATCCTGTCGCGAACAAGGGTTTGTATTTGTAGGCTGCAGGTGGAACTGCAGGCTCTACACTGCACACTTGGCGGGATCATCGCAGGGCGGAAGATCACGACCGTCCCACAAAAGAGAGCTCACAGGGGCATCGGAGGGACTCAAGGAAAGAAGAATATAATCGGAACGAGTTGAGCCGGCCGTGAAGAGTAAACATATACAGAAAGGGTGAAGATGACAGAAGGACACAAAGGAAGTTGAAAACTCAGGAGCGCAGCTGGCCGAACGGATAAGAAATGAACCCGCGAGCTTATCGCGATTGACCGCCTGGCGTGATCGTTTTTTTTTTTTTTTTTTTTTTTTCTCCGGAGTTTGCTGGGATTTGAAAAATTCAAATAAATATTCAAAATCGAGAAGTTGGTATTTACTCAAATATAACCAATATAATCCCAACATTGCTGGAATATGCTTATAGACATTATTCAAGCTAGACTCTGTTTACTTCCTGCTGCTGTCGGGATTGTAATAACCCGCACGCCTAAAGAATGTACAAAAATCGCCAAGATCAGAATGACGGGGAATAGAAAACAATGCTAATAGACGAGACAAGATAACACTGCAAATAGTCGTGAGGCCTTGCGGTCAGCAGAATCTCCCATCTGAATATGAAAGGTTGAATTCATTCATCAAACTCCAGAAGCTTGTATCCGCGAATGTTCCTTCAAAGTCCCACCCATCTGTGCGATCCACAGTAAGAGGGTCGAACGGAAGATCATTCGGTTCATCAGGTCTCGTGATTTGTGAGATAGATAGATGGTCATAAAATAGGTCCTGGATGGGGTTCGGTGGTGAAACGTTGTTGAAAGACAACTCCGACGGCATTCCCATAAGGTAATCGGGATCGCCATTGAGAAAAGCCGAGTCTGTGTTGCTGAACTGGTCTCTGGAGCTTTCTGCGGTCCCAAAGGTGGTGAGGCGGTGTTGAAGCTGGTGATAGAGGTTCCAGGCCACTGCATGGGCTGATCTAGCCATGGGATTGAACTGGCCGATGGCTTCTAACCTTTCCACACCCCTTTCGAGGACATCAATACATTCTGTTAACTGTTCTAAACCCTGGTTGGGAAAGGCAATGCAAATGGCAGCAATGAGAACAAGGGCATCAAAAGAAGCATAGACAGGGTTGAATATCTTGCATGACTGTAGCTCCGTGCGCTGAAACAATCGTTCTTGGGCACGAAGAATGGCAATTCCAGCCTTGAGAGCCTCTGTGCGACTGTTGGCTCTTGCAAATATGTAAGGCCGATGGAGAGTAAGAAACACGAGGTGAATGAGCGATGACAATCCTTCGCGTGCGAGAGGTAGCCAGTGACAACCGGGCATTTGATCAAACGTTGTATCCGGGTCTTCTAACTGGCACCAAGATGGCAGAAGCTCCAGATTCTTCTTCAATGCAGTATGAATACTTTCAACCACAGTGTAGTCTTGAGCCCTAGCCCCATTTTGCCCGAGACGATGAATCTGTGGGAAATATTGATAAGCCACATTATAGCCGGCGAGGATGACATCAAATGCCCGAGGGGGATCAGTTTCATTTTGCCAATGTGAGAACAATTCTCCTCGTCTCTCATCGTTCGTCACGGTGCGGGTGAAATTGTCCAGGTTAAGATCAGTGACAATTGGTCGGCCGAGAACAACGGCCATATGAATGTCCCAAATGTGCAAAACTACCCAGATCTTGTGCCCAATGTAAGACTCCCGAGCATTCATTGCGCCATTTTCCGATAGATCTGACGACTGGTCTGACATAAGTCGTCCAGTGTGGAGCCCGATTTCTTGCGCATCGCGGATTGTTGCACCGAGCGTATGCCAAGCTTCGATCACTTTGCCACTGCTTTTCAAAAATGAGGCACGTAGTAAGCCTGCTTGCACCGTACCTATTGTGATGCCTCTTTTACCCAAAAGCGTGAGGATTTGGGCACCTCCGTCACTGAATTCCACACCGAGATCGTAGAATGTCATTTCAGCCATGGTCAACAAGACCTTAATTCTCTCATCTTGAGGAGGATGAAACAATAGAGCGTGGGCAAGGACTTGAAAGAGCAGAGCGGGAAACACACGCATTTCGGGGGCCAACTTTTCACACCCCGCGTGAAGAGCGGAATACGACACTTGGCCCCATGCATCCAGCTGTTGTCGGAAATGCTCCTCGTCAATTAGATCGTACTGCCAGTTGACGCCATAGAAAAATGTCTGGATAAGAACATCGATGCACGGCTGTGAAGGCAAATGGCGGACTAGCTCTTTAAATTTTCTGTCGGCGTCGCTTTGGAACACTCCCCGTGAAGCGTTATAATTTGTACCAGATGAGCCAGTTAACGTGTGCTTGTGATCTATATGTTGCTCCGTGGCCCGCAATAATGCCAGGGTATGGTGACTGCTCTGACCGGAATATCCAAAGTTGGAAATTGTGCTCTGGTCCTTGCTGGCCCATTCGGACGCCAGGCTAGTTTCTGGGGTCGGAAGCCCCGTGTTGGTGCTGCTGCTGCTCGCCGAAGGACCAGAGTCGATAGGTTGAGTGTATGGCGACTGATGGTACTTATCCCGCTCGTAATCATAATGGCAGAGTTCCTACTTCCCTGGATCAGCCTACAGTCCAAAGTAGACACTTCAAATATCGGTACCTGATATCCCCGTTTGATACAATTACAACACGGACATTGGCGGTCGCACTGACCATTGTGTTAGATGACAACTACAAATGGACCCAAGAACGAGTCTTACTTTCTGCTTTCGCCGGTGGCATTCAGTGCAAGATATAACGGCCCTTCTTCTCTTTTGAGGCCTGCTTTGCCCTCCAACCATTCCGCAGTAGTTAAGTCTTGCTGACTTTGACTCGATAAAAAGGTCTAAAGGTGGATGTCATGGAGACGTGTGTTCGAGAACGTAAATCGTCTGCCGTTTGCAGCTTTTGCAGCCACGCCTCCCCGCCCTGACGAATATTGGCCATTTGTAATTAAGTTAGGCGATGGACAACGGATTAGAATTCTCGCAAGCGCTCTGTCATTGGTCCATCGGCGATAAGAACTTGGCCTGACCCACCCGTATCGGCGATAGCTTAAATGCTTTCCTCGAAAGCGGAGACCACGAGCAAGAAATATATTGTGATTGGAGATATGCCGCACTTGTGTGTTAATAGAATTTCAGAGATGAGGCCCTTTCCTTGTAAATCCGAAAGATCACCGATGAGCTGTGTGCAAAAAAACTCTATATAACCCCTGCACATAAGGTCGTTTGAGCAGGATTCTCGGAATTTAAACCACTCCTGTTCTACTAAATTCCTCTTTATACACTTTTGTCCCATCCTTCCAAGATGCCTTTCCATGGCCAATACACCACCGAGAAGGTCCAGTATCCTTCACATGGAGAGACTATTGGTGGAATCCTCTACCGTCCTACCAATGTCAAGAACCCACCAGGCGTTGTCGTCACCGGCCCATACTCCTTCATGAAAGAGCAAGCACCTCTTCAGTATGCAACTCGCCTTGCAGACGAAGGCTATGCAGCTTTGATATTCGACCCTCGCACCGTCGGAGAAAGCACGGGCCAACCCAGAAGATTGGAAAACCCCAAAATGAAAAACGAGGATATAGTCGCAGGACTTACCTACCTCTCTGCACGTGGCGATATCGATGTGTCTCGGCTTTTCCTAGTCGGAATCTGCCAGGGCGGCCCCGAGTCCCTGGACGTGGCATCTTATGATACCCGGGTTGCAGGTGTGGCCTCGGTCTCGGGATACTACCGCGACCACGAAACCGACATCTACATGATTTGTGCTGGGTGTGTTGCCTGGGAGCCTGGCATGGACATCGGAGAGTTGAAGATGCCCACTGCCGAACAGGGAGAAGCCCTATACCATGCGCGTCTTGAGCGAGCCAAACGGGCTCGTGATCTGTATAAAAAGACCGGGGAAGTGGTGTATCAACCCTTGGTTGATCCGAAGGCTGCTGATCCTGATACCGGTTCATTGGCTGGTCTTCCCGGACCAGTTGTTTGGTCCTGGTATGGCCCTTGGACATTGAAAGGATTCGAAAACCGATATGCGGTGATGAGCGATCTGGACCACTTTGACTATACCACGGTCCCGGGCGTGGCGAAGCTGCAAAAGCCCGCGCTGTTGATCCACGGTGATAACTGCATGAATGCAGCGGCTGCTAAGCGTCACTACGAGTCCATTCCCACGGAACAGAAAAAGTTGATCTGGGACAACGAGGTTTCCCACTTTCAGCACTACGACCAGCCAGACTGTGTTGATCGCAATGTGGGAAACATTGCCGCATGGTTTGCTGGTATTAAATAGGGACGCTGCTTTCATGTACATCTTGACATAAGATTGAAAGTCCTTCAGATGATCGCTGAGCAGGATAAATTGAACAGAAGGCGTATTATTGACAGAAATGGAGACTCGAAACGCTTTCTCATTGGTTACTCTTTGCGTTTTTATGTAAATTTTGCACCACAGTAGAGTTGGCTGGCATGTGAACACTATAATAAATCAACATTACAGAGAGATAGGGAATGTTCCGGTGGCGGAAGCGCTCTCACAATGCACCTCACGCTACTTTGGCCTTTTTATAGAGCAGCGCGCGGTCGTGCAGCGGTTCGCCGTCCAGAGTTTCGGGTGGAAAGGCGGCCGTTTCTGGCGCCAGAGGTTGTCATTTGCGGCGTCGATTTCACAGGTCCCTATACTCTATATCTAATTTTGGAACCTCTGATTTACTAGATGCAGTTGGTTTTGCCGTTCCGTACTTTGATATTACTGCGGAGAATTAACCTATTTCGATCAAGGTTTCTATTTTTTGTTTTCCACCTTTGATGAATCCGACGCGAGTGGGGGATGCATCTTGGGAGGACGCATATAGACCATGTCCCAGCCATTAGTATCACTTTGAAACCACACGAAATCGGTGAATTCACTGTCCGTAAAAGGTATCTTCATCCAACCAACGTCCTCTAGAGTACATCCCTCGAGAGGCTCCAATTCCTCCGGAGGGCCCCCTAGCGCCTCCAACTCTTCTTCATCTAACACCTCTGCTTCCCATTAGCCATCAACTAGACGAACAAATGCTGATCTACTGAAATCAAGCTTTGGCTCGTTTAGGACCGATTCCAACGCCTCCCGGTCCACCATTGAGAAGTACCGATACCGACCTGACTGGGTGTGGTGCTCTCGGCCCGATAGAATGTTTTGTTCTTGGTGCTTGGTAGTCGCAGCCCATTTTGTTTGAAATGCTCGCGGAGGGTAGCAGTTGTTTCTCCTTCAAAGAGGATTCCTCTATAACCGTAGTGGCAAATTTGTTTAGCAGGTCTAGACCATTGTGACATTCAAGTAAACTTGTTGTCTGGTCGAATAATAGAGTCATGATCTTCTCCCAATCAGCATCGCTTTGGTATGTGCAGCGATATATAATAAAACCCCAGGTGTTTAAGCCATCCGCTTGAAGAAGTCGCTCTAGATTGTCTGCTTGGTTACTGGATGTGTCTACCGTAGGATCCCGTTTGGAAGATCGACGGACGCCCTAGAATTCCTCATCGTCATCGGGTGGGAGGCGCGAGCGCGGGGGTAAGGCAGAGCTTATTGTAGCGGAGAAACGTTGTAAATTCGGGTTTCCGCAATATGTATGGCCAACGGTGTTAGCGGGGAGGCGAGTAGCATGAAGAGCAGAAAGTCTGGGATGGAACGATCGAAGGAGAGAACCTCCTTGCAAGCATTTCTGTCCGCGGGAGTTGGGAAATGAGGGTTTACAGGGGGTGGTCGTAGCTGAATACAAAACCACGGCGGATCAAATCTCTAATTCGATAGAACGATTCAATAAGTACCCAACCAATCGCTAATTATATATACCTTTCACTAATCGCTCAATCTCCCCACGGTACAGCGTATGGTAACGAGTTACAGTGACGCCGCAAAGGATGGAGATGGTTTTGGTATTCTAGGCGATTTCACAGGTCCTTATCTATATGTAAATTTTCCGCCTCTGCTTTATCGGTTCTGCCGCGCCCGCAACTTCCACCCCCGAACTTGCTCGCCCGTTTGGCCAAGCTTTCTAGCTGCTTTATCAACCCAGCATTTTTCATTTTGGTCGCTCTGCCTAAATTTGAGAAGCATAGCTTCCCCACAAGCAAGATGATGCACCCTGCGCGACAAGCCTATGTCGAAGAGGCGGCCGAGGTAAGCGATCAGCCACGCGACAGCTCCCACTAGTCAAGCTTTGGACCTGGCCTCGCAGGTCATTGCTTGGACTAGTGGCATCTGCGCTCCCTGTTTTCCTTTCGAAGCGCATCACCACACGTTATTACTGGACATGAAGCTAATATGCGACTCCTCTAGGAGATGGACACGGGCATTGATTTCGCCAACCTCCGTGAGCGATTCCCACCTATAAGGTCTTCAAAACCCTACTGACAATGTCAAAACAGCCGTCGACACAGACTATGAGATCCCCGCATCAGCAGCGGGCATCCCGTCCGAACGGGCATCCGCCATCACAGCCCAATTCGAGCGCAAACGGCGCGCCGCCGCTATGGTGGTGCCCACGGACGATACCCGCGTGCGCCTACGACTACGAGAGCTCGGTGAACCCATTACTCTCTTCGGCGAGGGTGTCGTCGATCGACGAGACCGTCTGCGCGAGCTTTTGACCGATCTAGCGGACCGACGGGGCGAGGGCGACATCGAGATGGAGGAGGCGGAGGAAGAGGAGGTCGAACAACAGGAGGAATTCTATACAGAGGGCTCGGAGGCGCTTCTAGAGGCCCGGAAAGCGATCGCCCGCTTTTCACTACCACGAGCGAAGGCGCGAGTAGCACGGCTCAAGGAGGAATCGACGATTCCGCTGAGGACACACGTTAAGCACCGGAAAGCGGTCAAAGAGAAGCTCGGGGGCTTTGATCTGTACGGATCACAGATTGCCGGTGACCGACCAGTCAGCATTTGCCGATTTGCACCAGATGGACAGACCATCGCAGCTGGAAATTGGGCCGGCAGTATCAAGTTGCTGACTGTGCCGAACTTGGAGGAAAAGGCAAACTTGAAGGGACATAATGACCGTGTCGGTGGTTTGGCGTGGTTCCCGGGAGCTACATTACCGGAGTCTAATGTTTCACCATCAAGTGTTAACCTCATCTCTGGAGGCGGCGAAGGAAACATCAACCTCTGGGCTCTTGATTCGGACAAACCACTAGCCACACTGACGGGACATTCAGGGCGAGTGTGTCGCACTGAGTTCCACCCCTCAGGACGGTATGCAGCGTCCGCTTCTTATGACACAACGTGGCGTCTGTGGGACGTCGAGACCACCACGGAACTGCTCTTACAAGAAGGCCATTCACGAGAAGTCTACACCGTATCCTTTAACAACGACGGGTCTCTCCTCGCCAGTGGAGGTCTCGACAGCATCGGACGAATTTGGGATCTACGGACAGGCCGCACAGTCATGATTCTGGAGGGCCACGTCCGCGAAATTTTCGGCATGGACTGGGGCGTGGACGGATACCGTGTTCTGACCGGGTCTGGAGATGGATGGGTCAAGTGCTGGGATCTGCGACAAGTACGAAATATCGGCGGCATTGGCGCGCACAAGAGTGTGGTGTCGGATCTTCGCTGGTACAAGGGTGCCGAATCAGCATCATTCTTGCCCTCCACCGATGCCTCAAATGGCCAGATGGAGGTTGATGGTGCTACAGCGCCGACGAGCGATGCGGGCGTTCAGCCTAAGAAGTCTGGTACTTTCTTTGTGTCGAGTGGATTTGACAAGAATGTCAACATCTTCAGTGCCGATGACTGGTCGTTGGTGAAGACGTTGAGTGGGCACTCGGGTAATGTCCTCAGTACGGATGTGAGTGGTGATGCGCAGTGGATTGCCAGTTGTGGTCATGATCGTACAGTGAAGCTCTGGGGTATCGAGGGGTAGATTTGAATTACTGTTATACTGACCTGCCCATGCTCGAGCTGGTACTGTGATGTGTCCACTTTGAATGAAGTGTGCTTTTAGAATTTCCACCAAGAATCCAATTCACTTCATACCACGGTCTCTTGGAAGCTATCTATTCCGCAATGATTATAAAGCATAGCCTGCTAGCATAGTCTCCGCAAGACGGTCATCGAGGGGAATGTAGTACTCTGCTCTGACACTAGATGACTCAACAGGGAATTCCAAAGATGTGCAGTGCAATTCCAAGACTCCGAGCATTATATTTGGCCCATTACGAAAGGAGTCAGCCGTTATCTTTAGATGATATGTCTTGTAAGCAGCTTTTGGCATACCCGACCCGCCGACTATGTAATGTCACGTGGGCGAGTGGGGATGACGTAAGTTGTGGTTTTCCGCGGCGGGATATCTCCGAGTCCGATGCTCGGCTTTCAAGCTATCTTCTATCAACAATTTCAAAATGGCACTGCGCGGGCCAAATTTCGTGCGGAACTTGTGTCGCTCAGCGAAATCACGAACAGTGGCAACATCCAGCCGACAAGGTCTCATCAGCCCATCCCAGCGCGATGAGTGCACCCTCTACCACTCACGCACGCAAAGTCGCCGAAACCAAACTCTCGGCTCAACCAGATCCATCTACACGCCGTCAAGCGTAACGATCCGTCGTGCAGCCTCGACAGCAGCCTCTCCCCAAACACCCACAGAATCAAGTGAGCCATCTGTCACTGGAGCCCCAGATATCACCAATCACTACACAATCTTCCCAAAGACCCTCCCCGCCGGTCCACCCCCAGCATCACCCTTCGAAATCTCCATAGGCGACCTACGCCGCGAATTCCTCCAACTCCAAGGCACCGTCCACCCGGACAAATACCCATCCGGCCCTGCGAAGCAGCACGCCGAGGCCCTGTCCGCGCGCATCAACGAAGCATACCGCACACTCTCCGACCCGCTCCAGCGCGCGCAGTATCTCCTCCGCGAACTGCACGGGATCGACGTCACGGCGGAAGATGCCTCGACCAAGCACGCGCTGGACGCGGCGACGCTGATGGAGGTGATGGAGGTGCAGGAGACGATCGAGGAGGTGGGTGCCTCACCGGAGGCGGAGGCTGAGATTGATGCTCTGAAGGATGAGAATCAGATGCGGATTGCTGGGTGTGTGGATGCTCTGGCAAAGGCGTTTGATCGCGGGGATATTGAGGGTGCGAGGGCAGAGTGTGTCAAGTTAAGGTTTTGGTATAGTGTTGGCGAAGGGTTGAGGGAGTGGGAGCCTGGCAGTACGGAGATTCGATTGGTGCATGGGTCTTAGTTGGGAGATAGAGGTGCACCGTTGATATTGAGGGTCAGCTTTGTATTATGAACTAGAATTTGTATATTTTGAAGATGATTTTATGAGTTTAGTATATAGATCTAAGAGATTCTCCCCTCTCATTGAGATTGGTGTTTGAGATTCTGGGTATATCCATCTGAATCAAGCTCTGTATAAACACCTCCAGAATGTACCCACTCTAGTGACATACATCCCGAGATATCAAATGGCAGTGGAGACTGCAATACCTTGCTATCCATTCCCAAGGATCGACCCGAATACATCAAGTACTCGAGTACCGTTCGTGCAGAAGCAGCTAGGTTCTATGTATATTTCCCATCAGTGACGGACCACCAGGGCAGCATCAACAATGCCACTCCTGCAGCCTTTCGAATCTTGGAGTCCTTGCAATAAGCGACCCTCTTAAAACATCGAATGATCAGCAAAACAATGTCATTGTCTGCCACCCTACGGCTACAGCCCCAGAAATCGCATTTGCCTTCACAGCAAACCAACACACTCATGCCGCAGATGCAACCCGCCACCAAAGCACAACCGTCAAGGCGACAGAAACTGGCACCGACGAAAAAAAGTCGTTCTCACAGGTCTCGACACCACGATGGAAAAAAAAAAGAAAAAAGTGAAGCTGTCTTGGATGTACAGGTAAGTAGACACCCAAATTCCAGGGCGATGGACTGGCCCCACTGGACCAACGAGGCCCGCAGTTGGGAGGCGAGTAGGCGATTGGGCACGAATGGAAGAAGATCGGGGTTTGTCTACCTTATTCGCCAACAAACCCCATCTCGAGTCCCAGTTCGAAGGGGCTTGATTGGATATGAAACCCTGCTGCATATTTGCTTTACTTGGTACCGTTCAAATCAATTCCACCTCGTGTATGGTATCGCTGCACTTGCATGGTGATGAAAACGAATGTTTTCGGATACTAGCGGTTCATGACAAGGTACTACTACAAAAGAATAGCTTATCACCTGGAGTGATCGGACAAGACCACAGCGACCGCTTAAAAAGTAATGAGGACCCTCTGGGTACCGGACTTTCATACACCGGAAACGCCCTGGTCGATCCGAGTCGGTCTGCTGGCAAGGCGTTGGCGTCGATGATGGTACCCCTCTCTGCTCTCCAAACCCATCAGGACTGCACACGTAGCCCGCTAACAGGGCTATCTCAACTATCCGGGTCCTGTGCCCGAGTAGCGGTGCTGGGTGATTTGGCTTAGGCCAAGATTGACCAGACCCTTGTCGCAGTAATTAGTGTAGGATACTTAAACACTTGCGACACCTTTGTCGCCCATATTGGGGGGAAATAATCACCGGTCTAATCTTTTCATCATTGCCTATACCTTTGTACAGTACGGGACGTATTGCGGAGGAGTAGAGCAGAGCAGCAGAGCAGCAGCAGCTTCCATGGACTCTCGCGATTTTAGCAGGTGTGTGCCACACCCAGTCAACCTGCCCAACTCATCCCAGCCATCACAATTATCCCAAGCAGCACAAGCACCTCCAGTCCTGAGATCAAAGTCGCGGAAATTTGCTGACACGTTTGAGCGTCTCCCAACCGACAGTATCATCCACTCACCGTCATTTACGTTCCTCGTCGGACCCAAACACACCAAATTAACCATCCAGTCGGGCCTTGCCCAGCATGTCTCCAAACCGTTGCACAACCTCATGAACAATGGGCACACCCGAGAATCCAAGCATCGCATCGCCGTACTGGAAGATGAGGATGTCGAGACCTTTGTCGCCTTTTGCGAGTATGCTTATACCGGCGACTACAAGGTGCCTCAGCTACCGGTGCCGGTACCGGCGCCAGCACCCTCGCCCAGAGAGGACACTCGGGCAGGAGTGATAGAAAGCGTGGCGAGTACGGTTCCTTCTTGGAGAGGGACGTATCGTTCGGATTCGGTCTCCTCGGCTGTACCACCGCCAGCTCCGTCGCCGCCACCGGGGAGCGAGACGGATTGTCAGACTGTGAGGGCCGAGGGAGAGGTACCGTCTGTGGCCGAGGAGGATGTGTCTGCGGAAGCGGAGGCAGAGGAGCCAGCTAAAGCTGAAGCTGAACCTGAGGTAGATGCAGGCACAGATGCAGTCGAGTCCGAAGCACAGGAGCCAGCATCTACCGAGCAAGCTCAAAAGTCAACCGAGCCAGAGGAGACAGTCGATTCCAAAGAGCCCCTTGAGCAGCCAAAGGAAACAGACTGGGCCCAATATCAGGTGGATGATGACACTCTCGCGGAATCTGGCGAGCAGTTAGCCCCAGACGCAGTCGAGCCTCTCGACGAGGCATCCTGGAAAGCAGCGCCAGCATATCCGGCAAATACGAAGAAGTCGAAGAAGGCCAGGGCAAAGGCAAAGAAGGTAACGAGGAATTCCCAACAGCAGCGGCTAGAAGATGAGCCTCCAGCGAGTTTAACACCTCCATCGACGCCACCGCCTCAGGAGCCCGACACTGTCGAAGTAACTTCTGACCCTCAACCTGAACCTGAGCCTGAGCCTGAGCCTGAGCCTGAGCCTGAGCCCGAAGCAGAGCCGGAGCCGGTATATGTGGACGATGAACCCGTCAAGGCCGAGGAAGATGCGTGGGAAGAGGATGCACCAGCAGAAGAACCACCCTGTCTACCATCCCCAATGCCATCACCCTCTGCACTACCCACGGATGCCAACTTTCCTCGCGTAAATGACGAAAACACACCAGAGCCAATGTCCTCAATGTCACCTCCGACTAACTCTCGAGCAAATTCACCCACCATCAACGCACCCCCTTCCCCGAAACCCATCATCGACATGTCTTTCGCAAAGCAGTCCGACTCGTCTCCACGCACGCCAGGCCTCAGCCTATGGGACGAATTTGCCGCACTACAATACAACGACGACAGCGCAGTACCGGATTACCCCAAACCGTCAAACTCAAGCTCAACTACAACCACCGATCTCCCTTACCTCACCTTCCACGCAAAAGTATACGTCTTCGCAACGCGATACCTCATCCCAGCCCTAGCCCAACTCTGTCTCCGCAAACTCCACACGGACCTCGTCCACCTACCCCTCGGCGACAACATCAACGAGGAGTACGCAGAATACGATGCCGACGCCAATTCCCCAACTAGACTGGGCCTTCCTGGTGCCCCAGCAATAGTCCTTGACGTGCTTCGCTACGCCTACACCAAGACCACACGTCTCGAACCAATTAGCCCGACCTCGGCGACGCAGCTACGTGAGAACGAGCTGCGGAGATTAGTGGTGCATTACGCAGCTTGTCGGGTAAAGGACTTGGCGCGGTGGCATGGTGGGAGTGGGAGTGCCACGCCGGCTGGGAGGGGTGTCGGTGTGGATGGGACGAGGCCGGATAGCTTGAGGGCTTTGCTGGATAGCACGCCCGAGTTGGCGAGTGATCTTGTTTATCGGATGATGTGATGGAGAGGGAAGGTGGGAAGATGGATTTAGATGTTGATCTTGGTCTAAATTGGGGATTGGGATTGGGGATTCCCGGGTTGATGCAGTGCAATTGCAGTGCAATGCTGCCCTGCCCAGCCCTGTCCACGACGCAAAGACTACACAAGTGTATCAGAGTGGATACGCAGGTTTTTTTTTTCTTTTTCTTATTGGTATCTTGGCTTTTGTATCAGGTTGCATCATTTTGTCGTTCTTGGCGTCGAGAATGTTTCATTGGAGTCTTTTTTGTGTATTTCTTGGTCGTGGCGATGCATGTGGTGTACTCTGCAAATGGATCTGCTTAAGAATCCGAATTTTGAGTCGATAGATGAGCAAAATTCGAGAGAGCACACCTCATATATTGATGGCAAATGCAAGGCTTTGCTCTGTGTCGGTCTCCATCCAGCCGGCATTAGCAGCATTCTGGTTGGATAGAGCACTATCATTCTGACAGGAATTTGGAATGATGTACTCTCATATCTGAGTACAACTTGGAAATTGAATAATTGATCATAAATGCAGGTGCTCGAAAGCTCCGAGAATCCTATCACGGGAATATCAAAAGGTTGCCGGGAAAAGGCCGTTTCCAAGGTTAGGGTTCGTCCCCGATAAGTTCCGAACGACACCTTGACAGACAAGGATGTATCATCTAGATCTTGACAAGTCATAATTGTCAACAGCAATGACAATGTTGTACAGTAAGGTGGCAATGTACAGGAGCGGGGCTCCAGAATTATGTACTGCCGACAGATCCTTTTTAAGTGTCGTGATATATGCTGACTCCATCCAACGAAATCGACTCGCTTTCCGCTGATACAGCCAATAAATCCCGTATTTGACGTTCTCCGCTATTCATTAGAGACTAATAGTATAAAGATATTCCGTAGGTATGCTCGGTCACATCATCAATTATGCATCAGTTATGCCGTCTCTAGTTCGACTCCGTCATTGACCCACCGACAAGCAATTGCCCAGACGTAAGGTCTTGGGCAGGCTTGGCGGACTCTGATAACAAGTCAACGACCACCCAATTCGCCACTCCTAAAAAATGGATTAAAAATGGAAGAGATAAGCATGAAACGCAATTATGCTGGTGATCGACAGCCATGGATTACCCGGTTGCTTGGCAGGTTTTATCCCAGGCTGGAATACTTCAATAGTTCCCCGTTAGCGCGGGAGTCGGAATAGGAGGAGGCTGTGAAGATAAGAAATTGGCCGTGAACTACTCAGGGGTCGCGAAAAAAGAATGACACTAGTTTTAAGAGTTAATCGACTTAAGGTTGGCCAGTGGTTAGGAGAATACGTTTGTATCACCATCATCTGATCGGAGCTTGGATCTATCACTTCTCCACCATCCCAGTCAGCCCAACGCAGTCAAAGTCCATTCGTCGACCAGTACCGCGGGCACTTTTCTGCCTTGCCCCCCCCTGATTTGTATTTCTTTCTTCTTCACAAGTCCACAGAGACACAGCCTCACACGCTACAGCCCCTAAAAAGCTTGGCAGCGGTCCGGCGATGATGCGTCGATCATCGGCCTTGGCCTCCCACGTTGCACAGCTCCTTCCTCCGAATGGTATACCAAGACTGTTTACCACTCGGGCCGAGAAGAGGCTCGGAAAACACTCTCCAGGAATGCTGCTTTTGGCACTGTATCCATTATCAACTGGTTCCTCAAGACGACGGTCCCTGTGTTGCTTGATCAGACCTGAAGAGCAATTGACCTCAGCCTGTTCGGAGTGGATATCAACAACAATCCGAGCCACAAGAAGAATCACAACCAGTTCTTGGCACTGATGAACGCTCTTCCGGGTCCAGGCAGAGAAATTTCCTTCAGTGCAAAGCATTCTTCCAGACTCCTATTCTGTCTCTCAAAGCATAAACGTCTAACGTTTTCGGCCTAACTTCCCCCCCTAAACCCCCTCCCGCCCAGAGTGGGTCACCGCACTGACTCGAACTATAGACTCCATCTTCCGCTATTCCACAATTACAGAGCCCATCCACCAGCCAAACCTTTTCCCCGTATGGTGCATGGCATCACCCTGGCACCCTGCGCCCCCCCTGGCGGCAATGAGCGCGCCCAGCCAGGAAGCCCGGGACGATCAATGCTCCATTTTTTAGACTGAATGGGACCCCTGATAAGCTCCGTGAATCTGGTAGGTCCGTTTTGGCGAGCACTGCACTAAGACCAGACTCCACGACCTAGGCACCGAGCTATACAATGCCACTGCGAGACGTGGTGTGTATGAAGTTATTGTCTGGATATCGTGGCAGTTCTTGGTGTTTGTCTTGGCCGTGGATCGTGCCGTGAAGATCTTGCTGGGCACGGGAGGGTGATGATGAATCTGTGGCGGAATGTTTGGGCCGTCAGAGATGAACTATTGAAGCATCAAAGCTTTAAAGGCGGAAGAGGGCTTCTTTCTCAGGGGGTCATTCTATTCAATCCATCGATCTCAAAGCGATTTGTGATTCTTATTCTTGTCACTTTATTGCATCTTGCATCAGCCATTGCCATCTTTTCTTTCCTTTTTGTTCCTCTTGACAGTACCTCTTTCGTCGACATCTTCATTCTCCTACTCTATCAAGCCGGAGGGACTATCATAACAGTTGCCTTCCAGTTCACTCTCTTTTGATACTATATTTTCATTGGTCCTATCCAATTGCATTGCTATACAGCACCACACTCTATACAACGTCTCCAAAATGTCTGCTCCTTCCAGGCCAGGCCTTCTCGGCCCTGAGAGCTACGAGCTTCCACCGCACTCCTCCCACTCCAACAGATCCGACACGCCCATCTTACACTCTGACCTGGAAAAGTCCCCCAAAACATACAAAATCAGCTTCACTCAACGACTACGCCACTTCACCTGGGCTTGGTACACTCTCACAATGAGCACTGGTGGCCTCGCCCTACTAATCGCCAACCAACCCAACACATTCCCCGGTCTCTACCAAATCGGTCTAGCAGTCTATATCATCAATCTCGTACTCTTCGCCGCAGTTAGCTCCATCATGGCCACGCGCTTCGTCATTCATGGCAATCTCATCGAATCCCTCGCCCATGACCGCGAGGGCCTCTTCTTTCCAACCTTCTGGCTCTCCATCGCAACAATGATCACCGGCTTAGAGAAATACTTTGGCGACGACCCAGCAACCGCCTTCTCCACAACTCTCCAAGTCCTTTTCTGGACCTATTGCGCCTGTACCTTTGCCGTCGCCGTCCTCCAATACTCCTACCTCTTCTCCTCCGTAACCTACAGACTCCAAACCATGATGCCCTCCTGGGTCCTCCCAGCATTCCCCATTATGCTTAGCGGGACAATCGCCTCCGTCATCGCTGAGCGCCAGCCCTCCCACTCCGCTATCCCCATCGTCGCTGCGGGAATGACCTTCCAAGGCCTCGGCTTCAGTCTCAGCTTTATGATGTACTCGCACTATATCGGCCGACTTATGGAATCAGGTCTACCCTGTCGCGAGCACCGACCGGGAATGTTCATCTGCGTTGGTCCACCGGCCTTCACAGCGCTCGCACTCATCGGCATGGCCCGCGGCCTACCAGAAACAATCAGCGTGATGGGCAGCGATGATAGCGTCGCCGATGGCCGAGTCCTCGAGATTCTGGCCCTAGCAGCGGGCGCATTCCTATGGGCGCTGAGTTTGTGGTTCTTTTGTGTCGCGCTGATCGCGGTTGTGAGAGCTCCACCGACGGCATTCCACTTGAGCTGGTGGGCTATGGTTTTCCCGAACACTGGTTTCACATTGGCGACTATCGTGTTGGGGAACTCGTTTGAGAGTAAGGCTATCAAGGGTGTCGGGTCGGCGATGTCAGTTTGTATTGTGGCGATGTGGTTGTTTGTCTTTGTGAATCATGTGTTGGCGGTGGTTCGGAGGGATATCATGTTCCCTGGCAAAGATGAGGATGTCTCGGATTAAATTAGGGCTGTCTTGGTCTCTGAGATGTCCTTTGTCGAGTGTCGTTATTCCTGCTCTGCATGTTGTCTTCCGCGACGTTATTAGTCTGCTTCTCTTCTTCTCTTCTTCCATTTTTTTTTCAGCATGTCTTTTCATCTTTCATGGCGTTGCGACTACTTTTTTGGGTGTTTCCTGGGTTGGATAAACTGGCATGTCTTGGGCGTTGGTGCATCTTTAGGAGTCGGTCGCGTCGAGTTGCGACTCGGCTTCGTTTCGGTCTTGCATATACATATACACATACACACGTACCCTAGAGCCCCGTTAGACAAATTGATCTTGAATTTTCAAATGATACTCTGCACAGGCTTGCGATTGTAGTGTATGGTGAATATACCTGGAAGTGATTCTCAAAGCTGACCGTCAGACCGAGCGAATGGCCTTTGTACTGTCAACTGTGGCTTCAAAACGAGCGCTTATCACGGCCTCAGTCCATCTTCCATGGACTCTTTAACTATCAAGGTGTTGCAGCTGATGCAAAAAGGAATTTTTCAATGAAATAACACTCTTTCGGTGTGTCGTGGGGCATCATCGATTTGTGTCACAGTGCGTGACGGTACCACCGGGGAGTTTCGCATACGCATACGTCGGATTTTAGATAAGGGGAGTGTGCATGATCAGGTCTTCCTTTGGTCGGTTCATCAATGGCAGTTTTGCCTATTGCTTTTGTGTTGCCAGACAGGAGGGAGATGGAATGAAAGTGTCGCATCAACGGCTCCCTGAAGCTCCAAAACGGGGGCGCCCGATTGAACACTTATACGTCCTCTCGTAGTTACTGTTTACAACCACAGGGAAGAGAGAATGCGAAGAAGATAAGTCAATCGTATTCCATAATCAACACTGCAAATGATACAAAAGACAGACAAAAAGTGAGTTCCTCTTGGCTTCATCCCCACTGACCAAAAGGCCAGCAGGGACTACTAGGCCCCAGCACCGCGTCGAGGTGGGAACTCATCGCTGGGGTAAATCGCGAAAGAGTAAATGCAGAAGATCAAAGCAAAAAAAGAAGAAGGGGGAAGGGGGAGGGGGAGGTCTACGAGAGTGAGAAGGCGGCAGTTTGACATGCGACCAAACATGGTGAATATGCAGAGATGGTCAGGGGAGATGGCGATGGAAATGGCAGATAGACAGCAGAAGAAGCAATGAGAAGCAGAACGTGGAGGAGGTGAGTAGATCATGAGAAAAATATAAAGAAGAAGAGAAGGGCAAAAGGAGTGGGCAGGTATGGGCAGAGATAGGAGGGAGGGGAAACCTGCGGGCCAGAGTCAGTTGGCAGTGAAGAAGGGCAGGTTTGTTCTGGTTGAAGAGAGTTGGGGAGAAAGAGAAGGAGGAAATCGAGGGGGCAGAAGGGGGTATTTGAAGTCAATTCGCTTAAAGAACGCTAAGGGAACTCTCGCGATGTAGACAGGAGGTCCCAACGAAGTAGGAACGGAGTAAAATCGGTGGCTGGGTTGTTGTCGATGCCGAAACCCAAAAGGGATCGGAGCCAGATATTGGAGGTTTGGCAGGGCCAAGAACGTGCCTGTCGGGTCCAAAACGCCCGAGCGGAAGCCGGACCAACATTGGAAAGTTTGGCGTTCCTTGGGTCAGCTTGTGGCTGGGAATATCAAAACGCGGCGCCGGCAGTCTGACTCCTTCCTCGTACGGCGTCGGACATCCTAAATAGTCATCGGCGCGGAGGAACATAGAGTACTGCGGATGCTATAGTCTGGCTTGTTGAATCGTTGAGAAGGTCTGGCTCTTTCCGAAAAGGACCACCCCGTGGTTCTCCTGTTCATTGTTGGACGACGTGTGATGTGGTTGAATTAAGTTGCGGCGGGCCGGATTTAGACGCGGTAAGCGCTGTGCCACCACAAGCTCACGTATCCTTGTATACTTCGCATATAGCGATAATCCGCGTGAACGGACAAGTACAATGAAGGGCAAAAATTAGTGTCTGTGGAAAGCACAAGACATGGATTTGGTTCGAAATACTAGATGCTCACTACAAGGTCACTTCTGAACTCACTAGAAGGGATGGGAATAGAAGACCCTTGTTGAAGGAACGCCTCGAAAGAGATTGCTAAGTACCCACTCGTATTATTTAGAAACTTCAAGTAAACAGTTTGAAAGGCCCTGTCATATGATCCTTCTACAATACGTGGTTCAATACTTGTCCCTGAATTCTGTAGCCACTGGGCTAGAAGCTGCGTTAGGCAACAGAGCTAGGCAACATCTTGGCGGTATTCCACAGGTTATGGATTATCACTTTGCCTATTTCTACTTCCTACGTGTAGCCAAATAAAGGATGTTGCAAGCATGTTAATTCATAGGCAGTTCGTCTGACTGCATACCTGAGTGATTGAGGCCATACTTAACGGGCCAAACCTGATTTTCGGAGAACCATGTTTTCCGACTTCCCACTACTTCTCGAGAACCTCTTGAGAGAAGGTCATGGTCCAATTGCAATCGACATCGATGACGGTACATGTACGCCGGGTGGTGCCCCGTCCGGCCGGAGGAGTCTGGGGGTTCGGGGTCGATGCCCGGGGAGTCTGAGGGTTCGAGGTCGATGAGGCAGGACAGTTGGGGACGGAGTGGCCACCTGGGACGTGCTGATTCGCACGCTCTGCAGGTTCGAGCCGAGCAATCTCCAACAGAAGGCTAGGAGCCTTCGGATGCCGCTGTTCGTATCGCCACAGCAACACTTTGAGAACGGGATCCAGTAGGATTTCAGCCCAAAAGCTGCATATGGAGGTAATGTTATCCAGGTTGGTGATTTGGTGTCGGCGCAGGATGTTGTTTATCGCCTCTTTAACGGCCTCGGGGGTTGCGAAGGCGGAGAGGAGTTCTTGGATGTTGAGGATGGGTGAAGCGAATTGGGTGAGAAGGTTGAGTGATATGCACGATGAGTGCCGGAAGACGTGACCAGCTGTGGGCATTCAGAGAGTTGAGAAGGAAAAGTGAGACCCATTTGGGTTGGAAGTTCCCCGTCAATTTATATCTTCTTCTTGCAGGCCTGGAAGGCCGCGGTGGCTATTCCAAGAGGCAAACGAACCCAGGTCCTTCCGTAATGTTCTGTAAGCCTGTCTAGAAAATAGCACCACGGAAATTTATCTATCAAACGAGTAACGTGATTGATCCGCACGATTCCATCCAAGGCAGAAACCTACCAAGAGACAGATCTAGCAACCGCTTAAAAAAGTAGCCGGAATTGGAAAAGTAAATAGAATGAACAATAATATTCCGACTTTTTATATACACCGAACACCAGAACAGCCCACCAGGACGGGAACATGCAATGTAGCATATGCAGGTAGAAGCCAAACAACACCGGGTATCATGGCGGTCTAGTAGTAGACCAAGATAATGCAATATTTTGTAGATGAGGAGGCTGGGAAGATGCGACCGCGCAGTAGAGAACCCCATGCTCGCTTGGCGATATGCCCAGGGCCTTTGGCCATTGACAGGCTCTGCGATCATGCAGATGCCGAGGAGCCCAACCGGATTTAGTCCCAAGGTCGAGCAGCTAGGCGCAAAATGCGGCGGGGGTGGAGCCCGTGGTCCATGAGCGTACCAAAGACTGAGATGCACTAGAAGCCCATCACGAGGCATTTAAGCAACCTTCCTGCCAACGTTACCAATGCCACGACCAACGACACTGATAATCACATCGCCATCCTCATTCTCCCCAGCAGCATCACGAATACCCCAGCCGGGGGCACCGAACTTGGACAGATCACGGGCAAGCTGGATCACATTAGGATCGGCAATGACCTCACGACCAACCTGCAAACGGCCCACATCCTCGGAACCCATAGTCATGAGAGTCAACATAGTCGTAACCGCGGCGGGGGGCACACAACCACCCTTGGAAATAGTCTCGAGCAACTGGAAAGCACACTTCTTGCCAATATCCTCGGGGGCTTCACCGCCAGAAGGTGGGGAGGCGACATCAGCAGAGAAAAGACAGCCGGTGGAGGACTCGGCGACGAGGGACAGACCGAATCCGAGGCCAATCTTCTTCTTGGCATTGGGATTGTTCTTATCCGGTGTGGGCACGAGAGGTGCTGACGAAATGTCGGAGAAGATATAAGTGTCTGGGCTGAGGGGGTTGATGATACCACGGGCAGACTCGATCATGCGAGCGTTGTTGGAGCCGGAGACGCCAATCGAGTATGCGACACCGCGGACGCGCTTTATACGGCCCGGGTTCATGAGGTGCAGGGTCTTTGGTAGGCGAATCTGGTGACCGAATGTGAATTGAACTTCACCACCGCCACCGCGGCCATTGGGACCGGGGTTAGAGCGTTTCAAGATGCGCAGCTCGACGTTGTTGAACATGCCAAATTGGTTGTACAGTGGCAGGATAGCGGTACGGACGCTGTCGACGGACATATCGCCTGTCGGAGTCGAGGAGGTAATCACGCCGGGCCCAGAGAAAAGGACCTTCAGCGGGGCTTTGGAGAATGGAGCCAACAGGCACAGAGGGATCAAGAAATAACTCAATCCACGACTGCAGTTTGATGGAAGCTCATGTGTAATCACGCCGCCACTGGCGCCAACTCCGCTGGCGCTACCAGTGATCAAGCCGGGCTTGTACACAAGAATCGTACCGGTGTACGAAATTTCCATTTGAGAGCCATTGGTGATAGCTTCAAGAAGGCGCAGGAAAGAAATCTCGTGCGGCGCCAGACCAGGGTTCGTGGGCGAGGAGGAGCGAATCTGCGAAATGTGCACCGTGCGACCGGTCAAGGTTGACAACACGAGGCGATAGACAAGGTTGTGATGCGAGGTAAACCGTAGGGGGGCTTGGGATGTCGTCGCCATTTTTGCGGTTTGCTTGTCCTGGTCTTTTCAGCAGGCTCCGCTTGAAGCTCGGCCTGTCGAAAAAAGAAAAATTGACGGTGGAAGGTTGATCCGCTCCGGTAGATCGGGCTAAGTCCGATGGGTCTGGGCTTTATCTCCGCCGGATCATTGTGCATGACCCGGGACAAGATCGGACCCTTTGACGGTGACATCGTACCACCGAGTGTGATTCGGGGAACTTTGCAGCTTGCATATCATTGTCGTTCGACGGCATATACTGCGCATTACTTCACGATGCTTCCTCCAGCACTTAACATTCCAAAATGGTATTCACGTCCTTCTATGCCCCTCCATGGCTACCCCTCCGATGAGAAATGATTCATCGCGGGGAAAGCATCCACGTCCAGAATCGCGCACCTGAATCGCGCAACAGAACCTCACTAACACGTATATTTCAATACAGGCTCGAGGCCAACTCCCATCTCCTACAACCACCCGTCAATAATTACTGCGTGTACCACCCCTCCACTCCGGCAACGGCCGGCTACACAGTCATGATCGTTGGCGGACCAAACGCACGAACAGACTACCACATCAACACGACACCAGAATTCTTCTATCAGTACAAGGGATCAATGCTACTCAAGACGGTGGACACGTCGACGTCGCCACCCACATTCCAGGACATTCCGATCCACGAGGGCTCGATCTTCCTGTTACCGGCGAATACGCCACACTGTCCGGTGCGCTTCAAGGATACGGTGGGCGTGGTGATGGAGCAGCCACGGGCCCAAAATGCCGTTGATATCATGCGGTGGTACTGCAAGAACTGCAGTGGAATTGTATGGGAGAAGCATTTTGTGTGCACTGATCTCGGGACGCAGGTCAAGGAGGTGGTGGAGGAGTTTGCTGCAGACGAGGAGAAGAGGCGATGCAAGGCTTGTGGGGAGATTGCGGCGACGAGATATGGCGACGGGGAATTGGAACAGCCGCCCTCGCATCCTGAATGAGGGACTCCCGTCTACACCGAACTGGGCTGTATGACTAAGGAAAGAGGAGGGCATTGTCGTGCGCTATATGTGGCAAGCTTGCATGACATTTTAGAGGGCTGTATCATGAATGACGAAATCAACATCCCTTACAAGTCGACTCTGAAAATGCGCTATTGATTCCCTCGCCTCTTGACGCAGCAAGGAAAGAAGCCAAGACCCATGGCGTATAGGACGGGAGGAGAACGATCATGATTGGGGTATGATGGATTAGGTTTATATTATTCTCTACATATGTGTGGCTCGTAGGGAAAGGAGTAGGGTACGGCGAAGATCGAATACCTGGTCAAATCTCAGGCGAATCCACCGACAAGATTTGACAAGATTTGACAGTCATGGAGACCACTGCCAAGCGGGAAGTAGAAAAGAAGGTTGGGGCTGAGGTGAAATTAGAAAAAGAATGGCAAATAACGGCCGAGCCTTGCAAGAGATACAAGTCCCACGAAGCGAAAGGGAGAAAGTGTATAAACACGCTGGAGAACGAATGGAAAAGGTCCGAAAAGGAGGGAAGAGTAATACACAATATTGAAGGGGGGGGGGAAACGAAGAAGCAGTGGCCTATCAAATCCCAGATATGACAAGTTTAGATCAGAAGTCATCCACGGGGGCAAAGATGGCGGAGATGAAACATGTACTAGAAAGGAGGCAAAGTGTAAACAAAAGTCGAAACCAGATAGATCACCCCCCAGATCCTCGGGTTCGCTCATCTTCATTCGATACCGTCGTCATCACTCACATGGTCACCATGGCCCATTATTCATCAAAAGGACAATCGATACTTTCGTGGCCATCTCGCTCGCAGAGAGCACACCACTTTGACTCGTCAATGACCCCGGATGTCTTGCCGGCAACGGGGGCCATGGATGAAGCCAGGCCGCCAATGCCCTTCAGGCCCTCGAGCACGACGTCGCGGCCAGTCTTCTGGGAGGGCACGCTATCCGTGTGGCTGTCAGCGGACGCGGGGTGGTTCAACGGCGCATGATCCTCAATTGGTGCCTCGGCGGGCTCTTCCACTGGTGCTGCAGGGGTCTTTTCCTTGTTGGCCCCGGACCCGAACATGCTGGTGCAGTTCAAGATATCGTGGCCGCCGGTCTCGCAAATTTCACACCACAAGGCGTCATCATCCGATGAACGCTCCGACTCGGGCATGGGCTCCAATCGGGGCTGGGAGGAATTGGAGAAACCCCGGTGGTGTTGCCGCTGCTCGTTGGTCGGCATGTCATGCCAGTCATTCGGGACCACGGTGCGGTCAGAGAGACGGTGCACATGGTTGATGTTGTGGTTCACGGTAATATTTCCCGAAGAGCTTGAAGGCTTGTGCTTCTGTTTTGGCGAGAGTGTCACCGTGGAGCTGCGGTTTCGACCACCACTAACTCGTACTTCCTGCAATTCCCGTTCCAGCTCTTCAATGCGAGCGTCCTTGGACTGGGCAGTTTCCTCAATTTCCTGCATACGTTGCTCCAGCTGAGAAAGCTGCTCGCTCTGATCTTTGTAGGATTCGGCCGAGCCATTCTCGCCCAGGCCAGCGGGATTGGGGTTGCCTCTACTCAAAGAGTGAATAATTGCCTTGAGTCCACGGATCTCATCGTCTTTCTGTTCGAGCTCGTGCGAGCCTCGAGAGCCGTCTGCTGAAGAATGGACGTGCTTGAGAGCAGTCGCTGACTGGTCCCGCTCCTTCTTCAATTCCAACTTGGTCCGTTCAACCTCGCCGCGGAGGAATTCGACTTCGGCCCGTGCCTCTGCCTCGCCCCGCCTGGCATCCTCGAGACCTTCTTCCAACTCCGAGACCAGCTCTTCCAGCTGCTTGAGCTGTTGTGCCACAATCTCGACGTCTTCACCGCGATTCTGCAACTCGTTGTTTTGCTGCATGAGCTCGTCCAGACGCTGTTCATACACTCGTTCTGTCTCGGATGCGGCAATCTCCAGTGTATCCAGGGTACTCCGGAAGTCTGCCCGGTGACCATCAAACTCAGCAGTCAGTTGAGCGATCCGTTCATTCCTTTCACGTAGCTGCGTGCGGATATTCAGTGCATCGGGCCCTTCTAATTCCTCCATTGTCTTCTGGAAATCGCTAAGCGTCTTGGATTGTTCATCCAGCTGCTTATCCCGGTCCAGTAATTGCTTCTCCAAGCTCTTGATCTGATCCTTCAAGTCCTGTGTCTCTGCGGACGACGGCCGGTGGAAGTCTGATGGCCTACCGTACGACGAGGCATTGTCATCGTCCAAGCTGATTCGTGAAGGTGGTCGATCAGACAATCGTGAGGGTGCCTTGACTGGGCTTCGTGGGTATCCATTAACGGCGGACGTCCTGGAGGCCGCGGAGGGTGTACGCAGGCCGCCGAGGCTGAGCTTCGGGGGAGACACGGAAGTGCGCGGGGACTCAGGGCGAGGCAGAGACGGTCGGCGAATTCGAGGGCGAGCCATCGACGGGCTCGGGCCAACCGACTTGCTGAAATTTGGCGGGGGTCGTGCGGGAGTGGTAGGCACGGCGAAGGTGTTCGCCGATGAAGATCCAGATCGCCGCGTGACGTATTTGCTGTTGTTCATAGGCACGAAGATGCCCGAGCCAGGCACGGAGGTTGCAAAGTACTTTCGTCCTTCCACATCACCGCTGTTCTTCCCTCGCTGCGCGTGTTCAGGACCCAATTCAATGCCGGCGAAGCGACCTGGCTTGCCCGCGACGGTTCCGAGATATTTGACGGTGCCGTACATGCCACCGGGCACGTTGACGATATCGCCGACCTTGATGTCGTCAAAGGCCGCCATTGTGGATCGTAGATACCGGCCGGTACGCGAGTCGACAGGGGGTGATCGGGTTTCGACGAAAGATCGAGGGGGAGATGTTGGAGCGGGCGGGGAGCAAAAAAAGTGTTGATGGCAGATGGCAGATGGCAGATGGCAGATGGCAGTCAGGAGGAAACTAAATAGTCAGAGTGCCGGGCCCAACGTGGATCATGGTTATCGGGCTAGCAGCATAGACACCCAACAAGTCCAGGCGAAGAGAAAGACAGTCGAGAACCCCAGAGGGAGATATATACAAGGCGGGCAGAAAGGGGGGATGCGGGACACAACAAATAAACCCATGAACTACTTAGTTCAGCAGTACAAGTACAGCTCCGTACTGCGTACCGGCGGTAACGTACTTACTTAGCTAAGGACCGGGTCCCATGGATCTCAAAGTGGAACTCCCGCTCCACCCTGCCGTAATCCTCTCTCTCCCCCGAACCTCGACGACTCTTGACTTTGCGTCTTGCATATCCCTCCTTACCGTTGAAACCCCTGCTGCACCAATCCCAGATATCCGAATTTCAATCCCTCTTCCAAATACTGCGCTGATCGCGGATCCCAGCGCGTCAACTGGGCTCTCGTCAATTATCCCGAGTCGATCATCTATCCCCCATTCCATCGGGTAGCTCCATTCACATCATGGCGCAATACTTTTTCGACCTCCTTTACAACTTTACCGATTGCATGTGCTGCTTTCCAAGTACACCGCAGCTGAAGATCAATAACCGCAGCTTCAAGCTTTTGCGACTGCTAGGCGAGGTATGAATCTCGAAATTTGGCCAGCTTGCGTTTCCCTAGATTAGGCAACCTGTCCAGATAAACCCATGGTCTGAGTACTAACGATTGCACCTATCAATTCAGGGCGGCTTCTCCTATGTTTACCTCGTTCAAGACAAGACAAGCTCGGAACTGTTCGCGCTCAAAAAAATCCGCTGCCCATTCGGCCAAGAATCCGTCTCGCAAGCCTTGAAGGAAGTCGAAGCGTACAACCTCTTCACATCGCAAGATAACATCATCCACGCAATCGATCACTGCGTCTCGTCAGAATCAGGATCCAAATTTCGGTCTGATGGCGGTGAACCCGGTACCAAAACGGTCTACATTCTGCTACCGTACTACCAACGCGGCAACCTCCAAGATGCCATCAACGCCAACTTGGTCAATCACACTCGGTTCCCGGAGAAGCGATTGATGATGTTGATGCTGGGCGTGGCTAATGCGCTGAAAGCTATGCATCACTATCGGGTCCAGAGTGGCTCGACATCGACTCGAAAGGCGAAGGGTGTGCGGAGAGAGGGTGAGGAGGCGGATGAAGAGCGGACAATGCAGATGAAGCCGAAGCGACGCGCCAGCCATCGCCCAGATGATGAGGATGAGGAGAATGAGCCATTAATGGATGACGAGGTGACGCGCAGTCAGGAGGGTGTACAGGAGGGTGGCCTGCGCCCCTATGCGCATCGTGATATCAAGCCTGGTGGGTATCTTCCTTTTATCTCTGCTTTCATCTTCACCGATACCCTAGTGCTGACTCTATATTCTTTCAATAGGTAATATCATGATCGATGATGATGGTCAGACTCCTATCCTGATGGACCTCGGTTCCCTCGCCCCGAGTCCGATTGCCATTACATCCCGCTCCTTGGCGTTGGCAGTGCAGGATACCGCTGCTGAGCATAGCACGATGCCATACCGTGCGCCAGAACTATTCGACGTCAAGACCGGATCAATCATCGATACCAAAGTAGATATCTGGTCGCTGGGTTGCACATTGTACGCCTGTTTGGTGGGCAAGAGCCCCTTCGAGGCCCGCAGCGACGAGACTGGTGGTAGCTTGAGCATGTGTGTTCTCGGCGGCGACTGGCGATTCCCCGACGAAAAGACCGGCGCCACCAAGGGCAAGGGCAAGGTCGGTGCTGATGCCGACGCCTCGTCCAGCAGCAGTGAGCAAGTGATCAGTGCCCCCGTCAAGGAGGTTGTTCGCAAATGTCTGCAAGTCGAACCGGCGGAGCGGCCGGATATCGACGAGCTGATCCAAATCATGAAGGATGTCATCAGCGAGTTGCCGGACGATGATGGCATCGCCTAGGCACCTTGTTTTGCATCATATCTTCTTTTCTTTCTGTCTTGTCTTCTGATCCTCCATTTTCTTTTCTGTCTCAAGTTCCCCGACAGGCTCGGCAGGACTGTCTCGCGCGCGATGTGAAGTTTGGCGATCTGTACAGTATAAGCTGGACAATGGTTACATTTGGCGTGCAATTTCAAATTTGTGACTTTTTTGGTGATTTATGTGGGATCTGTCGGAGTATTTCACATGCTTACTTGGATATTAATGAATGCATTTCTCCCATTTCAGTTTGAAGCCCGTTGTCTCGTTATTTGGTGGGATAGATGAGCCTGATATCGGGTACTTCTAATATACCCTCATGATGACGAAACATCGCCATTCCAGTCTATCTCACCAGCGTATTGCCCGCCTCTCATTTCAACAAGCGTTTCTTAATCTGAATATCAGCTACTGACTTGCCTATCTATCCGCTATGAGCCAACAATTCAAACCAGATACGAGGGGATTCGAAGTAGCCGAGTACTTCCCCGAGCGAGCCCGAAACAAAACCTGTATGTCCTCGCCCCCCGGCCTTCATAGTCAGCTTCATCCCCTCCCAGAACTCCTCCTCAATAACCATCCCAGTCCTTCTGGCAGGCTTCGTTGGCAGCGAACTCGCCGCCACAACGGCCGACGCCCTCGCCCACGGTGGCGCAGCCTGCGTGATCTTCACCGGCCGTTCCCAAATCGAAGTCGAACCCGTCATCACGCACATGAACCGCAACCACCCACAGACCAAAATCCTCTTCGTCACCGCCGACACGGCCAGTCTATCCAACATGCGCGAAGCCGCACGGGTCATCAAGGGCCTCGGCGTCCCCATTGACGGTATTGTCTGCTATCCAAACGTTATGGCGGCAGATTGGGAGAAGACGGGGGATGGAATTGAGTCGCATTTTCAGAATAACTATCTCGCATATTTTGTGCTTGTTAATTCGTTGTTGGAGATTATGTTGCCTGGTTCAAGGGTCGTGTTGATGACGACGAGTGTGAGGCGGGAGGCGCCGGCGCCAAGGTGGGAGGATATCAATTTCGCGGTAAGTGGATACGTACTCCCATTGACATATAAAGCGTATGATAGTGGAGCCGAGGATATCTCGAGGCTGACAATTGTGCAGAATGGCGAGACGTATCACTCTTTGGATGGGTACTCGCAATCGATGTTTGCGAATATCTTGTTCGCCAAGTCGCTGGCGCAGATATGTGCTGAAAAATCAGTCGCTGCCTTTTCTGTGAATCCTGGGAGTAAGTTATGACCTCGCTCACAGTATCCTCCCCTTTCCTTCAAGCTCGGGCTTATCAAAAATCCAGATACCAAGACCAACGTACAGACGTACATCTCGCCCGAAGATGTCGCATCGTGGCTACAGCGAAAGAAAAGAGGTAGGTCAGACAATGATCCAGCAGTATAGTCTACAATACGCACTTTCGCATCTTCAGATCAGATCTTGATACATCACCAGCTGGCGAGGACCTGCCCATCCTGCTTCAACAGGCCCCGAAATCACTCTCGCAAGCAAGTGCCACCATTCTCCGGGGCCTGCTTGACCCGATGCTTGAAGGTAAGCAAACAACATTCCTCCCTCCCCCATGTCCAACATCATATCAAGTGGAGAGCTCCACTAAACTAATTTCTGGATCTACCAGACCAATCTGGCGCATTCCTAGACAACTGCGAAGTCCTGTCGCTGCCATACCTCGATTTCCCCATGGGCCAAGAAAGTGCCACAGCGCTATGGAAGCAAAGCGAAGTGTTCGTTGAAGCAGCCGGGTTAACACAAGTTGTTTAGACGGTTCTCTACAAGTACGGTAGGCGACTAGACATATACCGGTAGTTGGGGCACCTGCCTGGACCTTTTCAGTGACGGTCGATGCCCTTCCAGGATAGAAAAGCTTTCATCGGACGAATGGATGAAGCACCAGAATTTATTTCATTGAAGATGGAGATGCGGCCATTTTCCGCCCATGTGGACTTATTGAAGCTAAATTGTTGTAGATGAGTGCGCCATCATCGGTTTCTGAACCCCTGGCGCTTTGACCTGGTTGATTGGGGCATGCTATTGGTTTGTTGAATGGCTGGGCGGCTGGGAAGCGATAGCTTGTCGTTTGGGCGGAATATGTTCCGGATTGTGGTTCATTTGGGAGGGGTTGCTTTATCAAAATGAGATCGAGCTGTAATTGATGTAGTTGAAAAGGACCGTGGGCCATTCGAAAAGGCCTGGATCAGGCTATCTAAACGAATGATCTGCTGGATTCTTATCGTTGATCCGGCTTGTTGGGGGGGGGGGGGGGGTTTCGTAACCAAGCTGCATTGAATAGTCACTATCAATGCTTCCAGCCCATCGGGAGATACCACAAGCATGACTGTGAATCATCGCAATGAAGATTACTCCTGGCCACAAGTCTGTATGCACGTCGGCATCAGAAAGAGACACCGACCAACCTACCATACACGGTAGCCTCTCTGTGCGCCACAATCTATGATTTATCGTAGATAATGAAAACATAATCATGACAGCCATTCGTACATCAATCTAGCAGAGGCAAAGATCGGCTTAACGACGTCTGGTAAGTGCGGGGAAGACCAGTCCGGAGAAGATTATCGCTCCTCGTAAGTAGCTGTATCCACCGCTTATCATGCTGGTCAGCATTCCGAGCGGAAACAAAGCCGACTGATATCATTCTTTTCCTCTCTCTCTCTCTTCTCGTCAGAACAACTAAACCTTCTCCGTACAGCCGATTGGACATCCGACAAACCAGAAACCTCTGGGTCGAGTCTAGTATCTGTTATCAGTGCTGTGATATGCCCCTCGCACGGCCGCCTGAACGTATATATCTGCAGATCATATCAGCAAGGGTGGTATTTGCTTTTGGCCTTGTCCAACACCTGCCTCACTACACCCTCGACACCACTTTAACCAGTTAGAGCTCCAACATGGCTCCCGTCGTGGACACCTCAGCCATTCCTGGAACAGTGACCCTGGTAGATGTCGAGCACGTGCTGCATACACGCCATCTAGAGGGTGGTAATGCGGACATTGTGTTGATCCCGACTCCTTCGCAAGATCGAGATGATCCACTGAACTGGAGTCGTAAGCGAAAATTACAATCAACCATCTGTGTGAGCATGTGAGTGATTATTATCTCACGGCTATCGTGAACAAGTATGACTGACGAGACTCGGATTGACCTAGGTATACGCTGGTCACTGCGATCGCCTCCGCCGTCGTTTACTCGGTGCTGACCCCTTTGTCGAAAGACACCGGACTATCGGTCAGTACACTCAATGAAGGAACTGGATATCTGTTTCTATTGGCGGGATGGGGTCTACTCTTCTGGCAGCCATTTGCTATGCAGTATGGCAAGCGACTGACGTATATACTGTCGCTGGCGGGTATCTTGGTGTGTTGTCCGCGCTCCGTGCATCACTGAATATCAGCTAACACCCCACAGGGAACTTCGATGTGGGGGTAAGAAAATCCTCGACTCCTTTTTAGAGGAATGAAAATAACGTGACTGACATTGTTTGACTATAGACCGTATGCAAACACTCAAGGCCAATGGATTGCCCGAAACATCATCTCGGGATTTTTCGTTGCTCCCATCGAGGCTCTTCCTGAAATCAGCGTAACGGACGTGGTCAGTTCCGATTCATGGCAGAACCGCAGTTCCTAGCTAACCGCGCCGCAAATCAGTATTTCACCCACGAACGTGGAACCTACATGGGTCTTTACGCCTTCTTCCTCGCAGGCGGCAGCTACTTCGCCCCGGTGATCTGTGGCTTCATCGCCGAATACCAAGGCTGGCGCTGGGTATTCTACTGGCCCAGCATTTTCGCCGGCTTTGCCATGATCTTTTTGTTCTTCTTCATGGAAGAAACGAATTACGTCCGCAAGCACGTGGAAGACACCACCATCGCCAATGTCCGACTCAGCTCGCCGAGCATTTCACAGAGCGGTGACCCCGAGAAAACCGTTTCGGTGTCGGACCAGCCTGCGACTGAGGAAGGGCTTATGTATACAAAGAAGTCGTATACTCAGAAGCTTGCGCTTCTAGGACCAAAGCAGAAGCAGAACAATATGTTTCGACGACTCTGGCAGACTCTTTACTATCTTTCATGGCCGGTTGTTTTCTATGCTGGGTATGTATCAAGAGGAGAGTGCGCGGTTTGAGTTTCAAATACTAATAATTGATTAGATTCTCGTATGGCTCATATCTCGTTCTGTTTAACATTCTGAATGGCACCGCCTCCATCATTCTGGGCTCAGCGCCTTACAACTTTAGGTTAGTCCCAAGACCACGGATTCATGATAAAAAACTAATCAGGCATAGCACCTCTATGGTCGGTGTCAGTTACCTCGCATGCTGTGTAGGAGTGATCATCGGGTAAGTTCGCTTTGAAGGTGACCACCAGCTTGGACTCACTAACTCGAGATAGATCCATCTTCACCGGCCGCTTCAGCGACTGGCTAACCATCAAGCTAGCCCGCCGCAACGGCGGTGTCATGGAAGCCGAACACCGACTGTGGCCATTCGCTGCCTGTCTAGTCCTCGTCCCGGGCTCACTGTTACTCTGGGGTATCGGCGCCGCACACGAAGTGCACTGGTTCGGTCTCATCATGGCCATGGCCATGCTCGCTTTCACAAATACCTGCGGTGTCACCCTGAGCGTCAATTATTTGGTTGACAGCTACCGGGAGCTGAGCGGTGTTGCCATGGCGAGTATCATCCTCGTGCGGAATACCATGTCCTTTGCCATCAGTTATGGGTGAGTTGAGTTTTCCAATGCTTGATTTGCCCGTCTTGTGTAAATCGGAAAATGCTAATCGGGGGCTTGACTAGTATCACGCCCTGGATCACCAATATGGGATATCAGAACTGCTTTATTTCGGCGGCATTTGTCGGTATGGCCTGCGCTTCGATGTTTCTGGTTATGATCAAGTATGGCAAGGCCTGCCGTGTCCGTAGTCGGGAGAAGTACTGGGCGATCGTGAAGGAGAATGCGGAGAGGGGAATGGGACACTAGGTAGCATTTCCTCGAGCCTAGGACGAGTTTGCATCTGAAGATTGGTATACCTTGAACGGGAAAATCCCCTGAACCTAGACATCGGAATTATTATAATGAAATCATACTCTCAAGAAAGCAGTAACAATTGTATTTGGTGAGAGGGCCAATGGTGGGTATAACGGCGGGTGTGGAGAAAGCAGTGGGGAGTTTGGGGTGAAATGCTGGGGAAGGCAAGTTTAAGTGGTTTCGAGAAATCAGGCCTGAGAGTAGCTTGAGATGTTCGATGCTCAAGAACTGACCTAATTTGCCATATCCTTGGCTCATCCACGAGGGTCTACCTATCTTAGCCTGTTCCTTTCTGTATATTGCCGAGGCTGAAGTCATTGGCTTGCCCAATTCAATCCCCGCGGGGTCTCCGCCATGACAGGTGCTTTTAGCCGGCGCGGGTAAAATCAGCTACTGGTCTTGACTTCTTGGCTATTTTCGGGGGCCGCTTAAATAGCTTTGGCTGTCTTTTAATTCTGTTCGGATGATCACAGTCTTCTTACCCGCTGAATTTATACTTGGCTTGCTCTCAAGTCAGTTAATTTGATTCTCAGGACAGCCGCCTGCAAGATCGAAGACTGTAACAACTATTACCCGAAGAAGGCCACTTCAACCGCATAAAACGACATCAAGATGGCTCCAAAGCCCCTCATCACCCATCTCTACACGGCAGACCCCTCAGCACACGTCTTCAATGGCAAACTATACATCTACCCTTCCCACGACCGGGAGACCGACATCGCCTTTAACGATAATGGAGACCAATATGACATGACCGACTACCATGTCTTCTCGATGGACTCAATCGACGGTCCAGTCGAGGATTCCGGCGTGGTTCTCTCTGCAAAGGACGTGCCCTGGGTTTCCAAGCAGATGTGGGCACCAGACGCAGCCACCAAGGGCGGAAAGTACTATCTCGTCTTCCCAGCCCGAGACAAGGAGGGTATTTTCCGCATCGGTGTCGCCGTCTCCGACTCTCCCACGGGTCCTTTCGTTCCCGAGGAGAACTACATCCCTGGAAGTTACAGTATCGATCCGGCCGTGTTTGTCGACGAGGATGAGAAGGCTTACCTGTACTTTGGCGGTCTTTGGGGCGGACAATTGCAGTGCTGGGAGAAGTCGGACTCGGAGGTCAAGGAGGGTGATCAGATGAACGGACTCGTCTTTAATGCGTCCAAGTCCGGTCCGCAAGAGCCATGCGGCGCGGGCGTTCCGGCATTGTGTCCGCGCGTGGGCCAGTTGAGCGATGATATGCTCACGTTCGTCTCGCCTCCTCGGGAACTACAGATTCTGGCTCCAGAAACTGGCGAGCCTATTGCAGCTGATGATCACGATAGACGGTTCTTCGAGGCTGCGTGGATGCATCGCTACAATGGGAAATATTACTTCTCGTACTCGACGGGTGACTCGCATTATCTGGTCTATGCGACGGGATCATCGCCCTTTGGGCCGTTCACGTACCAGGGACGGATTCTGGAGCCGGTTTTGGGATGGACTACGCATCATTCTATTGTTGAGTTCAAGGGGAAGTGGTACTTGTTCTATCACGATTGCGAGCTATCGGGGGGTGTGGATCATTTGAGATCTGTCAAGGTGCGGGAGATTGTTTATGATGAGGAGGGGAAGATTCAATTGGCCTCGTCTTGATTTGACACGCATGTACTACAAATTTGGAAGAGACCTCATATTCCGAGAAATATCCCGGCCTTATAATTTTCACCCGCATACGTAGTCTGCCGGAGCTGGAGGATGGATAGTCTCAGTCTACTTAGTCTTGTATGAGTGGTACCAAAAGCTTGTGAGATAGTCTTTGCAGGATAACTACACAAGCAATGTGTAACTCATTGTGAAATTCGTTTACAAGCTCAAGAATACCACCTTTAATTCTCTGTGTTAGCTAACAAGGCATACACTACTGAGCCATATACGGGTAATGTGGCCGGGGATCTGGCTATACTGCGCTTTGGGGGTGTACTTTGACCGAGTATAGTGAGCCATATAATCAGCTATATGAAGGGAAAGAGATTCAAGTAAATGGCAATTCAACGGAAGAATTAAGCGCGACAGAAAGCAAGCCTAGGACAACACAACAATACCCTGTACTCAGAGCCAAGGCTCACTCACATATTCCATCGAACAGGAATTTTTTTCGATACCCCGAGATGTGAATGTACATCTATAGAATGGAAGAGATTAGACCTAGATAGTGGAGATTTTACCAGAGGAAACAATCAAAGCTAAGTTCGATCTTCAGCTGAGATGGCTTTCTTTATGTGTACATATTCGTCCAGAACCAAGCTCAGGCAGCGCCATGCCAAAGTAAGAAAGTAAAACAAGCCTTCCAAGCGAGAAGCGAGGAAATAAACTCAAATAGACAAATATGCTGACACTCACACCCTCAAACAAGTGAGCACGCGCTCCATATGAACTCAGAGCAGTAACGTTCAATATCAACTCAGTGCTTGCGAGATAGACCATCACTTTCACCTCGCGCTTCACGAAGCGCCACCTCCCACTCGCGAGCCATCCACTCCAGAAGACCCTCGACGGTGGCAGAGATCTCCCCGTTGTCAGTCGTCTCTTGATCCCCCTCGACATTCTCACCGCCAATGTCGTTTTGATCTCCAGTGCTAGCCTCGCAATCCTCAATATGTGTACTAGTGGGCACTGCGAATTCCTCTGGGCAGTCTGAGTAAGGCTGCGGCAGTCCACTATTCACAGGATGGATGTACGGCCACATCCCGATGAAGTGCCCAAATCGTTGACGTTTGGTAGCGATATCGATATTTGCTTCGTCGGGAGCACCCACCCACGCCCGAATCTCGGATGGATAGGTTAGGGTCGCCGGGAGAGGGGGCCAGACTTGATGATAGTATCGAGCCAAGCGGTCGAGCTGATCGGAGGTGAGTAGGTGGAAAGCTAGGTGGTTTCGTGGAAATTCGAGGTGAGGGTGGCCGGTTTCAATATTGACGACGGGTGATAGAGGTGTGGCCATGTAGCGCAGGGTCAGGGTTTCTTCGAATTCTGCGCGGCATTTGCGCTCTTTGGACCGATTTGGTGATGCCATCGCTTTCAGGTGGCTGGGTATTGCTGGGAAGCTGAATGAGCTAGAAGGGGAGTGCGGAGATGATGAAGAGGATGAAGAGGATGTAATCAATGAAGAGAAGGTAGTTGATGAAGAGAGGGTAGTTGATGAAGAGAAGGTAGTTGATGAAGAGAAGGTAGTTGATGAAAAGAAGGCAATTGATGGTGTTCGATTGGAATGAGTCGTGGCCGCGGTCTTGGTTGAGTAGGTGAATGATGAGTCGCATCTCGATTGCTGATTCTCGTGATAGTGGTCTGACGATATCGCGCGTACGACGGGGGCGTTTGTCTAGAACGGAGGAGAGCAGCATTTACATCTATGAATAGTAAATGGAGGACCATAATCATAGCACTACGGAAAGTTTCGCGATATCACAACGGCAAGCCCGGTTCAACACGTTTCTTACGAGTGGGAAGATAGTATATTCTGACATCTAAACAATCCATCATAGTTATTTATGTATACACAGTAGTAGTCTCAATTTTGGAATCTAGAGATCGAATGAAAGGCCCGGGTGGAAACGCTGTATCCTTCTCTGTTTTTAAAGGCCTTTCGGAATATCTTTTCAATTATCTTTCACGATAGCTCTAGTGATATCTCTCGGTTTATCTTTCAGAAGCATAACTAATACGATAAATCATTTACACGTTTAGTCGAGGTTCAAACTTGTGAGAATCAACGGTATATGCCTACAGCGGATGACCTTAGTGTCATTATATCGAGTTATACTCGCAAGATGCGTGAACTAGGCTTAGCGCCGGAGTTAAACGAAAGCTTCTTGTAGTGCCATGAGTTGATCCTGAAAGTGGACGAGGGGTCTTAGAAATCGGGGGAAAGAATAGTCTTCCTTGAGAACTCAATTATATTCATTCTTCTCTGTTCAGAATCATACCAATTCAAATAAGACGAAAGGGTGAAATTTTGTCCAAAAGAAAGCTTCACAAAGTTGTATAGATACCATCCTTTGTTCGCTCCCGAGACGAGGATCGTCCGAAAATAAAAATCCCGCGAATGCAAGCAGACGCAAGGTAACCCAAAATATCCTGCGAAATTATCATGTGCACGCCAACAGTCGATACGTACTTCTCACAAAGACATATTTGCAACACCTGAAGAAAGGTCTGGTTCATCTGCGACTGGCGGAAGTCCGACGAACTTGTTAATCCAGTTAAGCACAGTCCGATGCCACATCAAAGAATTCTCCGGGTTCAACACCCAGTGATTTTCGTCAGGGAAGGTTAGGAAAGCACTCTCGACACCTCGCATCTGCAACACGTTGAACGCGGCAAGGCCTTCGGCGATGGTAAGGCGGTAATCCAGCTCATTGTGGATGATCAGGTGGGGGGTGTCCCAGTTTTCAGTGAATCGCGATGGATCCCATTTTGCCCAGTTCTCCGGGACCTTCCAGATAGGACCCTTCAGGTCGTGCAGCGGGAAGTACTGCTCCTCACTGGCCAGCTGCGAGGTCATACTGAACACGCCGTCGTGAGTAACCAGAGCCTTGAACTTGCGGCCAAGGGGATGGCCCTGGATCCAATTCATCATGTAGCCACCGTAGGATGCACCCAGCGCGACAGCCCGGGTAGTATCGATGTATTGGAGATTTTGCTCAATATACTGGAAGCCCTTGACAAGATCCTCGTATGGTCGACCACCCCATTCACCACGGATTCCGTCGGTAAAGTCCTGCCCGTAGCCTGTGCTGCCAGTCGGGTTGGGCGTAACAACGACATATCCTTGTTCGGCGAACACAGCTGGGTTCCACCGCGTGCTCCACTGATCATTCCATGCACCCTGAGGACCACCGTGGATCAGGTAGGCCAGCGGGTATCGGTCCCCGGGCTTGAAATGGGATGGTTTCACTACCCAGGCGTGCACCTTATGGCCTTCAGCTCCCTTGAACCAGATCTCATCCACCTGGGCTGGTGAAAGCCCAAAGGCAGATCCTCCTCGACAGTTCGACGACACAAGCTGAGTTGACTTTGGATGAGCCGGGTCAATGATGGACCACACACTGTTGTCCACTAGGCTGGAACTAGAGACAAAGAGTTTGGATGTCTTGGCCGCAGCGGGGACGACATCATTGACAAAGCCCTCGTGTGTAAGCTTTTTCAGCGAGTCAGGCTTGGCACTTCGAATACCATTCAATGGCAGCTGGTACAAGACTCCACGGCCGCGGTCCTCAGCCTGGATGAGGAGCGACTTGCCATCCTGAGCAAAGGCGACAGCGGAAGGGCTCAGCTCCCAATCACCCTTTCCATCCTCGGTCTCAAAAACTTCATACATCTCACCACTCCATGGGTTTGGAACATAGATAATTCGATTCTTATCCGACTCGTACCCGTCTTTCTGCATGGTTAGTAGAGCGATAGATCCACCATCTGGTGACAGTACGGGCGAAGACATTGCACCCTGGAGGCTCGTCACCTTGCAAGGCTTGATATCCGAGACGCTCATACTGGTCCACGAGAACATTGGGGCATAGTAGGCTGAGCAGGCAGTATGCGTAGCCGGGTTCAGATCCGGGTCTTTAGCGATGAATACGATAGCCGATGGACTGATATCGAAATCACCAGTGCCGCCAAATGGGGGAATCGGCGATTCAACCTTGCCCAGTCCGGACACCGAGATCAAGTTCGTGAGACCCGAGACCGAGTACTTGCCAGCCAATCTGCGCGCCGGCACCAAGGGCGTCTGCTCAAGCAGGCCATACCAGATGGCATTCTTCTGCGGGTCAATGTACGCATCCCAATGCCGCACAAACAAGGACGTGTAAAGGCGCCCCGTAGTGTGTGACTTCTTCGCATCGTGCGGGTTGAACAGCGAACCGTCCGGGTTGGCCTTGCCCGACACAGCAAAGCCAATCTTGCCAGGCTCGATAACAGTAACCTTCAAGTCCGACACTGGGCCAGGGACGGTACCGGCAGTGTATGTTTTATCGGCCTCGCGCGCATGGCCGACGATGAAGCTCGTGTTGCCATTGGACTTGGTCTTCAACCAGACAAGCTCGTCGCTATCGCTCAGCCACTGCGGGTTGCTGGCACCGGGGTCATTGGTGACAAGCGCCGATCGGCCAGTGTCAATTTCGATGACGCGGATTTCGTTTGTCTTAGAATGCGACTCAAATGAGTAAGATGTTTGGGTGTAGACGGCGAGGGTGCCTGCAGCGTTGGGGACCGCCGAGGACCGCCTGGGGGCGCCGAGGAGGACCCTGCTTGGTGGTTATTTGGGAGCTTCAAGGAGCTTCAAGGACCCCGTCGTGACCGAATCAAAGGGCTATACTCTCTATTGGGGGGGGTCACATACTCGGGTGTGAACTTCATAGGGCGGATTGTCATATCAATCGGCTTGAATCGAGGGAAGAACCTTGGTAGCTAGCACAGAGCTTCCCACCTGAGCTCAAATCTTAATGCGGGGAAGCTTGAGAGCGGGTGGTAGATAAAAACGAAAAGACGAAAAAAGATTGGGCCCGAAAGAAGCGATGGCCAGGGATTGTGAATTGCAGTAGAGTATGAAGTTGATGAAAGCAAGAGGAGGTCAAGGAGGAGCTGGGGAGGTTGGGGAATGCAACGTGACTCGACTTCATGCGGGGTATTGTCGCCATGGTTCCGCTTCTCCAACGGGGTTCGGTCCAAACATCTCGCCACAATAGGCCAAGAGCAACCACGGTACGGTCATCTTCTATATTGTGTCCAGTCAGAACGTTCACTTTATCCAAATCAATAATACTCACACAAAAAAAGAATAACCCATTTTCGATGACACGAAAAATCATGCGAAGCTGGAAATATATTCTTGGACTATAGCGGAAGCTCCATTTACGTGTAGTCATCTACAAGGCTCTCTGTGCTCTTAAAAAACCAATAGAAGAAAAAGAACAACACCTTTTGTATCCGGATAGCTCCCAAAAACTATTATTACACACAAAATAAAATTGGAAACATAATCTACTCCTCTTCTTCTTCCTCACTTTCATCCTCCTCCATGCCCTCGGCCGCATTCACCGTGAAGGTAGGAGCCTGATCCACACCGACATAGCTGTCGCACATGAGATACAGCGTCAATTCATGCTCACCAGGCGAAGGCACCACGTATTCCAAACGCAAGTCAAGCTTGCGCCCAATAGTAACACGCTTGATGGCCAACAGGTTCTTGGTCTTCTCCTCACCAACGACCAGCCACCAGTTCTCCATCTTCTGGTTGGGGTAGAAAGGTGCGTGGACGACGGTATCGACTTCGTCGTCTTCATCGACCTCCCGCTGGATCTTGACCTTGAGATAGGCCGGTTCACCAGATGTGATATTCTCCGGGTCCTCAACCTCAAAGTCCAGGTCAATGCTGGGGTACTTGTCGTTGGTGAAGGCAGCAGCTTGTGCGAGCTGCTTGTTGTTCAATCCCAGGCGCTTCACCAGGGTGGCGTAGTCCTTGTTCTCTGAGGGGTCCATGGCTTCCATGAACTCGAAAATGTCATTGATCCTGCAAGATGTCGAATTAGTAAGTGCAAATTATCAGATTGGGGCTGGTATTACTTACTCATATTCCTTCGCGACCTCGATGACCTCGGGCGAGAAGTGGGGGATTTGCTTGAGGGGACTATCGCGATCCCACATAGCCTGAACCACCATCTGCGACAGCTCCATGGCGTTCATGGCGTTGAGATGGCCCTCCGAGGAGAGCACATCCACGCAGGCACTGAGCAGGTTGAGAACCTTGCGAACGATATCTTCCTGGTCCTTGGCAAGATCGATGGGCAGTTGCATCCGCGAAAAGTGGGCTTGCAGGAGAACGAAAGCCTTGAAGTGCGGGGAGTCGAACGCGGGCTCGGACATCTTGACTGGCACGCGATCGTAGACACGACGGAGGATGTGGTCCTCGTGACGGCGCATCTGGACGGACTCGAACTCAGTAGCCGAAGTGACGATCTCCAAAATACCCTTGAGCTTCGTGCGAGCGGACAGAGACAGCAGGAAGGTTTGCATGGTAATGAAGGAGATATTGTAGTAGGCGCTGATCATAGCCGCATTCAGCGGAGAGACACTATCATCCTCCTCATCCAGGTCGATAATCTTGGCATCGGACAGCTCTTTCAAGGTGGTCTCGACCAGCTCTGACAAGAAGGTGCTGAGACCCTCGTGGCTTACATCGCTAAGGCCGTAGAAGCTGGGGTTGGCGAGAAGACGGCGATAGAAGTAGGTATAGGTCATCCAGTCAACGGCATCCTGGGTGGAAGTAAGGGTACGAGTGCTAGCCTCCGTCACAAACGCATCGTGCAAGTAGACCTGGAGGTGACTCTCAACGGGCAAGGCCTCATTGAGGAACTTCTTGTAATACTCGCGCTTGACAGCAGGCACCATCAGAACACCGCGACCGCTCTTATCAACGCCAGGACGAGAAGCCTTGCCGAACATCTGAAGGATCTCGCTGATGGGATAGTCGATGTAGCGATGTTCACGGCCATCGAAAAATTGCGTGTTCATCACGATGACCAAGTGGGCAGTGAGATCCAACTCCCAGCAAACATCACGCGAGGCGAGAAGAACCTGGATGGCGCCAATCTTGAAGAGATGCGAAACAATTCGCTTGTCGGTCTGGCTCAAAGCCTCATGATAGTAGCCAATACCGTGACTCAACGAAGTGGCGAGGGTTTGCTCCTGAACACGAGAAAGCAGCGGGGCCAGCTCCTCGACATCCGCGTTCAAGAATCGGTCTTCATTGTCATCCATAGCACATGCAGCCAGGAGATCCATAGCCGTGGAACGAGTCTGCTTACGGCTGGGGACAAAGACCAGAGCGGGCTTGTCAGGAGATAACTGCAGAATGGATTGGTAGGCAGGCCGAGCCATGGCAAGCATGAGGGAGGGGAAGTGGGGAATGGTGTAGGACTGGATGTGCAGCTCCAAGGGGACAGGGCGAGCGTGTGGGCTGAAGTTGTAGATGGTGTGCTTGTTGGCGCCGATCCACTCGCCAATATCACGAGCGTTGGAAAGCGGCACACTCAGGCCGAGAATGCGCATCTCGTTCTCGGTCTGCAAAGCAATGTAATGCATACGGGAAACGACCACCTCATACACGTATCCACTAAAGCCGCCGAGCATGTGAAGTTCATCAGCGATGAAGAGCTGGACAGTCTGAACGTTCTTGCGTCGCTGCCACTGGCGGGAGAGCACGTCCCATTGGACAGGAGTGGCAAGTACAAGATCAGCCTGTTCCAGAAGCTTCAAATCAGCCGTTGTTTCGCCGGTAAGCTTCACAATGGTCTTGCCACCGCCGATTCCGCCAAGTCGCTTCTCCCAGTCAGCCAAGCGCTGGTCAACGAGTTCTTGGAAGGGAGCGATGTAAACTGCACGGCCCTTATTTTCAGTGGACCAGTGACGGAGAAGAGCCAGCTCAGCGCAAACAGTCTTGCCGCTTCCAGTTGGGGCACCAATGAAGACATTGTCATCTGAGTCGAAGACAGACTTGAAGACCTGAGTCTGAATCTTGTTGAAGTGGTCCCAGTCGGGGTACAGCTTCTGGTACTCCTCGCGCTTCAAGGCCTTAACGGGAGCACGCTGCATGTCTAGCAGAGGGGTGTGAGGAGGGAAGCGCTCGGGGAGAATCAGCTTCTGGAAAGACACGGCAATCTTCGTCTCCGAATGCATCCAGCGATCGGAAACCAGAGAGATGAAGTAGTTGGGAGGCATGGGCTCGGTAATCGGAACAGTAAACTCGACCATGTGCTCGTTCATCTCGGAAAGGGCAAAATCGCGACGAAGCAGGAAGCGGTCATGGAATAAGATCTCTTCACCATCGCAATCTTCGACCAAAATCCAGAAATCCTGCGCCAGTCCATGCACAGCATCGTCCCAGACGAAGTTGGGGGTGATGGTCAATTCGACACGAAGCATGGAGCGAGTAATGGGCTGCACTTGAGCTTGCACATCAAGTCGAGGGAACTTAGAGACAAGGTCACAAACAACACGACCCGCCTTGGGCATGCCGAGCAGCTCACCCATGCGAGGAGGATCGAGGTCGAAGTAGCTGGGCCAGGGTACGTCAATCCGTTCAGCCTTCTGCAGAATATCCCTGGGACAGCCCGGGAATTGACGCAGAGGAGACATTGTGGGCCACATACGCTTCTCAGCCATCTTGCAGAGATCGAGGGCAGTCTTGGCTACGGAAGCCCAGCCCTTCTTTAGACAAATCTCGAAAATCGCACGGATGATACGACCGGCGGACTGGGTGACGTAGACCATGTCGGCCATCAAAGCAAGACCTTCCAGCTTCAGACGGGAGATGTAAGCCTGAAGAAGAACATTAATCTTGGCGTGAGGCTCGTCAATAGTCTCCTTGACAGGGACCGGCACACGGCCCAGAAGCTTGCCAAGCTCCAGCTTCTCATCCTGGCGAACTGGGATGTACTTGAACTCATCGCTAAGGGCGAAGATACGGAAAAGTTCAATAGTAGTGATCGAAGGCTGGAGGTGCTGAGCATAGGTAAGCATCGAGTTGTGACCAATGTAGTAATGAGAGGAGATGCGGCCGAGCTCAGTCGACTGCAACCGGCCGGTCTTCTTCTCATACTTGAGCAGTCCAGCCCTCTCAAGAACTGTGGCAGCGGAGTGGATGAGATCAACACGCTTCTGCTCGAGAGCATCATCGTTCTCATAGTCTGCACCGACACTGTACAGACCAGGCGAGCGGAGCATGCGGACGTAGAGGTAGGTATAGCCAAGCCACTCGACACCCTCGTCGCGGGTACGAACGTTGCCCAACACGACTTCAGCGTTCAGGTTGTCAGCAAGCTTGCTCATGAGCTGAGACTCAATGGGCAGCTGCTGGTTCATGAGAGAAAGGTAGTACTGAATTTCAGACTGAGAGGTGATGATGATACCTTCACCGAAAGTATCGTACTGCGGTCGACCAGCACGTCCAAGCATCTGAAGGACATCTTGCGGGCTGAGCTCGACCCAGCTACCCTTCTCTGGGGAGTAGACTTGAGTTCCCTTGATAATAACAGTGTGGGCGGGAAGATTGACACCCCAAGCCAAAGTTGCGGTACAGACGAGAACCTGGATGCTGCCATCGGCGAAAAGGGCCTGGACGGAATCACGATCTGCAAGACTTAGACCAGCGTGATGGATACCAAGACCGTAGGGTAGAAGATCCTTCAAGGACGCGTCGTCAACCGAATCGGCTTCCTCGGAGAGAATAGCACGGCTTGCAGCATCACTACGGAGAATCTGTCCAATGGTCTCCATCTCGATGGCCTTATCTCTAATGTACTTGGCGGTCTTTGCAGTTTCCTTTCGCGAGTGAACGAAGATAAGCATCTGATTTCGCTTCTGACCGACCTGCTCCATAACCTTGTTGTAGCAAATGTCGTTCATAGTCTTAAGTTGCTTGATCGCTTTCTTATCGGTAACGCCGATAAACTCTTGCTTTAGAGGGCAAGGGCGGTACGAGCCATCGAAGTGGAACACTCCCGTCTCAGGGTCTGCGCGGAGGAAGCTTGCCACGTCGCGGTAGTTGGGGAGAGTAGCACTGAGACCAACAATACGGACAGGGTCGCCAGTTTGCTCAACTCGACGA